AGGCCTGCACGGGCACCTGCTTCTGGCCCCCACTGGGCGGGCGACTGAGCAAGCCTTGGTTCGCTTCCCACATTCCACCTGCTTGGCCTGCCCCCTGGGGTGAGGCCAGAGGAAGCATTTATCAACACTGGTTTGGCGCTCATGACTACCCCTTCAGGAAAGGGAGATGAGGTCTTTGTTAGCCACTGGCCATTGTCAGAGGCTGAGGTTGGGGTCCTTTCTCACCTCTCTTGCTCACTACTGCACTGTCCTGGTTGTGGAGGGCACCACCCCTCAAAAGGTACTGACCTGCTGTTCCCTCTGGGCCCCTCCGCTCCTCCTAGCCAACTTCACATTGCCAGACGTTGGTGACTTCCTGGATGAGGTGCTGTTCATCGAGCTGCAGCGGGACGAGGCAGACAAGCTGGTGCGGCAATACAACGAGGAGGGTCGCAGGGCCGGGCCACCCCCTGAAAAGCGCTTTGACAACCGAGGCGGCGGTGGCTTCCGGGGCCGTGGGGGTGGCGGCGGTTTCCAGCGCTACGATAACCGAGGTCCACCCGGGGGCAACCGAGGAGGCTTCCAGAACCGAGGGGGAGGCAGTGGTGGAGGAAACAACTACCGAGGAGGTGAGTTCGCACGTCTGGTTCCGGGGTCAGAGCTGGGTTCCGTGACCGCAAACTTAGGCAGTAGGTGAAGGTTCCCCAGCACCAGCCCTGGGCTACACTCGGGAGACGCCTGGGATGAGTCAGACTCTGGGGCCTCAGGGAGCTGTTCCCACTGTCCTGCTTCCCCAGGTGCTTGCCTGTCTGTATATCTCATTGCTGTCATTTTTGTGAATCTTCCCATCTGACCTTGAGACGAGGGGCCAGACTGAGTTTACTGTCAGTCCTGGGTCCCAGCTCAAACAAGTGTAGAAGGGTGCTAAGGGGAGTTAATTTGTCCAGCTAAATCTAGAGTTGGGATCAGATGACCCAAAGCCTGAGTTCTTTGTGACTAAGTTGGGCTGTCTCTGCAATAAAGTGTATAATCATAATTTAACAGGCATGTGCAACCATGTTTCGGTCTTATAGTGGATAGTTTGGGGACACTCATGACCTAGACACACACATCACCCTATAGTGACTGTCCAGAAGGTTTCTGGGCTTAATAGGAAAGCCCAAGGAGCCAGTCCGTGGGGGGACAGAGCTCAAGAAAGGTCTCCTGAGGTGCAAATGCCTGAGCTAAGGTCCAGAGGCTGGCAGGAGTCGGCAGAGGGAAGGGTCTCAGGCTTGAGACATAACTGCACGAGGGCTCAGGAGAGACTGGCCTGTTGGGACAAGCCTTCCAAGGACTGTCTTCTGTGCTTAGCAGCCCCTCTTCCAGAACATCTCTTGCAGCTCATTAAATAATTATTGAGGTACTCAGGACGCAGTAGAAACCAAGACAGACCTTCAGCCGGCAGTAATGACTGTTAACCAAGGCAGAACGGGGGAGTGTGCCTAGGGGTCTGGAGGCTCCCAGAGGGGGTGCTTTGTTCATTGGACAGAGCTTCTACTCTGTGCCTGGGGCTGCAGCAGTCACCGGGTCAGCCCAGCTCCTGCGGGTCCAACTCGAGAATGACAAGCCTTTTATCTGGTTTCTCCACCGCAGGTTTCAACCGCAGCGGAGGTGGTGGCTACAACCAGAACCGCTGGGGTAACAATAGCCGGGATAACAACAACTCCAACAACCGAGGCAGCTACAACCGACCTCCCCAGCAGCAGCCACCTCCTCAGCAGCCACCACCGCCACAGCCACCACCACAGCAGCCACCGCCGCCACCCAGCTACAGTCCTGCCCGGAACCCACCAGGGGCTGGCAGCTACAGCAAGAACAGCAACATCCCTGGCTCGAGTGCCAGTACCAGCACCCCCACTGTCAGCAGCTACAGCCCTCCACAGGTGAGAGGAGGTGGGACCGGGGAAGTCACCCGCACCCGCTGTAGACCGTGTCCACTCCCACCTCCGCCTCTGCCCTTTCTCCCAAACAGTGCTGTTGACCAGATGCTCCCAGCCGCCTGCAGGTCCCTGCAGCAAGTGCATGTCTCTTGGCATTGTCACTGGTTCACTGAATCCCCAAGAGAGCGCCTAGTGGGAGTTGCCCCTTGTCCAGGCTGGAATGGGCTAATCCCCTCGTCTTCAGGACGTGGGGGCAGGCCCTGAGGTTAGAGAGGACTCGCCCTCTGCTTGAAGGCCTTCATGTGGAGCTGCTACAGACAGGCCCCCGTCAGTCAGAGCAGGCCCCCGTCAGTCAGAGCAGGCCCCCGTCAGTCAGAGCAGGCCCCTGTCATTGGGCAGCCGTTTCCTGAATTCCTTTCTCATGCCCGGCCTGGGAACAGCTGCCAGGAGACAGATGAATGGTTCTCTATTCCTGACCTAACCAGAATATTTCCTAGAACAGGAGTTGAGCAGGCACTAATTCAAACCCCAGACCTAAAACATTCTGGTTTTGTGACCTTGGACAGACAGCTTCACCTCTCTGGACTTCATTTTTCTCATAAAGGACTAGGGTTATTAATAGAACTCACATCCTAGGTTTGTTGTGGAGGTGGGTAGTGGCATTGCAGCTCCATGAGGCGGGCTGTGGAAGTGGGCAAACCTGGGGTCAGGTCCTGGTTCTGCCACTTTTCAGCTGTGTGACTCGAGCCCGTCGGTGACCTCACTTGCCTGGCTCTCAGCTTCCTCAGCTACAACTATTTCTCTCAGCAGCTGTTCTCATAACGACTGCCAGTTTACTGAGCACTCAGTGGTTCGTGCACACAAGCTTATTGGATACACGAGGCAATTGAAGGGCAGTTCTTTTGTAATTTTATTTTACAGGGGCTGAAAAACTGGGCTTTCAGGAGTTGCCTGTGGCTAACCCATCTCCCCCTCCGTCCTCTACCTCCACCAGGGAAGTCTCTTTGTGGGCCCATTGCTTACAAAGGCCCTTCCTTCATCTCAGCTGAGCTGGCCATTTCACAGCTCTGGGTTTTTTTCCTGCTTTCCAGCCAAGTTACAGCCAGCCACCCTACAACCAGGGAGGTTATAGCCAGGGCTATACAGCTCCACCACCTCCACCTCCACCGCCACCTGCCTACAACTACGGGAGCTACGGCGCCTACACCCCGGCCCCATATACCCCGCCACCGCCACCCACCGCACAGACCTACCCTCAGCCCAGCTATAACCAGTATCAGCAGGTAGGTGCCGGGCAGGGTAGGGGTGGAATGGAGAAACTTGTGGATGTGTATTCCCAGACTTGACTCCCTGCTTGTCCAGAGAAGAGGGGCAGCCTGAAGGTGTCCATCTGATGTAATCAGTTCATGTGGTGACCACTTCTGCTCTAGCTGCTAAACAGCTGGTATCTGAGCCCCGCCCCCCCAGTGCAGCGAAGCCTCCTGGTCCTGTCTCAGCCCCATTGCTATGTCCATTCCGATGATTGGTGCTAGGCCACCATTCCTGTGGTTAAGTATTTTGAATGTGGAATTTACCTGCACCTGTGAGAGCTTAGACTGGCAGGCCAGGAGACTGGGTTTCAGTCCCTTAGTGCCCACTGATCAGACCAACGTCTGGCCACTCCCCCTTGTTCTCCCTAGGTGCCTTGATTTCTGTCAGGGGACCTGTGTGCATCAGCTATTGTCCCTGCGTCCACCTGTGCCCCGGGTGAGAGGGGTGAGGGGAGGGGCCGTATACAGGTCTAGATGAAAGTCAACTTGGTACTCTCGGTTTCTCCTCAGTATGCCCAGCAGTGGAACCAGTACTATCAGAACCAGGGCCAGTGGCCACCCTACTACGGGAACTACGACTACGGGAGCTACACCGGGAACACACAGGGGGGCACGAGCACTCAGTAGCAGTGTGACCCGGAGGCCCCTGCCGGCTTCCTCCACCAGCGCCCACCTCGGTCCCTCGTCTGCCCCGCAGGGTCCTGTGGTGCTGGGGGACAGGTCAACCCAGGGCTGCCTCCCTTCCGAGGGGCTTCTTCCCCCACAGGGCTGGGCATTTTTCTCTGGATTCAAACAAACAACAGTGACCTTTTATTTTCTCTTTCTCTCCCTCCCTCCTCCCTCCTCCTTCCTCCTCTTTCTCCCTCCTTTTTGACTAAAGGCCCCCCCCTCCCCTCCCCTGATCATACGGTGACTGGGGGGCCCTTCCTGTCACTGTCCCAGCCCTGCTCCAGCCTCTCAGCTTCCCAGGCCCTCATGCAGTTGGTTGTAAATTCTTCCAGGAGCTGTTTTACTGTCTACTTTTCAGGATTAAAAAAAATCAAAAACTTTTAAAAAAAATTTAAAAAAGCAAAGTGTGGAGGGAGGAAGCAGTGACTTTTTTTGGTAATTATGCTTTTTTTAATTTTTAGAATTTGTCTGTTTTTACTGTGGGTCGGCTGTTGATATTTCATCAGGATAACTGTTACTTGAGTTCAAGCAACCAACAAAGAGCCACACCCTCAAAACAAAACCACAAAATCATCTTTAACCTAACTTTTTATACGATGTCTCAGTTTCCCGTACGTAACTTTGCACACAAGCTTCTGTGTTGAGTTGAATTGTAACTGCTTTTTGTATTTGGAGAGAGTGTGACTATTGAACTTGAAACCTTTTATTCCAGGCGTCTTGGTAGTTTCTGGTGGGATAAATCGGGCAAGAGGGAAGAAGGGGAGGTGCGGGGAGGGGACGCCTTCCCTTTAGAGTATGAAATTTTTCCCACTGCCTCCTCTCCAGAGATCTCCCACGTGCCAGACCTAAACATTTTTCCTACAGTGATCCTCTGATTATTTTTACTTCCCCTTGACCCATTTGTTTTTAACAGGATTTTAACAAACTGCACTTATTAAGAAATGTGTTTGCCCTGTTTTGTTTTGTTTTGTTTTGTTCTGTTTCAATAAAACATGGCACCTCCTAGCAGGAAGGAAGAAGGGTTGAAACCTTGAAGCATTACTGCAGTTGGCCTTTAATTGTGGTGGGGCCTTTTCAAGGGGAATTTATTTACTCATTCATTAAACTCTTATTGAGGGATTCATGTGCCTAGCCCTGTTTTTGGTGCTGGGGCTGCCCCCTTAAACTTGGGGCTCAGTTTAAAACCCACTAGCTTCTTTTTGAAGTTGTTCTCTGATCCCTGCCCTTTCCAGTCCACTCACAGCCCCAAATCTCCAGGAATCTGTACAGAAGGCACGGAACCAGGCCCCTCCGTGTGGAGGGCGAGGTAAGGCCAATGGGTTGGATACCGAGGCTGGTCTCTTGGGGGTCATCACTGGGTGCAACGGCTTTTCCACTTCAAGTCTGGCCTGTGAGCTGCACATAGGATAGTTCTGCCTTTGCATCTGGGTCCAGTCTAGTGGAGATTCCAGAAGCCTCTTTATCCAGGCAATAGGTAAGGTACTTGCTCAGTTCCTTACCTGGTCTGGATGGTGCTAGGGTACACAGCACGACCAAGGCAGTCCTGGACCCTGGGCTCCCAGCCCAGAAGTAACACTGTGATGATGGCACCAAGCCTGGGGTGAGGGGGGATGGTGTGAGGTGTGGCCTTCCTTGGGGGAGGAGGGAGGGGTTGGTTGGTTGGTTGGTTTTTAAGACAGGGAAAGAAGTATCAGTGTGTGGTTGCCTTTCCCACACCTGCTACTGGCGGCCTGACTGGGAGTGGAACCAGCAACCCTTAGGTTCACAGCCCAGCACTCAGTCCACTGAGCCACACCAGTCAGGGCAAAGGATATTTTTCTAAGAGTGGGAGAGAAACATCAATGTGAGAAGGAAAACATTGACCATGTTTTGCTTCCTGTATATACCCTGACTGGAGGGCAAACATGCCTGGTAGGATGACACCTACTACACCAATGGGGAAAGGAGAAAATATTTTTAAATAGGAGTAAGTCAGGGTAAAGGACATTCTGATGGCATTCCCACCGCCTATCATCCTTCCCCAGCAACTTGGGTCATTTACTCATCCCCTCTGGACATGCTGTGTTCCCGGCCCCTTTTTGAGGTGACAGTTAAGCCCCATCTCATTTTGCACCGGAAGTCTCAACCTTGTGAAGGGGACACAGGTTACTTAAAAAAAAAGGAGAAAGGCCAACTCATTTTGAGGTTAGGGTGGGATATCTGAAGTAACAAGAATTGAGATGGGTGGCTGGTTGTACTAAAGGACTCTAGACTAAGTGCCCCCTCTCCCTGCTCAGGGAGGGCCTCTGGTCCAATCGCCTTAGGGACTCTGGTCCATATGTTGGGCAATTACCCCCTCTGCTGGCCGCCTGGTGATATGTCTAACTGCAGTCCCCACCTATCCCATGTGACAAATATCCTGGGAATGCAAGCTCTTAGCAAGTGTCTGCCTTACTGCACCAGCTTCCTCACAGATCTCCCTTACCACGAGTCTCTCATCCTGATACCCCTGGCCCTTCCCCACAGGATACAGAGGCGCTTAAGTTTATATGGTTTATGAGGCCTCATGCGTGGCCCCTGATGACCTCGCTGGCTTCATCTTTTGCTGCTCCTTTGAACTCCGGATCAGTGGTTTGTTCCCAGGAGTCACAAATCTATTCAAGAATCCATAAATGTCATGAGTCAAATCTACGTGTTCGTGGAATGTTGCATAAAAATTCGCGAGGTTCTCAGTTCAGTACATCCCAGTCAAGGCTTTCAATTAGAACTTGTTACTATTCCCGGGCCATACGAAGTCCTTGCAGCAACTGGAACTATCCATACGTGTTCTCTCCTCTGGGTCTGCCTGACCCGTGCCCCTGCACGAGACCGATCCCTACCTCCCTATCTCTTATCCTAATTCATCTTTCAGATCTCAACTCGGGCATCTCGTCCTCCGAAAAGAAGACTTCCCTGGGCCCCCAGAATGGCAGTTCTCCTAGTCCCTTCGATCCATCAGAGCCCTGACGCGCAGGGTAGTCACTGGTGACATCTTGGTCTACTGTGGTAACACACTGAATCCCTGTCTAAAGCAAATCAGTTTTCTAAGGCCACGGTTTTCTCCCTCCACATCTGCAAATTGTCCTGGTCCTCACCACCTATCTCGTGCTAGCCAGGGGATGGGTGTGATGACAGAGCAAAGACAAAGCTTAGTAAATATCTGAAATAATGAAGAAAGAAAAGGATAGACTGAGACCTAAACTAGAACACAAATAAACCCTTTGAAGCCCCGAAGGCTGTCTCATTCAACTAACAATTCATCCACCCTAAAAATTAAGCGTGCCGGGCTCTGGAGCTCCAACAGTGAACAGGTTGAACAATGGTTCATTCCCCCTCCTGATACTGCAATTTCCCAGGAGCTTACAGTGGGTTGGGTTGAAGGGTGCGGAACACAAGGTCCCCTCTAACCCAAGCGCCCTTTTTCTTCCTGGCTGCGGAGAGAGGCACGCATGCGCATAGGAAGGTCCGTCTTTGGCCCGGAACTTTGGTTCCGGGAGCAGCGGCGCATCAGGACCCGGTAGTGTGCTCAGCCGGAAGTGGCCGCTGAGGGCATGGGGTTGACTCTTTTGTGCTGAGCCTACCGTGGCGGCTAAATAAGCGTGAAAAATTAGGATGGAAGCTGTGGCGACTGCGGCGGCAACTAGGGAACCCGATGAAGGTGAGCTCCAGGCGACTCTGAGGTGGCGGGAAGATGGGACTGCTATGTCCTTGGGAGATAATTCCCAAAGCGCGAAGGAGGACTCTTTACAGCGATACACCTGCCCTAAGGCTCACCTGTCCCTTCACCACTTTGTCCAGATTCACCCCTCTCGTTGCGGGCTGACCTCCTTTACCCCATCCCCTTCCGCGAAATTAACCTCTTTGGCGTTCCAATCGAGCCTTTTCCAGGTCCCACTCTAAGCCAATTCCTTGACAGGCTAATTCTCGGGTAACGTAAACTTCTCTCCTGCCTCGGGCTTACTCTACCATTGTCTCAACCAGCCCAGCTTTTTCAAGTTGCCTCCTTCATTTTGGCAAACTGACCCTTCCCTCTCCCTAGACTAACCCTCCTCCTGACCCTTGCAAACTCTGCTTATCCCAGACTAGCGTCTTCCCCCATTTCATTACACTTCCTCTTCCCCCAAAGGTCACAGTCCCATCTGCCACCTTGGGGTCCTTAATCCATGTCTGTGCTCCCCCATTCTGTCTTCTTTGCATTTTGAGTCTCTGCTTCTGATGCCTTCCCATGTGTATCTAAACTGCTTTTGTTTCACTCATCTTAAAATTCCATCCTGCCTACCACTTCAGAATAATCTCATGTAAAGTGAGGTGTGGTTGGCAGGCAGAAACATCACTGACTAAGAATTGGTCATTATCGAAGCTGAATGATGGAAGAGTGAAGGGTTGAACTCTACTTTTGTGCATGTTTGAAATTTTACAGAGTAAAATCTTTTGACCTAAAAAGAAAATCTGTCCCTTGATCTCATGTTCTCTTCCAGAAACCATCTGCCTCTCCTAAGAGTCACCCGTACTTGCTTCCACTTGCTCACCTCCCACCCACTGCAGTCTGGCTTTTACCTTCTGAAACTGTTCTGGTTAGGGTGCCCTATGACCTCCCTGTGTCACCCTGTTCAGTTTTTTCTCATTAGAAGACATGGAAAAAAAAAAAAAAGACATGGAGAATCCAACGCCATGTACCTTTCCATCCTTCTTTAACGTGGTGTGTTTTTTTTTTAAAGATTTTATTTATTTTTAGAGAGGAGAAGGGAGGGAGAAAGAGAGGGAGAGAAACATCAATGTGCCAGAGATACATTGATCAGTTGCCTCTCACAGGCCCCCAACCAGGACTTGGCCCACAACCCAGGCATGTGCCCTGACTGGGAATTGAATTGGCAACCTTTTGGTTGGGAATTGAATTGGTGACCTTTTGGTTCACACGCTGTACTCAATCCACTGGGCCATACCAGCCAGGGTGTTCTTTAACGTTTTTCCTTGGTTTCTCTGACACCCTTCTTTCCAATTTTTTTCTTGTCAGCCTCTATTAGTTTGCTATGGCTGCTATAGTGAATTATCACAAACTAGGTGGTTAAACCAACAGAAATTTATTCTCTGACAGTTCTGGAGGCCAGTAGTCTGAAATCAGTATCACTGGGCTGATACTTAGGTGTCAGCAAGACTGTATGTAGATGAGAACCTCAAAGGCTCTAGGGAAGAACCCATTCCTTGTCTATTCCACTTTCTGGCAGCTCCTGAATTTCTTGGATTGTGGCCACGTCACTCCAATCTCTGCTTCCGTCTGTCTTCACACTGCCATCTCCTCCATGTGTGTCAAATCTTGGGCTCTTTCTTATGGGACACTTGGGATGGCACTTAGGACCCACCTGGATAATGCAAGAGAATCTCCCCATCTTGGGATGCTTAACTTAGTCGCATCTGCAAGACCCTTTTGTTGTCATTGCCTATATAAGGTTACATTCCAGGTTCCAGGAACTAAGACGTGGCTATCTTTTAGGGGACCATTTTTTAGCTTTTCACAGGCCTATCTTCTCCCCATCTGGTCAGGGCTCTTTCCTAGCCCCCTTTCTCATCCCTCACACACACTCCCTGCCCCCGCCCTCCCCATGACCTCTTCTTTCCTTCAGCTTTAATTGTTTTCTGTAACTCTCACAACTCTGCCCCCAGCCCAGCACTTCTGTCCCAAGAAGTCTAGTCCCAGGTACCACCGGTCTCTGAGATGCCTCCCCTTGGGTGTCCCCTGATGCATGTCACAACACTCAGCATCTTCCCTCCCACCTGCTCCTCATCTACATCTCTATCTGAGTCACAGCTTGACTAGTCCAGGAGCCGGAGTCCCGATCTTAATTGGATGCCTCCCTCACCTCCCAGCCCTTCAGTCCAGGGCTTATCTACTTGGCCTCCCAGGCGTCTGTCTGACCGCCACCCCTCCTGTCCCCTCCGCCACAGTCCCTGCCATGGCCCATCGCACTCTTGTGTTGCCAGTGAGTAAAGCCCTGCTTGAAACCCATGCACCTGCAACTCTTACCCCCATGCTCTTCCCCACCCCAGCCAAGCTACCTAAAGGAGTTGTCTGTACTTTTTGTCTTCACTTGGCTCCGGCTTGCTGCAGCCTAGCTCCACTTCCCACCGCTTTGGAGAAGCAGTTCTCACCCAGGTTTGCCTAGTGCTCCGCTGCCTTCTTTCCAGTGCCTGTATTGTCTTTGATCTTGCCTATTTCCCCCATCGCCTGGAGGCTTCTCAAGGGCAGGAGCTGAACTGGATTCCTCCTGCGACTCCTCCGCATTACCCAGCTCAGAGCCTTGAATAGATTTACAGTTCCTGAAGAGCAGTTGGATGAATTGTAAATGAGTAGGAGAGGATGAATGAGTGAGTGAACAGGTCAGTGAAATGTATTAAATTTCCTGAACAAATGAAAAGACAAAGAATTGAGTGAATCTGTGAACGAGGTGGTGGAGGAGCAGGTAACCACACCAAATGCACTCCTGCCTCAGGGCCTTCACACTGGCTGTTCCCTCCGCCTGGACTCTTCTCCCCAAGAAACCTCCTGGCTCGGTCCCTCACCACCTCCCATCTCTACTAACATGTCACTTTTTTGGGCAAGTTTTCTCTCTCAGAATTGCAGTCCCTCTCCCCGTCACCCCTCCTTCCACCTGAATTTTTTTTTTTTTTTTTGCACAGCTCTTGGGACCACCAGACACACTGTATGTTTTCTAACACATAATATGTTTTTAGTAATTGTTTTTAATTATCTGCGCCCCCCACTAAAATGTCAACTTCTTGTTTACTGTGGTATCTCGAGGGCCTAACACAGTGCCCAGATTAGAGTAGGTGCTCAAGAAATGTGAAGTGAGTGAGGGACTGAGCACCCACTCCCACTCCCCGTCCCCTTCTCCTGTCCCTGGATTAGGAAATCTCCCCTCTGCCCGCAGGCTGCACGGGTCCCGGTCCTAGACACTGGGGAGAGCTGAGCTGGGTGCCGGTTCCGTCCAGACCCCTGGACAAGGAGGCGGCAGCGGAAGGAGAGCCAGGGGCCCTGGATGACGACTCCTCTGGGGCCGAGAACACGGAAGTGAGCGCTATGCTGCGTGCCGTGGCTGCCAGCCGCCTGCCCGTGTGCAGCCAGCAGCAGGGAGAGCCTGACCTGACCGAGCAGGAGAAGGTGGCCATCCTGGGCCAACTCTACCACGAGAAGCCACTGGTGTTCCTGGAGCGTTTCCGCACGGGCCTCCGCGAAGAACACCTGCCCTGCTTTGACCATTTGCGTGGTGACCATCGTGCAGACTTCTACTGTGCCGAGGTGGCCCGGCAGGGCACTGCCCGACCCCGCACCCTGCGCACCCGCCTGCGTAACCGGCGCTATGCTGCCCTGCGTGAGCTTATCCAAGGTGTGGGGGCAGATGGGCTGGATGGGAAGGGAAACTGAGGCAGAGCAAATAAGGAGGAAGCAGAAGCAGAAATATAGACAGAGATCCTGGGAGAGCAGTGTTGCAACAGGGGGTGCAGGGGATGCAGGGGAGGACTGATACAGATGTGAAGTGACGGGGTGAGACAGGCAGACTAGATAAACAGGGATGTCGGGGAAGAGCGTGGGAACAGCAGAGGTACCACTGCAGCTCTGTGGGCCAAGGGTACAGCACCTCTCACCGTGGCGACTGCTTATCTCAGGAAAATCAGATCCCTCCCTCCCACCGGACACAGAGACATTGTTGGAAACCGAGGGGGGGGTGTTTGTGACCCCGAGGACACAAAGGCCCTTGGAAACAAGACACAGGTGAAAAGCATGAAGGCAAACATCAGTATGTTTGACCACAGCATGACAAGTGTTCCTGTGACCAAGGACACCAGAACTAGAGGGGAAGGGTGAGAGCGAATGAAGCAGAGAGTAAGAAAGTTTCTGGTTAGGGAGACGGCACAGGCTGAGGGGAATGGAAAGAGCGGGACACAGTGACACATGCTCAAGGTGACAGCAGGGGAGATGATGAGTGAGGGAGGTTGGGTGACAGAAACTGGGGTCAGAGAAGGAGGGGGAGAAGTAGAATCGGGTGGGAAGCACCAAAGCCAGGGGTAAGAGAGAAGGCAAGATGGAAGGCAGGACAGGGCTGTCACACCTGAAGCCAGGATTTTGGCAGATTCCTACCCTGCGCTTTGAAGGTTGGGCTAGGGCCAGTAGGTGGGAGGGACCCGGCTCAGTTTAACTGTTACGTGAGGGACAGAGTTGCCCTGCAGAAATAGGCAGCCAGGAGAGATGCAGAAGACCCGGGTTTGGGGTGTAGAGGGTGCCAGGCCTCCCCGGCGGGTAGCTGTAGAGAGGAGCACCAGGGAGCGGTGAGAGCCAGGCTCTGGAAGGCCAGCAGGCACACCGCCCCTGGGCAGAGGCCCTGCCCTACCTCCACGCACATGCCAGCTCCACGCAGATGTACACTTACGTGCCCAGCAGTGCAGGGGTCTCCAGGTGTGTGCACCACGGCCAGATGGGGCTCAGCGAACAGGCACACAGCCTATAGCCTGTGCGCACACCTGCCCGCACCACCCCGCATGCCAGCTGTAGGTGCCTGTGGCAGTTCCCCGACTCACGTGGGAGGGTGTGGGCAGGCGTTTGTCCACAGGCCCCAGGCCACCGATGCCGGGAGCCAGGGTGTCCGTGGGTCTGACTGTGCACAGACATGCTGGGACACACGAGTACAGGTCCTCAGAGGCGTGCATGAATACTGGTGGCCACACGGCCTCAGGCGTCTGCTTATTTTCCTACACATCTGAGCTCGTACACACGGTCACACATGTGCTCATATCTTCCTACCAGTACGGTCACTCACACACAGACACCATCACCCTACACCCTGCCTCCTCCGTGCAGGGGGCGAGTACTTCAGCGATGAGCAGATGCGGTTCCGGGCCCCGCTGCTGTACGAGCAGTACATCGGGCAGTACCTCACCCAGGAGGAGCTCAGCGCCCGCACCCCGGCCCACCAGCCGCCCAAGCCCGGCTCCCATGGCACGCCCGCTTGCCCACTGTCTGACCTGCTGCTCCAGTCCTACCAGGAGCGGGAGCTGCAGCAACGGCTGCTCCAGCAGCAGGAGGAGGAAGAGGCCTGCCTGGAGGAGGAGGAGGAGGTGGAGGACAGTGACCAGGAAGGTGAGGGCCAGTGGCAGGGAGGCCGCAGTATCTGAACTCCACAGTCCTGGGCCTGCACACCTCCCCATTCCACGGCCCAGGCTGGGCCCCACCTGCAAGAGCAGACAGCCAGTCCTCCCCCGCCTGACCCGAGTGCCCTCTGTGCCCTGGCCCTTCCCGGCCTTTCCAGCATCTGTGTCCCCACTCCTCCAAAGCACCGAGCAATCCCTCACTTCCAGGCCTTTGCCCATGTCTCCTCCCCTGCCAGGAATGCCTTCCTTCCACCGCCTTGCGGGTGCCAGTCCTGGCCCTGCTCTGCAGCCCCCAGAGCGCTGGCTTGTCATTGTGTGTTCGGTGTGTGCTCCAGGAGGGTAGGGGCTGAACGGGTTTTTGGTCACTGCTGTATTCCCGGTGCCACCCAGCACCAAGCAGCAGCTCTCTCTGGGCTACATGCAGCGTCTGCCTCAGTGTGTCCTTCATACACCCCCACCTCGGATGTCTCCCCCTACAGACCAGAGCTCCGGCCAAGACTCCGAGGCCTGGGTCCCTGACTCAGAAGAGAGGCTGATCTTGCGGGAGGAGTTCACCAGCCGGATGCACCAGCGCTTCCTGGACGGCAAGGACGGGGACTTTGACTACAGGTGCTCCCGTGCCCCCACTTCCCTGTCCCCCAGGCCAGCACTTCACAGGCCTCAGCCACATGCTCAGCTGAGGCACCCCTCTGGGGCCTCGGAACAGGGCCAGGTCTGCCGGCCTCGGGGCTTCAGACCAGCCACAGATCAGAGGGTGGCCGCGGCCTAGTTTGTCCATCTGAGAGCCTCAGTCCTCTCCCCAAATGGAAGGAGGGAATGAGCAAGGCTGACCTGCAGCTCAGTATTGACACAGCGTTGAAACACTTCCACTCTGGCAAGTGGGGTGGCCTGGCAAGATGCCACGACCTCAAGTGCCCCAGGACCCCAGACCTTGCGCTACGGGGAGTAACCCCTGGCAGAGTACTGTGTGGCCGGGAAGGGCCTGTGGTGGCTGCCGCTGCAGTGCTGGTGGCTGATTCCTCCAGTTGACGCCAGGGCAAGACACATGGGCCACCTGACCTGAAAAGGACTTTGCCATCAGGGAGGACACAGGAGGGTGAGACATCAAAACCCAAAGTGAGCGGTGTTGTCAGCAAGGCAGTCCCTCACCTGTGGCCCTGAACACCAGCGTGGCCGCAGGGGCTCTGGTTTCAAACCCAGCTCTGCTGCCACGTGAACAAGCGGCCCTCTGGGCGCACAGCAGCAGCACAGACTCGCCCAGCTCTGGAGCTGGGCCTGGGGGGTCCACGTCCCCCTGGGGCCAGCCTTGCGACCCGAGTGCCCACAGAGCAGTGAGCGGAGTGCCTGGGCCGTGGGCGCCCTGGTGAGGACACTTGTCGTCGTAAAACCCGTGAGAACCTGGGCCTGTCGTGAGGAATGGAGAACAGTGGGCACCGAAGCCTGCTCCCTCCAGGGGGCACTGCTGGGCAGAGTGCGGAGCAGTCCCTCGTGCCTGCTCTGCCCAGGCTCTGGGGCTAAAGCAGGGGACAAGCGTGATGAGGGGGTTGCCTGCCCTGGAGGGGGGTCCCACTGTAGTGAGGAAAATGAAGAAGCATCAAGCGTTTAGTGACCATGGGCCATGAAGAACCGTGCAGGGGGGCTGGGGAAGGCTCTGAGCACAGACACCTGGGGGAAGAGTGTCCCTGGAGAGGCTGCTGGAGGGGCAGGAGGTCTCATCGCAGGCAATGGGGCGTCCTGCACGGGGGTGAGCTTGACATAGGGGGTATTCGTGGTGGAGCCGGGCTCCTGACAGCTTAGGGCCACTTGTCACCTTAGGGCAGTTTCTGGGCCTCAGCACTGTTGATCTTGGGGCGGCGTAATTCTTTGCGGCGGCGGGGGGGGGGGCAGCGTTCTGGGTGCAGCAGTGTGCTGAATAGTGCCCCTGGCCCCACCCACTGGCAGCGGGCAGCACCTCCCCAGTTGTGACAACCAGGTGTTCTCTGGGGGGACACCGCCTTTCTGGGTGAGAACCGGCGCCTTGACAGCGTGGGCCCCAGCGTAGTCCCATCACATCGGCCAGCTTTTCGAGAGGAACCAGAGGTTTTTATGTAAAATCTCTGATTTGGAAAGTGTTGCCTTTTGTCGGAAGCCCTGAGAGACCCAGGGTCCCCCTCCGAGGAAGGGTTAGCTGGGACTTGGAGCTGCAGCGTGTGGCCTCTGACCACAGGGCCATGCCCCCTGCTTCTCTGAGGTTGAGGGGCAGAGGTGGGGGCCGGGGCCCAGGCGGAGCCAGCCCCTGACAGCACCGTCCTTCTGCAGCGCAGTGGACGATAACCCCGACTTTGACAATCTGGACATTGTGGCCCGAGATGAGGAGGAGAGGTACTTCGATGAGGAGGAGCCTGAGGATGCACCCAGCCCGGAGCCGGACGGGGACTGAGGGCCCAGCCACCCTCCCTGCCCCGGCCCACGGAGGCAGCTGATGGGCGGCTGGCTCAGAGACTTTCTTCGGGGGCCCCATGCAGCCGCCACAGCGCTGGCCCCTCGGGGTCTGGGCCCGTCGAAGGCTGCCACTCGACCTGTGTCTGCAGTCCCCTGCCTGCCCCCCGAGTCCAGCCCCGGCTCCCTGTCCCCACCGCTGTCTCTTAGTTTCCTTCCCTGTCCTTTGGTCACTGTCTCCTGCCTTTCTGTGTCCTGCTGTCCGAGCCCCCCTTTCTCCACCTTGTTCTCTTCCGTCTCCCCTTTCCTCTGTGCCTGGGCCTCGTCCCCGATGCAGGGCGAAGGTCCTTCCCTCACGAGGCAGCAGGGCTCTTTCTGGCTGCAGCCGGCCAGGCTGACACCAGTCCCCAGCTTGGGGTTGGGCTGGCCTCTGGGCCCCAGAGCAGCTCGCTGTCTCCCCTCCCGCCCCCTGCCTTGCTGCTTTACCTGTCCCGTTTGTGCTGAGCTCTCCCGGCCTCTTACGTTCCCTTCTGCCCTTCAGCCTCGTGGGCCTGTGGCTGTCCCTGCCAGTGCATCTCCAACTCCCAGCCCCTGTGCCGTCTTGGTCTCTCACCCTTCTCACTCTGGGTTTCAGTGTCATCCTTGTTGTGCCCCTTGAGTGGGACCTCCCTGCAGACAGGGGGGGAGACCAGAGGTGGCCACAGGTGTCACCTCTCCATCGGGACCTTGGCCCGGGAGGAGTGGGCAGGGCAGCACCGGGCATCTGGGGCCTGCCAAGCTGAGGTGTGGGGGGAGGGGTGTGGGGGAGGGGAGCTCGCCCCTCCCCACCCACGGCCCCCCTCTGCCCAGCCACAGTTTTCCCTTCGTTCACTTCCTTCGCCTCCCTCTCCCTCTCCTGTTTACACTCTCCAAATACTCACAGGCTGTTATCATGGGTCCTGAGTCATCCCACACACACAGGCTGCCCCTCGTCTCTGCCCCCAGCCAGCCACAGGGCCCGCCCCACAGAGCCCCCTGCCTCCCCAGGCTAATGAGAGCCAGATGGCCGCCTGGTGACTCAGCCACTGGCCTGTGGGAACCCAGGCGTCCCGCCTTCCCATGCCCCCACACCCAGCTCGTGCTCCCCTAGTAGACACACGGAAAAGGACTGTCTGCGGGATGGCATGGCCAAGGGTCAGGAAGGCAGGGTCTGGGGACTTGGACCTGGGCATGGCAGCATCAGTGTCCTTCCGAGGCCAAGCCTGAGGGGCCTCCAAGTTGCCTCCGAGCACCAGGTCCAGAGTAAGCAGAGACCCCAAGGTATGCTGGGGCCATGGCTGTTGACCCCTGGGTCTCAGCTCTGTCTCTAGGTCAACCAGAATTCGAGCCAGACACAGAAAGTCAAAGCCAGAAGGGGCCGAGGGACACTCAGGCTGTTCAGTGAGACTTCAAGAAAAGGAAAGGTGTGTTTTCTGGGCAGTTTTACTTTGTGCCAGGCTCCCGCAAGGTACCTGAGGCTGCACCGAGTACCCCAGACGTCCCTCGAAACTAGGGACTCAGCTCGTGGAGGGGACTGGTCATCGGCGATGGAAATGCAGCTCTAGAGCCACAAGAGTCCGAGAGAGCTCTCTGGGGCCTGCCTGCCGGCTGCCAGGCCCCGCAGGGTGGGCAGGTGACAGACGTCCTCAGACGGGGAGGTGGAGGCTAGCTGCGGGGGTGGCGGCAGCTGACGTCTGGGGGCCCTCCTCTGGCACCAGGCCATCTTCCACGCAGACGTGAGGGAGCCGTCCTGGTGGAGAAGGCAGTGCTTGAGGCACGGACGTCACAGGGTCCTGTGGGCTGCGTGCTGTCGCTGCCGCTGCCCCACCTCCCAGAGGAGGCTCAGCGGGCACTCCGGCTGTGAGCGGTCCCTGTCACGGGCGTCTGTGCACACTTCTCACCAGTCTATCATCCGGTCATTAAATTTGTGATATACTTTGCCATACATAGATTTGTTTGTTTATTTTAAGCAATGAGGGACCACAGCTGAGTAAGAAGTAGGGTGAGTCAGATGGTGAGACGGGAGCGTCAGTAGCTGAGACAGAGGTGGAGCTGGTCGAGGGACGAGGACAGACAGCCCCCAGGTCGCAGCCCCAGAGCAGCGGAGACCTGGAGGTGCCCGAGTGGCCTGCCCCTCGCTCCCACTCCCGGGTCGGGGTGGGTGGAGAGGCTGAGTCAGGGAGGGAGGGCCCCGTGGGGGGGAGCCCCTCTTGGCACATCCGGCCCCCGCCCCCACTCCTCCCCCCCACGGCTGACACCTCTGTGGGTCCCGCCAAAGCTGACATGGGTGACTCCCCGCCCCGCCTCCAGGGCCTGCGGGCTCTGTCCTCTGCCCGCTTCTCCCCTTCCTCGGCCCCCACGCTCCTCTCTGTCACCCTTGCCGCGTCCCCGCCTCGGGCTGTCAGTGTTACCCTCAGTCCCTTCCCTGCCTCCTCGTTCTCCCTGGGCCCTGCCTGCTCTCGCCCCCTCATTCCCTGCGTCTGTCACTGTCTGGTTACCCCATTTCCCCTGCCTTTCTGTCGGGGCCCCCCTCACTGCCACTCTTGCACCTCTTTACCCTCCTTTTTTCCTGTTCTTCTCCCCGCTGTCTCTCTCGGCCTGGCCCCCTCGCCCCATCTCGTCTCCGGCTCCCAAGCCCTTGGGAAGCCCAGAGGGGATGTCCAGGTTAGGAGTTCACTGGCCGCTCCTGGGAGCCCAGAATCAGAGGTCGCCCCCACCCAGAAAGGGGACGGGAAGGGGCAGTGAGGTTGCGGCCTGTCTGGCCAGAAGGAAGTGTCTGTGCTGTGGCCTGGTCACCACCCCCAAACCGGCCCCCAGGACCTGCCGCGCTGCCGCCGCCCCCAGACTGGGACAGAGTAAACACCGCTGCCGGCAGCCCGGGATATTTATACCGAGGGCCGGGCGCGGGTCCAGTGCCCACCGCAGCCCCTGCCCTGCCCTGCCCTGCCCTGCCCGCCACAGCCAGCCCCAAGCCAGCGTGGCACCAGTCGGTGAGGGGACACGCCGCACATGCGGCCTCCACTCAGCACGGAGGCCACCAGGCGAGCTGCCCAGGATGCCAGTGGCTTCACTGAGGACTCAGGATGCCCCCTCGCCTGGAAACACCAGCACAAAATGCTCACGAACGCACACACACACCCCACCGGGAGCTCAAATGCCCCCCCCCCCAGGGCAGCGCAAAACAGCACAGCACTGCTCACACACTGAAGCCACCAGCCCAGTGCAGACGCCACCTGCTCACAGAGGCTGCCTGCACACCGGTCCCCGAGATACACACACACACACACTGGGAGTGGCGGCAAGCAGGCTGGACACACACCCCGTGGACACAACATGCTCAGACACACATGCTGGTCACAGTGGGGCCCAGGAACAGCTCGCCTGCAGACTCGGGGGCCTGTCCTCACATGGAAAACACGGCTCTTGTAAGAAAACACACACAGCGCCTCCTGGAAACACCTTTCTCACAGACGCACACACAAACACAGACAACACCCACGTTTCAAGTCAAGCTTAGCTAGGGATGCTCAAACTCAGGCCCGGAGAAGAGCAGCAAAAATATTAAGAAAAAATTCAAACACGTCACACGCCCCAGGCATCCGACCCACTTTGCACACAGACCTCCCAAGTCACACGCATCGGGACACAGAGCCCAGCGAGCCCACCAACTTGTGCAGCAGGCACACACACCAGGAACGCGGCAATCACTAACACACACATTTGAACACGTGCTGGAAATTCCCAACACAGCCTCCAGCTACCCAGCTAGTGTGTAAAGAGACCCCCGTGCTAGATACACAGAACTCACGCCACAAAGCTTGGGGACACACACACACACAGAGGTGTCCTGAACACAGTCTAATTCACATTAAAACTGAGACCAACCCTCAGGATGTCTAGAGAGAGATTTAGTGGACGGGGCTGTTGTCTGTGTGTGTGTGTGTGTCCCCCCCCCCCCCCCCCCCGTCTCTCACCCACTGACCCGAGTCCCAGGCCTGTCTGGGGGAGGGGCAGGAAGGCCTGAGCTGGCCTCCCCCGGCCCTGCTTCCTGCCCTGTGGGGGCTGGATAGGAAACCGGGGCTCAAGCCGGAACCCAGGCTCCCCCCACAACTTCCCGGCCTGCTCAGAGGCAGGGGAGGGGAGCGGGGCCCTGTGAACCCCCCAGTCCGGCCCTTGCGGTTGGTTGGGGGCCTGAGCTGCCTTGTCCCTCTGGCTCCTGGCCACCCTGGGGAGCAGGGGGAGGGCCGGAGCAGCACTCACGTGGTGAGAAGGTGCTGACCCTGCAAGTTTCCTTCAAGGCGGCAGGCAGGTGGGCGGGTGTGTCACGAGGGAGTGGCCAGCGCTCAGGCACCAGGAGTGTGACTGAATCCTAGTACACAGCCAGGACTTGTCCTGGGGCCCAGGCACGAGCTGGGCGTGTGAGGGCCGCGACCCTGGGGGTGTGTCCGAGTGTGTGGGACTGCTCCGTCTGGGACCGGGGGCGTGACCGAGTGTCTGGCTGTGACGGGATGGCTGCTGCCTGCCAGGTCGCGTGGGACGCCCCAGGCCTGAGTGTGTGGGGCCACGAAATGTCAGACCAAGTGGGCACGACCGCCTGGCAGTCTGTGCGATCACGACGTGTCAGATCTCTGTGTGTGGTGTGTGCTCGGGGGACGGACGGGTCAGGTCGTGTGTGTGTGTGTGCATTTGTGCCTGTGACTGACCCCAGCGAAGGAGGATGTTTGTGTAACTGCTGATGGGTCTCTGCCAGAGGCTGTTTCACTTCCTCGTGCTGTGAGGGGGTGGGGTGGGTGTGTGGCACTGTCTCTCAATCTATGGTGTGTGGTGGTTGCGAGCGTGACCCTGCAGAATGTGTTTGTGTGAGTGAGTTTTGCCGTGTCCCTGCTAAAGTCTCTGCTTTACTGTGCAGGGTCCCAGTCAAGCTCCAGGTGGGCTATGTGGGTGTAAAGGGGTGGCACGCGGTGGCTGTGCCTGCTGCCAGGCGTCCTGCAGGGGTTTCCGTGTGCTCGCCGTGGCTCCCGGGAGCTCAGTGTGTTTGCGTGGCTGTGGGACACTGTCTGTACTTCAACCCGTGTGTGTGAATATTCGCGCACGTGCGCCATGGGGCTGCAGTGGGTCACGGTGTCCTTTCAAATGTCTCCACACGGGGGGCCAGTGACAATGGCTCCATGTCCCGGCATAGGGAGCACTTCCTGCTCCCTCCCCACCCCACCCTCTGTGGCTCCCAGACCTGTGGCAGGAGGAGTGACCACACTGGGCCCACTCACCCAGACCTAGGGCTACACACGGGCAAAGGAGCCTTACCCCCACACAGCCCTCCCCCAGGGCACCCGTGCACAAGGACCCAGGACCTGGGACGGGGAGGGGAGAGATGGAGGAACTGAAACCCTGGAGGAAGAGGGGAGACCAAGAGGCCTGAGAAAGAGGAAGCAGGGAGAATTCACCCGCAAGGCCACAGCAGATGGGAAGGGACGAGGCCCAGAGGGAAACCCAGCCCGGTGTAGGCACCAGCGCCTCTCACCTGGACCACGTTCTCACTCATCTATCTACTGTCAGCCATCAGCCAGAGGCTTCCTCTGAGCACCCGAGTGAAATCGCACCCCTCCTCTACACGGAGCTCTGCCAGGGCTGCCGTCTTCCCCGGGGTACAGGTTCTCACAGGTTCCCACGCCCTGTCGGACCGACGCGGTCTGGGAAGCGGTCAGGTCAGCACCAGTGCTGAGCCCCCAACTCCTGCTGCTTGGTGTGACTCCCCTCTCTGCTGCTTGTGTTGTTAGCTAACAAGTAACCTTTCCGTGCCTCAGTATTCCCACCTATAACACGTCTCTATAGCAGCAGTCGGCAAGGTTTTTCTCTTAAAGGGCCAGATAGCAAATATTTTTGACTTGGCATAGTTTCTGCTTACCTCGGGCCTTGTAGCACTAAAACAGCCCGAGAAGATCCGAGTCATGGCTGTGCTCCAATAAGTCTTTACAGAAACAGGCAGCGGGTCAGAATTTGCCTGCAGGCCACAGTGTGCCAGCCCCTGCCTCTGCTGTGCTGTGGGGGGAATACAGTGAGCTGGTAGATTCATACCTGGCATGAAGGATTGTTATTACTCTCTGGCCTGGGAGTGTAACCATCTGACTCAGCTCCCAACACCCTTCTCCTTGCCCCTCCCTTCCAACCACTCTGGCCTGTTCCTGCCTCCCTCACCCCAAGTTTATCCTCACTTCTAGGCCTTTTCTTCCTCCTCCCATGAACACTCTCCCCATAGCTGCCTTCGAGTCCCAAAAGCCACCTTTCCCAAGAAGCCCTCCCTCCTCCATCTCACACTCCATCCTGCTTTCCTGTCTGCATGCCGCTCACCATGTCAGTCTCTTGCCCAGGAGGCGGGTTCCTGGTGGGCGGGAATGACTCCCTTAACCTGTCTGGGCTTCAGTTTCCTCCCCTTTCAAGTGGGTGTTATTAAAGTTCCCAGTATCTCAGAGCTTTGTTAGGGTGATTGAATGACAAGACCCAAGGTGCTCAATAAATAAATCTAATGTTTACCAGGAGTACACTGCTTGGTGAGTGTCTGAGGAGGAGCAAATGAATGGTGGAGAGAGACTGGAGGAGGCAGGTGGAGCGGGAGTCCCGAAACGGTAGCGAGAGACCTGGTCAGGCGCCCAATGACACAGAGACCCCCTACTCCTCTCTCCACCTTTAATGGGCCCCCTGGTGTGCTTGGGGGGCGGTGTCCTTAAATACAGCCCGTCAGGGCGGGCAGGGGTCGGGGCCGGGCCTGCCGGTGGGCGGGGCCTGGGGGCGGAGCCTCAGCTGCACTTGCAAGAGCGCACGATCATGTTCGACAGTTGCTCCACCTTGGGCTTGCGGCCCACGTAGTACACGATGGGCAGCGGCTCCAGCGCCTGCGGCACGCAGCACGGCGCCGCCGACGCGCCCGGGTTGTGCTGGTTGTACAGGGCCAGGACCTGCAGGTGGGCGGGCGGGGTCAGGGCCGAGGTCTCGGGAGAGTGCCCCCACCCTGCCAGCCGCTCCCTATCTCCCTAGTCTCACCTCACCAGTTAGGTCTAAATCTCTGCCTCTCCCCATTTCCCGCTCTTGGCTTGTAACTCAATCTTTCTGTCTACTTCCTTCTTCTTAACTCGGTCTCCCTGTATCAACCAGTGCCCTCCTGCTTTTTTCTCTCTCTCGTTCTGCCTCTGAGTTTCTTTCTCCCTCCATCTCCTCACTTCTCCCCTCACCCCCTACCGGTTACTCTGTCCCCACGGGTCTGGCCACATCTCTATCTCCCTCCGCGCCCTGTGTCTCTAACTGCGCAGAAGCAGTCGGTAGCTCCTCTCCCATCTCTTTATCATCCCCTCCTCCAGTCTCCCAGTCTCTCCCTTTTTCTCTTTCTCTCCTCACTTCATCTCCAGTTGTACCTCTCTCCCTCCGTCCCTGCCCCCTCCAGCCTGTGGGCCAGACGCACCTTGCTGTACTGCGTGTCCAGGCTCCAAATGTAGGGGCAGGGCCCCAGGCAGAAGTTGGCGTGGTAGCCCTTGGGCTCATGGATCCACTTCCAGCCCAGATCCTTGCGGAAGTCAATGTAGAGCTGCCGCACGCAGCAGTTTTTCTCTGTAGAGCTGTGGGCATGGATGAGGAACCCAGGTCAGGAGGGCAGAGGGGCTGGGGGGCGGGGAGCTGACCATGCCCCTTCTCCCTGGAGGGGCGTGTGTGGGCATGAGAGAGAGCGAGCCCCATCCCCATCTTGGTCTCCCTTGCACCCGGGATAACAGCAGCAACAGTACTGATAATCACCAACCCTGATAAAGCACTTCCTCTAGTCAGGCACTGTGCTCAGAACATCAAAATAAACTAGCTCATGCGGTGCTCAAAACAAACCTTGTAAGAAGCCCAGTGACCATCCAAGAGGAACATCTACACACTGGAACATAAAAAACCCAGTGCAGCCCTGGCTGCTATAGCTCAGTGGATTGAGCATGGGCTGCGAACCAAAGGGTCTCCAGTTTGATTCCCAGCCAGGGCACATGCCTAGGTTGCAGGCCAGGTCACCAATAGGGGGTGCACAAGAGTCAACCACACATGGATGTTTCTCTTCCTCTTTCTCCCTCCCTTCCCCTCTCTAAAAATTTTTTTAAAAAAAATTTAAAGAAGCATAGTACAGCTCCATGTGTACTAATACTTCCACGTGCAAATGTTTACTGAACATGTGTGCTGGGCCGGGTCTACAGGGGACTTAGCACACATAACACAGAAATACCTGCTCTCTGGGGTCACATGCGAGAGACTGCCATGTTGCTCCTCTGCTCCAAACATCGCTCCGTCTCACTAAGGACAAATACTGGAAGCCTTCACCATGCACCACAAGCCACTACTGGGTCAGACTACTCTAAGCTCCCCCTCCGGTCTCACTCCAGCCACACTAGTGTCCTCACTGTTCCTCAAACAGTCCTACCCCAGGGTCTTTGCACTTGCTGTTCCCTCTGGCTTGCTAGTCCCACAGATACCTGCTCTGGCTTGTTTCTTCACTTCCTCCAAATGCTCAAATGTCCTCCGCTCAGGGAGCCTCACTGCTAGAACACTGCCAGGCATGCAGCCGCTGCCCAATAAACAGTGAAACCAATGAATGGCATCTCTTCAGAGAGTCCTTCCTGGACCATCTTATCCAAACTACCCATCTAAATACAATTCCATTCAGTGTAACAAAAGCATTGCAGGAATGCAAGAAAATACGAAAATATCTGGTCCTAGAGGGGAGAAGGAAGGGAAGTTCAGGGGGAAAAGGGGGAGGGATTTGGAGGAACAAATAGGAAGGACACAGGGATGAGAACTAAGGGGGGTGGAAATGGGAGGGAGGTGGGGAGCAAGGGGCAGGGGAGGCTGGGATGGGAGAAATAGACAAAAAACTGTACTTGAAAAATAACTAAATAAAAATAAATAAATTAATTAATTAATTAATGCTGGCAATATTAAAAAAAAAAAAAAAGAAAATGTCTGCTCCTGACTGGTGTGGCCCAGTGAGTTGGGCGTCTTTCCACAAACTGAAAGGTCCCCTGTTTGATCCCAGTCAGGGCACACGCCTGGGCTGCGGGCCAGGTCCCCAGTTCAGGGTGTGTGAGAGGCAACCGATCGATGTTTCTCTCCCTCCCTCTCCTCTCTCCAAAAACAAATAAATAAAATCTTTGTTTTATTTGTTTAAAAACAAATAAATAAATAAAAAAATGACTGTATTTGAAATAGGACAAAATCTTAAAACCTGTGGAAGCTGCATGAGAGTTCATTATGCTACGCTACTTGCTTTTACATACATTTGAAATTTTTCATAATGGAAATTCATCAGAATAGGAAAAAACAGTCTCCAATACCTTTCTTTCTGTTTTTTTTTTTTTTTCTGATTTAGTTTCCCTCTTAGAACTTATAGCCACCCACTCTTTTATTTGTTAGGGATTGATTTGCAAGATCTATTCATTATCTGCCTTTCTCTGAGGAAAGGACATTTTTCTTTTCTTTTTTAAAGATTTAATTTATTTATTTTTGGAGAGAGAGGAAGGGAGGGAAACATTGATCGGTTGCCTCTTACACACTGCACACTGGGGACCTGGCCTGCAACCCAGGCATGTGCCCAGATTGGGAATCGAAGCGGCTACCATGTGGTTTGCAGGCCAGTGCTCAGTCCAGAGCCACACCAGTCAGGGCAGGACAGGACTTTTTTTCTCTTTTGTCCTCTAATGTATCCCTGGTGCCTACAGCAGTGTCTGGCACACGGTAGGCACCTTGCAAATATTGGATGTATAAATCAATTGCTCGATGTGTTAGATTTTTTAAAAATCACATTGAAGAATAGTGGTATATAAGATGCTACCAATTCTGGACTTAAAAATCTCTGTCCCGTGTTCAGATCCAAAGACCAGTCGTCCAGAGCTGGGGCTTGTTTCAAAGGACCTGGGCATTAATGGCCCCTGGGGTCACGGCGGAGAGGGGCAGGGAGCTTGGCTACATAGCCCGGCTCGTGGGCAGCCAGGAACACTATATATTCCACAGTCGTGAAAGAAACACTGTGCCAAGCAGAAGGCACAGTATGATCCGAATTCTATTTTGCATAAAGCAACTGGAAGGAAATATATTAAAATGCTGATGGTATGATGGGTAACATCATACCATTTCTACGACGTTTGTATTTAGCATGATGGATGATATCCTTCTGTCCTTTCCAAATTCTCAGCAGTGGATACGTGTTACTTTCAGAATCAGCAAAGAAATGAAAAGAATGAAAGTGCAGCCCTGCACCCCCGCCCCTGCCCCACCGAATAAGACCCTACCATTTGGACTAAACAGACGAAACACGTAAAAGTGCCTCATGCAGACACTCTCTGGAAGGAGACACAGATACGAGTCAAAGTGGATGCTTCCTCAGAGAGGTCAGGGGTCAGAGCTGGAGGTTCTCTGAGATCCTCTCTGGGCTGGGTCCACGTGCATGGATGTATCTACTGACACAGTAATCAACAGAGAATTCATCAAGTAACTTCAAAGCCCTGCGAGGCGAGCCTTCTTATTATTCCTGTTTTTCAATTATTTTTTACTTAGTGATTTGAGATAGAGAGAGGGAAAGGAGAGAGGGAGAGAAAGAGAAACACTGATTTTCTGTTATGTGCCCTGACCAGGGATTGAACCCGCAATGCTGGTGTACTGGGATGATGCTCTAACCAGTTGAGCACCTGGCCAGGGCTATTATTCCCATCTGAAGGATGAAAAGCTGAGCCCCACATGAGAAGGAGGTTGCCTGCTCACATACAGTGTGTAAGGGGTGGAGTCAGGTTCACAGCCAACTCCGTGCTGCCCCAGAGCTTGTGGCCTCAGCTGCCCAGAACAATCGTGTCAACTCAAACGGAGAAGGAAGTGATAACACGGGATCTCCTGGGGCAAGATCTTTCTAAGAGCCACAGAGCCCTAAGAGTCAGGAAATTGAGGTCCTTCAGCTCTGCCAGTCCCTCAGTTTCCCCATCAAAGATGCAGGGGGCATTGAACCAAATAAGGTGTCCATATCCTGTGGTCCAAGCAGGTGTCAGGAAGTCTGCGTATGGGCTTAGGGAGGGTCCTGAGGCCCCCAAACCATATGCACATATATGTGTACGCATGCACCTTCTTCTGGGGGAAAAGGTTCCTGGCTTTTGGCTTCTCAAGGGGGTCCTGGACCCACAGAAGGGGAAGACCCACTGTCCAGAATAATCCTTCATTTCTGGTCCAATTCTGGCTGAGGTTCTGAGATTTAAATAGTCTGTGACTCTATCATCCAACTCAGCTATTCTCCACATGGGGACCAGTAGCAGCACCACCTGGGAACTTGTGGGGAATGCAAATTCTCGGGCTCGGCCCCAGACTTCCTGAACCAGAAACTGGGGGCAGGTGGGACAGAGCAGGCCGGATTCAACAGGCCTGCCAAGTGACCCCCCAGGCACTCACAGTTCTGGGGCTTTGCTGCATTTCAGGCCCTGCAGAGCTCTCCCCGATCCACTCGGTCCATCAGGGCTCAACAGGGCCCGAGGAGTACAAGAAGCTCACTTGGGGCCCCAGGGCAGGCCGAGGGGCCTCACATTCACCTTGGATGTTGGTGAGGGGGTCAGGGAAGCTCCCCAGTGGAGATGGGGTTTGAGCTAAGAACAAGATGGTGTGTGAACCTCAAACGGGCACAGAAGCAAAGAATATTACATCGAACCCTAATGTCTCTATCACCCAGCTTCAACACTCAACAAAGCACACCCAGCCTCACTGTACCAGAGGGGACCCAATACACCCGGAATTCATTTATAAAAAATTGCTTAGTGCTTCTGCCATTTTTTTTTATTTCACCTCTTCCACTTTAGCAAGCTGTCTCCCTTTGAGAACTTTTTTTCATCCAGGGAGACAAAAAAAGTCACTGGGGGTGAGATCAGGTGAATAGGGAGGGTGGGGCACAGGGGTCTCGCTGTTTTGGTCAAAAACTGCTGAAGATTCAGCACAGTGCGGGCAGGTGCACTCAGTATAAATTACACATTGTGAAATGGGCAAACTCAGTGAAAGAGTCTTCAAAAACATTCGCTGGGGCTGAAAGCAGCCTCTCACAACAACGCCAGCTGGTGCGCTGGCCCCGATGGGTTCCTGGAGCACTCACCCAGGGAGGGAAGCCTGCACTACAAGGGGCCACCCTCCAGAAGATAATTCCGTTTCAGTTTTTTTTTTCTTTTTGGTCCTGCCTCCTATCACTATCCCCACCCACTTCCTCTCTCCCATATCATTTCACCCATAAATATTTCCATATGCATCTCCAAGAAATTTCAGGACTATTTTAAAACATAACCGCAACACCGCATTACAAAAGTAACAATAATTCCTTGATATCATCAAATATCTAGTTAGAGTTCACATTTCCCCACTGTCTCCTAAACACCTTTTCTTTTTTTTGAAAAGTCTGCACAAATAAAGATCTAAATAAGGTCCACACACCGCAGTCGGTCAGTACACCTCTCAAGATTCCGTTTCAAATCCACAGAACCGTTTTTCTGTCTATTTCCTGCCTTTGCGTTGTCTCTGCTGGAGAAGATGAGTCAGGTTCCCCACAGTCCTGATGCTGCTCGAGGCGCGCCTGTGGCGGTTTAACACGTCCCACCATCCCTCTATTTCTGGAAAACTGTTAGTCAGATCTACCATCTTAATCAGCTTCAGGATCAACTTTTTGTGCAACACCTCCAAGGTGAGATTGTGTCCCTCTCAACAGAGGCTCACGTGGCTGGCCGGCTGGCTGTCTTTGTATGGTCACTAGCTGTTAGCACCCTAGACCTCAGTCTGTTCATTCACAGAGTGGCCGGGTGGAGGGTAGGGTCTGGAAGGAGCTTGGGAGAAAAGCTGACTTTCCATCGGGGGACCAGCATGTGACAAAGCCCAGAGGCACCGTGAAAATATTAAGCAGGGGAGGGACAGGGTTGGATTATATTCTAACTCTGAATTTTTTTTTTGTAATGTTTTTTATAAATATTTTATTTATTTATCTTTAGAGAGGAAGGGAAGGAGAGAAGGAGAGAAATATCAATGTGTGGTTGCCTCTCATGAGTCCCCTGCTGGGAACTGGCCTGCAACCCAGGCATGTACCCTGACTGGGAATTGAACCGCGATTGTGTGGTTCGCAGGCCCGCGCTCAATCCACTGAGCTACACCAGCCAGGGCTAACTCTGAATTTTAACATTCTAGCAATCCAACTTTTCAACTTTCTTAGACTGGAATACACCAGCATGGGAAGATTCTAACCCTCCGGACAGCATTTTCAGCTTTCTAGGAGTCCTGCATTCCAGTTCTCAAGGATCCTGGCATTCCTGAATTCCAGTATTTCAACACGACATTCCAGCATTCCACAGTTCTGAGCCTATCAGTCAAGAGGTCCAAGCTTCCGCTTTCTAAGATCCCAGCCTTCCAAGAATGTAGCATTCTGACACCGAGCCCCAACACTCTAGGACACCAACATTCTGGCTTCCTCCAGCTCTACCTGTGAGTGCTAGTATCTTCACACGTGACTATACCATTCTGAGCAGAAGACTTGAGGACTCCAATCCGTCAATGGTCCAGGAACCCAACAAGGGCAACCTTCCAATCCCGAATTCCCAAATGAGGATCCCAACACTCCTTGAGTCTAACACTGTCAGATTTCAATAATTAACAGTGAATTCTAGCATCCTAGAACCCCAACGTTCTAGGACCCCAGCTTGTCAATAATATCGAAATTGAACACCGTGGCCTCCCAACATTGAATTCCCATTCTCAGCGCTCAACATTCTAATAGTCTCTGACTCCCACACACCAGCAAGAAAACAACCTGCTCCCAACCTTCTAGGGCTCTCAGGTCACACAGGCCTGCATTCTAGGACTCAAGCCTCATCCTCTGAGCTTTCCAGGCCAAAGGAGACGCCAGCCCAAGCCAGCACAGAACCGGCCAGGCGCCCACCCTGCAGTGCTGGGTCGGGCTCCCCACCCCCCAGGCTGGAAGGCCTCGGGTCTTCACCTGAAGCAGTAGTTGGTGTCCAGGGCTCGGCGGTGCCGGGGGCTGTGCAGGTGCTGGGCTCTCTCCAGAGGGGTGGCCATGAGAAGCAGGAAGGGCCGGTTTATGCCATGAATGGTGGCCAGGTCGCCCCGGCGGCCGACACTGATTCCTGTTCGAGTTTGGGAGCCAGCGGGTTGGGGGGCGGAGAGACATAGACACTCTCAGATGGTGAACGGGCGATGGGCAGGGAGAGGAGGCTGGACACACACACACACACACACACTGCACATGCTGCCAGGACAGAGGGCTGGGCCTCACCGTTGATCTCCACGTGGAGGATGTCATCTTTGCTGTCGCAGGAGCAGTGGGCACTGAGGCGAAAGCCCTGGATTTCGCCTGCAGGAGTGCGGACGGGGGAGCCAGTGTGAGCCTGGGGCTTACCCAGCCCCTGGGGGAGAAGGAAGGAGCAAACCCCTGGGGACTCCTTACTGTCCCTCTTCCTTCACCTTCTTGCTACAGTTCTTTGCCTTGCTGCCTCCTCCTCCACCTTCAGGTCTCAGCGCAAATGCCACCTCCTCCAAGAAGCCCTCCAGGATGCAGGCCCCACTCCCACTGTGACATCACCTTATTTTCTCCATAGCACTGACCCTCTGGTTCTTTTGTCTGTGGCTATTTATTTCCCCCACTGTTCTCAAGGGAGAACAGGATGAACAGGGGCAGGGATCCTTGTTTTCTTGTTCCCTGCAGGCCTGGCCCGTCATCATGAAAACAGACATCTGCAGAGTGCAGGAGTGCCCACGGGGGGCAGGCCTGCTCTTAACACTCTGTGGGCACTATCCCCCTTAATCCTCACCAAAGCCACCCATTCTCCAGGAGAGGGTGCCCAGGCGCACAGACCGCGGGTGGCCTACCCAAAGTGGGAAAAGCCAGGGCTGGCATGCACACACAGCCCATCCAGCCTCTTAAATGAATGACTGGATTTTCTAAGCTGCCTACTATGTGCTGGACCCTATAGTGGGTGCTCTGGACTCAGCAGTGACCAAGACAGGCCTTTGTCCGGTGGCCCTAGATACTCTCCCAGGCCCCACCTGCTCCCTAACCCCCATCTTTCCATCTGGCTAAACCAGCACTCATCCCGTGAGTCTCAACCCAGTCCCCCTGACCCTCAGGGAGCCCTCCCAGGTCACCTCCTCCAGGTGGGTTTGGGCATCTGCTCTGGGCCCCCCACCCCAGCCATCATCCCTCTGGTCATCATGGCCTGCTAGGACTCTGGTAGCACTATCTGGGCCACACCGCCGGCTCAGGGTCAGGCACAGGGTCAGGCACAGAGCAGGCATTTATTGAGTGGCCTCGTGAATAAGGGGGGGATTAGGAAAGGAGGTGAGGGCTTGTGGACTCAGCCAGGACAGGACAGACAGACAGCATCCTCTTCCATAAAGACAGACAGGCTGTGTTGGGCTGTCCCTGGAATCAGGACCAGTGCACAGCCTGTCCCTCTGCCTCTAACAGTCTTGCTGCTCCTTCTTTTCTGGGCTGGTTCCACTCATCCCTCAGACATCAGTTCTGACGTCCCCTCCTCCAGGAAGCTCTCCTTGATGGCAGGCTGCGCGGCCACCGCCTCTGGGCTCCCCATCCCAGGCCTGCTCCCTCTGGGTTTTTCATCCCCTTCCTCCACTCTAGCAATGGACCATGAGTGCTGTGAGGGCAAGGTTTGGGCTGTTTTTGTCACTGCTGTGTCCCCAGGATCATCCAGCACAGGCCAGGTGCTCAGGAAATGGACTGATCCATTAATCACTCAGGTTTGAGTATCTGGGAGGAGGGCCAGGTCTCGGTTCCTTGGCACCACCATAGGGTGGGGGGTGCCGGGCAGAGTATCCCCAGGACAAACAATGGGGTCGACCCCATCGAGAAACAGGATGGGGCAGACAAGAGGTCCTCACCTCTGTGGCTCAGCCACTGCCGCACAACTCCAGTGACCTCAAAGGACAGCCACTCAGGCGTGTCGCTGGGGGCCAGCAGCTGGTTGCTGAGGTAGCGCCAGGAATTGTTGCTGTATTTCTGGGAGGTGGTGAATGGAAGGAGAGAGATGGTGGGGGGATGCTGCCACATGGCCCCATGGCCCCGGCCAGCACCCCACTCTATCCGCTCCCCTAAATGCACCTTCCGAGTCCCTTGGACAGTCCCCTCCCAGACATCCATGCTCGGGGACCCTGCAGGAACAGTGAGCCCCAGGCTGGGAGTCAAGCTACCTAAGAGGTTCAGCCTTGGTCCCTGACCCTTTGGGGCTGTGGATATTCCCTTCTCTCTCCCGGCCTCAGTTTCCTTGCTAGCGAAATGCCAGGTCCCTTTGAGCCTGGACAGCCCACAGCACTCAGATTTTCTTGCAGACATCCTGGGCTTCACTCAGCATACTGTTCTGCAAATTTGACACCCTGTATTCTGAGTCTATAATTTTCTAGGGGCCTATGTTAGAAGTCATTCTATAACTCCAGGGTTTGGCAGCACCCCAAGAATTACACAGTCCATGAGCCTAAGGAGTTCTAAGAAACAAACATTCTACAAGTCCAGGAGTTCAGAAACCCAGAAGCTACAGACACCTGGCAGCGTGTAAAATGACCCCCTGGGGCTGGACAGAACACCTCAGGGGCTGGCAGCATAAAACTGGGTCCTCTAGACACCAAGAAGCTAACCTCAGACAGAGTTCCTTGGTTGTAAGAGTCTGCCATCTACTGTTGAGTCTAACGCTCCCTGTGATGTGGATTCTAGGCCACTTGACCTTCTAGAGATTCCAACCCTTCCAGATGCCCCAAACCTCCTGAAGACTGCACATGTCCTAGGACAGAGCTCTCCAAGAGACCTGTCTGTGATGATGGGACTCATCTGAGTCATGAGAGTTGATCTGAGGCATCCAAGACAGCCGCTGACCACATGTGACTAGGGCCACTGAAAATATGTCCAGTGAGACTGAGGAACTGAATTTTTGCTTTTGTTTAATTGTACTCAACCTCAATGTCCAAATGTAACTATAGAAATGGTCCCTGAAAGTACAGTCTTTTAAATGGCCAAATGTGACTAGTGGCTTCCATATGGGACAGAGTAGATTGAGAACCACCAACCTTTCCAGAGATTTCGACTTTCAAGAGTCCTGTGTTCTAGAATCCAATTGCTAAGATTCCAGCCTTCTAAGTGGTTGACATTCTAGGGTGCTAGGAGTCTGAAGGTTTCAAAGAGCCCTATGATTCCACAGTCTGCACTCCTCCACCCTTCAGGGTTCATCTATGGGGACCTGGCAGCCACCTGTGGCCCAGCTGCCGTACCTGGCCCGTTCCCCCACCTGGTACAGCTCCACGTGCTGTTCCACTTTCAACTTGTGCCTCAGCAGGCGCAGCTCTGCCCGGGAGAGCAACTGGGGTTCGGGGACTGCTTCCCGGAGCTCCGACGTGTTGAAGAACATATATATGCTGTGCGAGTTATGCTTGAATGTCTCATAGATTTCTAGGCAGAAGGAGTGGAGAAGCGAGTGTCAGCGGTGTGGCAGGAGCAGGGGAGCTGATGCACCCCAAATATAAGAGGGTGGGGCTCCAGAGCTGACAGCTCTGGGTTGGAGTCCGACCCTGACCTTGGGCAAGTGGCTTGCCCTCTCTGGGTTTTTTTCTCCTCTGTAAAACTCTTCTCTCCCATTACCTGCAAAGCGCCCACTTAGTACAGGCTGGCACCAAAGGTATCAATCTGCTCGCTTGCTCACGCCTCTCCAGCCCTTAGAGCTTCCAATGCAACGACATGGTGGCGTGTGGTCAAGGGCATTTGGAGCAGACCAGGCCTCTGCTGACTTCCAACCCTGGGACCCTGGCAAGTCACATCCCCTCTCAGAGCCTGTTTCTTTCTATTCTTTGAAAAATAACAACCACATCAAGCTCCCTGTCTTCCAACCCAGGTTCTCCTAACAGACGCACTGTGTAACTTTGGACCAGGGAGTACCTCTGTGCCGGAGTCTCACCTGTAAAACCCTAGCAGACTGCAGGGTAAGGGTGTGAAGTCAGTGAGATGATGTAGGTAAAGCACAGCCTGCCCACAGGAGACCCTCTATCTACTGTGTGTGTTAAAGTGCTTTACACTTAAAATTCACAACAACCCTGTAAGGAAGACACTATTACACTCGTTTTATAGGTGGTGAAACTGAGGCAACATAGAGATCAAGTAATTTGTCCCAAGGTCACACAGCTAAGAAGCTGCAGAATGGGGATTCAAACTTAGGCAGTCTGGGTCCAGAGATGAACTCCAGGCTATGCCAGCTCTTGCTAATGTGATGTCATTACTACTATTACCATTACTATTATAATTAATTGCTTCCTCCCTCAACTGGTTAGAAAAGGCAGAGTTCATTCCAGTAGGAATGGATTGGTGGAGGTGGGGTGGAGGGAGATGGGGGGGTGGAATTAGGAAGTGTTTTCCAGTCTAGGGAAAGTTTGGGGTTGGGGTTGAGGGGACAGGCCATGAACTCCTGGATCAAGTGGGGCATCTGCTTTAGGTTTCTGCAGTGGGGAGGGTGGGACGTGAAAACAGAGCCGGGTCTGAGAGATCCCTTTCTGCGGACCCTCTTCCTCCACTCCTCCTCACTGTAGGCAGGCCAGTTCGAGTCCCCTGCAAACAAGCGCTATCTTGGCCCAGGGGTTACTCAGCAACCCCCAGAGGAAGGGTAGAGCCTGGGGTGGGGAGACAGATAGGGAAGAGAGAAAGGAGGGGCGGAGGACCCGCGGAGGGTGTGGGGAGAGGAAGTGCGGAAGAGGAAGAGCGAAAGGGAGGAAAGAGATGGAGACGCCCGGGGATGCGGGAGAGACGCAAAGACAGAGACGGGAGCCACACACGGGGTTTGGGGGCCAGGTGGAGCGGATGGACGGCGTAAGGGTTGAATCTCTACGGCGAAGGTGAAGCCCTGACCAGAAAGGTGAGATGGAAATGTGGGTGGGGGGTTGGCGTTCTTTGGCTGGGGCCATCCACTGGGCGAAGGAAGGGGCCGGGGACCCACTAGTCCACCGCCCAAGAGGGAAAGTGAAGCGAGGAGGAGGAGGGGGACGGCCCCAAGCCACTGGGCTTCTTGGGACTCCTGGGTCCCCGCGTGGGCGCCAACGGGGCGGGCCCGCAGTGGCTCCGCCCGGAACTGGGGCGAAGAGGACGCGGGGCGCAGCCGCCGCGAGGGCGGGGACCCGACCTGCCTCGTCTCGCCCCAGGCTCCGCGCGCGATCCCCGCCCCCCGGGGCACGGAAAGGAAAGGGAAGGGAAGGGAGGGGGGCGGGCGAGGCGGCCGGACGCTGGGGTTTCCCCAGCCTCCAGGAGAGGAACTGGCACTTCGGGGTCCAGATTCTCAGCCTTTAGCTCTGCGGGGTCCTCCTCCTCCTCCCTTCCGGGCGCACAGCTCCTCCCCCCGCGCGTGGCACCCACGTGGGGCTTCCTTGCCACGAGCTTGCAGCGTCGCACCCACCACCTCGCCCCCTGCGGCTCAAGGCCTCACTCAGCCCACAACCTTCCAGCCTGCGGCGTGAGGGTCGCTGCGCCCGGCCGAGCGCCGTTTCTCTCTCCTCCGCCCCACTCCAGGTCCACCTTTCCCACGCTCGTCCCCCCTCTCCGTAACACCCTTTCCCACGACCCCAGTGCTCTAGGTTTCTTGGGGGTCAGCTTCCTCCTCGCACGTCCATCTGCGAAAGCTCTGGGCGCCTCCCCGCGCCTCCCCAGCACCCTCTGCGGTCTCGGCTCGTCTCCGGCTAGCTTCTCCCTCCCTGCGAACTCGCGCCCCTTTCTTCCCCGCATTTCGCACCCCCTTGCACCCCCTCTCTCTCTGCAGCCCATCCCCAAATCCTGCACGTTCCTCGCGCCCTCTGCAAGCCGGTCTTCTCTCCATTTCCCTGTCACCTCCAAAGGGCCTTGAATGTGGAGGTTGGGCTTTATCCTGAGAGCACCGGGGAACTTCTCCACCTCGCTTTTCCGTCCTTCTTGAATCTTCCCGCCTCAGGACCCCTGAGCTCCGGGTCAGCTCTCTCCATGGCCTCTCCTTGCCCGAAACTGCGGTCGTCACTTCTCCCAAAGCCGGCTCCCTCTCTGCAGGCCCCACCCCGCGACCCCTGCACTCGAGCGCACCCTGGAGCGGAAAGTCTTGTTCCACCCCTCCCCCCCCATTGCTCCGCTCCCTCCAGGGGACTTCCCCCACGACCCCGCAGGCTCCCGTCGGCCTCTAGAACGGTCCACTTTGCTCACTATCTCCTCCTCTTCAAGACCACATACCTGGGGGAAGGGAAGCTCAGCTCTATTCTTTTTGGGACCCCTTCCCACGTTCCCGACGCCACCGGGGGTTCTCTTCCTTCAGCCAGTTTCCTCCTCCGGTAATTTCCTCCCCTGCCCCCAGCGCGCCGGCACCCCCTGGGGGCTTCCCTCCGGGGTCCCCTGCCCCTCGGAGCTCACCGTGGCTGTTTTCCACCGTTAGCACACGAGTGACCTCCTTGGCGTAGTAGTCCGTCTCCGGCTCGGGCTCCGGTTCGGCGCTCTCTCCAGCCACCCGGTCGCGGGTACTGTTGTAAAGGGCCAGCACGGCCTCCGGCAGCGGACCGGGCGGCGCCTCCGCCTGGCTCGGGGGGCTGGCGAGCCGTAGCTTGGACAGGATTTGGCCGCGGATGGCCTCGATGCGCTTCCGCTTCACCAGCTCCATGTCGATGGTCTTGCAGGTGGACAGTCCGGCGGCCGGCCGGCCAGGCGTTAGCACTAGGAGCCACAGCAGAGGCAGCAGCAGCGGCAACAGCCGCAGCCCGGAGGGCGGCATGGGGGAGGCAGCGCTCCCGGCGCCGCCGAGAGCGCGAGCCGGGTTAGGTGGGAAAGGGGAGGCCCCACCCCTCCTGGGGCTGCGGGGTCTTCGGAAGAAAGGTCGGAGGGTCGGGGGGCGGGAAGGATAGTTGAGGTCCTCAGGGAGAATGCAGGGGAGGCTCTGGTGGGTGGCTTCGGGTTATTCCACGGAAGAACCCGAAATGGGAGCGACCTGGTACCGGAGGTGAGTGGTCCTGAACCGGGGAGCTGGGGCAGGTACGAGAGGTTCGGTCAACGGGACCCCGGGGGAGAAGGATCCTTGGATGCGTGGGGGCTCGGGAGGGAGGCCGGGGGTGGGGAGCGTGCAGGGGGATGCGCCCGAAGTCTTCACTCAAGTCTCCGTGGGAATCGGGTTTGCGTTTCCCGAGGGCTGGTCCGGAATGAGGGCGCCTCCGGGACGCCGTGTAGGGGGTCAGGGAGAGAGGAAGCGTCCGAGGCAGTGAGGGGGCAGCGGTCTGGGGCCCCCAAGTCCTGCCTCCTCGCCGGGCAGCGCCGCGCCGAGCCGTCCCCGAGCCTCCGGCTCCCGGCAGCAGCGGAAAGTCTCAAAACTTTTTTCCTCTTCTCCCAACCAGATCGTCCCTCCTCCCGCTCCTCCTCCCCCTCCTCCCCACAGTGGCGGCGGCGGCGGCGGGGGCGGTGGCGGCTAGTCGCAGACTCTGGGGCCTCGGGCTGCGCCTTCCTCCGCTCCTGGCCGAGGCCGGCCCCGCGGGTGGCTCCGAGCCGGGGGGGTGCCCCAGAGGGGGCGTCCCCCCTGCCCGGGGCCGTAGGCCTCCCTGACTAGTGGATCGCGTTGGGAGGAGGGAGTGGGACGGCCTGGGGCGCGAAGGGCGGCGGCGCGAGGACCAGCCGCGGCGGCGAGGGGGTTTTGAAGCCGCCCGGCCCCACCCAGGAAGCGCGCGGGGCGGGGGCGGCCCCCAGGGGGAGGGCATGGGGGGGCCGGGCCACCGTCCTCAGCTCGCGTGGGCGGGCGCTGAGGGGGGTCTTTTAAGCCACTGGCACCTCGGCCCCGCCCCACGAACAGGGTGCTGCCTCCTGGCGGCTAAGAGCTACCAAAACGGGCGACCCGGATGCATGTGGCTTTGATGGCTGTGCGGAGGTCACCGAGAGAATGCAGACCTGGCCGGGAGGGCTCCATGGAAGGATGGGAACAAAGAGTAGAGGGACCAGGGGAGGGGACCCAGAACGGGGAGAGTGGGAGACCGGGGGAGAGGGGCACAGAGTAAGGGAATGCCCCAAAGGAGAGGGGCTCATAAGGCGACACCAAGTGGGAAGGGGGGTCAGAGCTTTAGGCAAAGGATGGGGGAGGCGAATCTGACAGAAGGTGGGGATCAGTAGGAGGATGGGGCACAGGCCACCTGACAGGTCAGGAATCAGGAAGGCACACACACACCTGTCAGAACAGCTCTTTTATTTAGCATTCGATATAGGAGGCAGCCTCTTTCCCAAATCCCTGGGGCCCCACACACTTGCTACCCCCATTTCACAGATGGGGAAACTGGACTTCAGAGGGACAGCTGGGAGACGAGGTGCTAGCCAGGCCAGAAGCTGGGCATGCCTTGACTGGGGTCAGGTCTGGCAGTCTCCAGAGCCCACGCTTCTGACCACTGTATAGTTCTGCCCCTCATGGGTGTCCGCGGATGTGGATGGGAGCTGCGGAGGCAGAGTCCTTCAGCATTCCACACCATAGCGGTCAAAGTGGCGCAGCAGCAGGCCCAGGTCGAGGTGCACGGTTCCACCAGCAGCTGTGTGCAGGCGGTAGCGGTCGGCCCCACTGTAGATGGCATCCCCATGCAGCAGCTGGGGCCCGCCACCCACAAAGGCCCGTGCCAGCTGCTCCCGCCAGCTGCCCAGGGGCCGCCATGTGGGGCAGTCCAGCTTGTGGGTGCCTGGACTGCTGGGCACATGGCAAAAGCCGTAGCCAGCAAGCTGGCAGCGGCCGAAGCTATCCTGGGACCACACTTGGAGATGGAGCCGGGGCCAGCCTGCAAGACAGGAGGGAGAGAGGAATGGGTGCAGCTCCACATCCTGGCCCGCCCCCCCCACCTCCTTGATCCCCACTAGAGACTCCAGGCTCAGTCCTTCCCCCCCTGGGTTTCTGCCCCAGCCTCCTCTCGGGATTTCCACTCCCACACAGTAGCCAAAGGGCTATTTCTAAATCCACGTTCCTCCCCTGCCATGGCTCCCTAATGCTCTCAGGATAAAATCCAACTTTAGCATTCAAGGCTCTCTGAAACTAGTCTCTGCTGACTTCCCCTCTGTGGCATCCTCTGTGTCCCCATCTCAGGTCAGCCTAGCTCAGGGGAAAGTAAGCTCCTTGGGCCTTGTCCTGGACACCGTCCCCATCCCTGCCCTGTCCTCTCTGGGCTCAGGGCCTTCCTTCTTGCCCCCTCCAATCCAACTTCCACCTGGCACCTGGAAGCATCTTTCTCCTCCCATAGGTTTCCCACTGTCCTAAGAATACAGTTCAGTTCCTTAGCCTGGTGGGCAAGGCCCTTAGAGATCCAGCTCCATTCTGCCTTCCTGTCTGAGCCCCTCTGTGCTTAGGCTCTGTCCTAGAAGCTGGGGACAGAGGGGTAAATGGAGCAGACCAGAACTCCTGCCCTGGTGTAGCTGACATCCTAGACAACGAACATAGTAAATAAGCAAATTATAGGGTATGTCAGATGGTGATAACTGCTCTGGAGAAAAATAAAGCTAGTTAGGGTGGGGGTGGGATGTAGGGGGTGATCAAGAAAATCTTCACTAAGAAGGGGACATTTGAGGGAATGTTTAAAGGAAGGAAGGGGGTGGGCCATGAGGACGTCTAGGGAAGAGCAGTCTCAGCAGAGGGAATAGCCTGTGCAAAGGCCCTCAGGTGGGAGCTGCCTGGTGGGACCAGTGGAGGACTTCAGGTCTGAAGAATGGAAGGACGATTACCTGCCTCACCCTCCAATCCACCACCCATAAGCAGCCAGAGGGCATTTTAGAAGCAAAATCTGACTTGTCAGTCACCTGTGGGTTCCCCCACTTCAGGGGATGGCCTCAGCTCTGCAGCCTGGCATTCAAGGCCCTGTATGGCCCATCCCCTGTCCCCTCCCCCCCCTGCAGTCCTCCTGCTTTCTCTCCACCTTCTAAATGCCCTGGCTCACTTTATCCTTTGAGCCTTCCACACAGACCTCTGCCTTGAACCTTCTTCCTTCTCTCTGCCTTAGTAGCTCCCACTGGCCCCTCACAGCAAAACTCAAACGTCCCCTCCTCCAGGAGGCCCTCCTTGAACTCCCCAGCAGTCAGGAGCCTCCCATCCCTGGCTCCCATTGCCCTCTAGAATTCCCTATCCCATTCCTGCCCACTCTGGGCTGCCACTGTCTGGGAACAGGTCTGTCTCCCCCATGGGATGGTGAACCCTGCGAGGGCTGGGCTGGGGGCGGTCTCAATCACTGACATCTCCCTGGCATCACAGGTCAGGCTCAGGGGCAGGACTTAGTAAATATTATTTATATTGTTAAAATATATGGCATATTTACCCAGGCTATTGCCTGGAATCCACTGCGTTCCAATGACCCAAATTTTCCACCAGAAAAAGATTTGCTGATACCCTTCCTCCCCCGAATACTCATTTCTCTTCCGAACAGCTGGGGAGCCCTGCCTGAGAACAGCCAGCAGCCCTGCCTCTCTCTCACATAACTCCTCCAGCTTCCTCCTGATTGCAGACTCTCTCGGTTTCTCTCTTCGAAAGCCACCTCCCCTCTTCCCCTGGTCCTCGCCTTCCCCTCTCTCCCTCCTTCCCCGGCCTCTGGCACACTCCAAAGCCAGCCATGGGAGGCCTTGGCTCAGTCTCTCCAGGGCCAGGCCTGGCTGGGAAAGGGACTCAAAGGGTAGAGAGCAGGGTCAGGACTTGGTGTTCCCAGGACCAGCCCCACTGGGTACTGCTCACCCCCATCCTGTCGGCCTGGCATAGGGCCCGGGCCAGAAACCCACCTTGGAGGCCTTTGGTGGCGAAATGCAGATCAATGGGGTGAGACCAGTAGGCCATGTCCCCTATTTGGGGGGTGTCCACCTGTGTCTGGCCTTCCCGAACACCTGACAGGAGCTTCCACGCTGCCCCTGCAATGAGAACCAGGTCACTGATGGGCAGGGAAGGCAGGGAGGCAGCCATCAGGGAGGGGATGCCATTGTGGCTGTGAGACCCATTCCTCCCTGGTATTGGGGGGCAGGGGATACAAAGCATGGACTTTGGAGCCAAATGTCTGGGTTCAAATCCCTGGCAGTACTTCTTCCTGCCTGTGCACCCTTGGGCAAGTTACCTTTCCCTGCCTTGGTCTCCCCATCAGTCAAGCGGGTGTAATAATGCATTCCTTGTCACTTTGTGAGCAGATTAAATGAGCTAATACAGACTAAGTATTTGGAAGAGTGGCTGGGGCACAGTGAGTGCTGGGTGTCAGAGTTACTATTCTCACCCTGCATTCACTGTCCTGGTCCATGGACTAAGATGGTACCAAGGGTGCACTTCAACAAAGAGCATGAGTTCAATGCGGAAGGCACATAGTAATACCCGTCCTACTGAGGGCGAGACTAAGAGCAAAAATGCACCGAATGCTTACCAAATGCCAGATGCTGTGCTAAGCACTTTAGTGATGAATTCATTTAATCCTCCCTCTAGGACTCTGAATCCCCACCCCACCCCCAGTCTACAAACTCTCCCCAGAGCCCACGAAGCCCTGTATCTGGCCTGTGTTCACCCCCTGAACTCATATCCCATCACCCCCCCACCCCTCACTATTTCTAGCCTCACTGGTCCTATATTTGTTTCTCTCCTCAGGGCGTTTGCACTGGCTGTTCCCTCTGCCTACAAAGCCATGCTCCTGGATGTCCCCATGCCTGGCTTCTGTTCATCCTTCAGGGGTCACCTCAAGTGCCACTTTTAGAGAGGGGTCCTCCCTCACCCTCCAATCCAAAATTAGCCCCTATTACTTTATCTCTACCACCATCTGTAATCATTACAGTCATTTCTTTTTTTCTTAAGATTTTACTTATTTTTGGAGAGAGGGGAAGGGAGGGAGAAAGACAGGGAGAGAAACGTCAACGTGTGGTTGTCTCTAGTGCTCCCCCAACTGGGGACCAGCCCCCAAGCCAAGCATGTGCCTTGACTGGGAATGAAACTAGCGACCTTTTGGTTCACAAGCTGGCACTCAATCCACTGAGGTACACCAGGGCATTACACGCATTTCTTTATCTGCTTGTCTATTTTGTCTCTCCTCCTATGAGCCCCAGGAGATCAGGGATCTTGTACACTGCTGGATCCCCACATCAAACCCAGATTTTAGTATACAGAAGATGCTCAAAAAATGTTTGTTGGACAAATAAATGAGCCTGGAAGGTGTGCTAATGTAACCCCTGCTTCACATGTAAAGAAGCAGACTCCCAGAAGGAGTCACTTGTCCATTCATTCCACAAATATTTATTGAACACCTACTGTGTGCCAGCACTGTTCTCCATGCAGGGTGCAGCAGGACTGTGGCAGACCTGGGTGCCGTGGTGGGGCTGGATTCAGACTGAGCTCTATTGGACTGCAGGGCCCAAGCCCTTTATCTGACTACCTCTGAACTCTCTGTGGGATTAACTGCTCCCCCGTCAACAGTCCCCTGCAGTTGTAAAACCATATGAGTTATTGTTGCCTCTGGTCCAGGCAAAGAAAGCACCAGGCCTTGAGTCCAGCTTTTCACATACAGTATTTCCCAACACCCCTATGGAGGACAAACTTCCCACTTTACAGACAAGGAAACTGAGGCTCCAAAAGGAGACAGCATCTGCCCAGGATCACAGAGCAGGTGGGGCACAGACTGGAAACCAACTCTGATTCCAAAGCCTGCCTCTATCTGCTCAGCCAGAGGGCCACAAATTCCCAGGGAATCTCAACCACCCTACCACCAGTGAAATCGCTAAGGGCCCAGGGCCTGAAGATATTGTGATGGCAATTACTTGTTACACAGGCATTTATGTGTGCTGGGCAGCGTACCCCTGGCTTTACCAACAAGACCCCATCCAACTTTTACCTGAGCAGGGTGAACACTTACTAAACAATTACTAGGCCAGGTCCCCTCCTAAGTGCTGTTCTTACTCATTTAGCTCACACAACCACCCCATGACGTAGGTGCTGTTATTACTGCCATTGTACAGACAGGGAAATTGAGGCAAAGACACGTGCCCAAGGCCACATAATAAACAACTGGCTTTGAACCCAGGCAGTCTGTACTCTTAACCTCAATACTATGCTGCCTCTGTTATTAGCTTAATTTTCAAATGAGGAAACTGAGGCTCAAAGAGGCTCCCTAATTTATTAGGTGGGAGAGTTAGTATTTGAGCCCAGACCTGGCAGCCCTAACCCATTATAACATACCACCACACTATTCTGCTTCACATGGCGAGGCATGAAACTGGGGCCTCGGAGGTCCGTCCTGGGCCACGAGGATGGACTTGGATGATTACCAGAACTTTGTTCCTACTTTCTCACACAGAATTATGAATATAGGCGGGTAGCCTTTCCTCGGTAAGTCTGGAATGGAAACTTCCATTTTACAATAAGAACTCAATAAATGGAGACTGTAAGCAAAGAATTGAGATGGGAGAGAGAGACCGAGGACACCCCTAAGGCAGTGAATGCATTCCAAACGGGAGGGTTAGGGCTGTGCAGTGTTCTGAGGGTTGGGTGTGGGGTCTAGCCTACAGCCCCAAATCCTTAGGGGCTGTGTGTTCATACAGTAGAAGCTAGAGTCCCCAGAGATGGGATGGGAAGTGATAAGAAGGGCGCATGAGACACTATGGACAGTGTGGTACACGGCTAGGCGTCCAGAGAGCCAATGGAAAATAAGGACCAGGGACTGGGCCGCGGGGTCAAGGAAGGAGCGAGGAACCTCCCTGGCCTGGGAGTCTTGGTGGGGAAATGAACCAGGTCTGGGTATACCTGTGTGGACGCCCCACTTGCAGAAGAGGCTACTTTCTGAGAAACCGGTGGCCCCTACGATCTGCCCAATCACGTGCACCTCAGCCATGACCCTGAGAGGGTAAAAATAGAATCATAACCCTGTAAGTGTACTATTATTTCCACCTGAGGGAGGAGGAAACTGAGGCCCTCCAAACAAGGGACAGTACTAGGATTTCAAAGTAGCTTCGTCAAACTACTGAGGCTGCGGTCTTAACCATGATCCTAAATGCCTCTCTAGGAGAGCGCCAAAAAAATTAAGGGATCAGAGGGCCTGAAGAGCGGACACCTGACTCAAAAACAACCTTCTGGCTCAGCGCACAGAAAGCCCCGCCCCAGAGGCCAATGGCTCCTCCCACAAACACTAAAGCCCCGCCCCTCGCCTCAGCTCCTCCCTCCCCCTCAGCTCTGCGAGGAGCATGCGTTTTAAGAGCAGGCACCAAAGCCCCGCCTCTAACCGTACGCATGCGCTTTTCACACCTTAACAGCTAACGGTTAGGATGGGCGAAAGCGGCACCGAAATTGGAGTTCATGGGCCTGACCTGTCCCTCTCTCCGCCGGCGCCGACTTCCAAGGCCTGGCTCGCGCTTCTCCCCGGATCTTCCCGGCAGCGAGAGATCCGAGGCGCCACGATCTCTCAGAGGCCGCGTTTGCCTACGTTCTCTCCTCTGGTTGTTGCTGGGGCAACAGCAGCCTCCTCCCCTGGCCTTGTACCCGCCCTGCGGGTCGCTAATTGGCCCTAGCTGCCTGCGGGGGGCGAGGCTAATCTCTGATGGACGTTCTCTCTCCTCTCTCCATTTTGGGAAAAGTCTGTCCAGGGGCGACCCACGGTTCAGCCATTTGGGGCGTGGTTCAGAAGCCGCCATCTGCAGTTTGGTTGATGAAGTTTGAGTGCAGCTGTTTCTCCCAGATACCCTCTTCACAAAATAAATAAACCTATTGATACCCCATAACCCGCAGGTCTCTCCCCCAACGTGGGCCACAAACACTTTCCCTTAGGAGAGTGCATCCTCCTGCCTCATAACTAGAAAAAAAACCCTTCCTCATTCAGAGGTACTCAAGAAGTTGAGGAGGGGGGTTTCCTTCCCTTTTTTAAGAGTTCCTCCGGCTTGAAGGGACTGATCATCCAACTTCCTTCTCAGAAAAAGTGCCCAGTTCTTCACCGTGCAGATTCTGGGCAAGGGTGAGGGCGTGGGGAAGATGAGGAATGAGGAAGTGAGGACTCTTTATCTGTAGAAAATCCGGTTCTTAAAAACTGGATTCTGCCAGTAACCTGTCTTGTGACCTTGCTTGGCTCCAGGTTTCAGTTTCCTCATCCATGCAATGGGCACAAACAGAGTGACTGAGTCGGAGGCACTCACACATTCTGATGAACTGAGCAGTGCCTTAGTCCCTTATTCCTCCCGCCCAGCGCAGGAGACCAAAGGAAATGCATTCTCTTTCTTTTTAGCAAAATGGGACTGTGAAAGTTAGAGTCAACAACTCAAACTTATAGGGAGGAGCAGCATTTCAATAGGATGATATTTATATAGATAAAAAGAATTCAATGGACTATTTTACTAATAGATATACTTGAATGCTGCTGTTTATTGAGTTATTACTTTGTACCAGTCACCCTGAAACGTCGTTTTGCTCATACGATCTCCTTTAATCCTCACAGACATCCCGCCAGGTAGGTAATATTAACAGCTTTATTTAAAATGAAGAAATTGGGACAAAAATCATTTGCCTTGTCAAATTGACCATAGTTCTTTCTCACTCTGTAAACTTTATATTATTAGTCTCTCTGCTTTCCTGCCACTCCTGGATACAGGTCTCCTGGATTCAAGGAATACAGAAGTTGTGCTTGGTGTCATCCTGGGTGCTAGCACTTCTCATATCCAACCCGTTACCAAGCCTGTCAATTCTCTTTCTTAAATATTTTTTCTATAGTTGTTTTTTCTTTTTTCCTACTGGTTGGTATTAGTGATTAAGAAAATGCTCCCCTGTTTTACTGCCTGGATTTTAGTCTTGATTCTGCCCCTTCTTTGTCTTGATTCTGACCTTCAGTGCCTCAGTTCCCTCATCTGTGATGTGTGAATGACGGTCTCCACCTTGTTGGATTGTCAGGATTTAAAGAATGTATGAAGCTGTTTTAAAATATCAATATGTTGCCCTGGCTGGTGTGGCTCAGTGGACCAGTGCCAGCCTGTGAACCAAAGGATCCCTGGTTCAATTCCCAGTCAGAGCACATACCTGGGTTGTAGGCCAAGTCCCCAGCAGGGGGCACAAGAGGCAACCCCACATTGATGTTTCCCTCTCTTCCTTTTTTCCCCTGTCTTTAAAAGGAAATAAATAAAATACTTTTAATAAAATAAAATATCAATATGTCCACAGGTTCTATGACACTCCTTTCACTAGGTGGAGCCTAATTCCTCTTCCCTTGAGTATAGATTGCACTTGATAACTACTAACTTCTAGCTACTAGAATGTGACAGAAATGTTAGCATGTGACTTCCAGAACCAGGCCATAAAAAGAGTCCTCCTTGTTTCTCTTGGTTGGTTTACTTCGAGAGAGGTCAGCCATCATGATGTAACTACAGTAAAACTGTCAATGGAAAGACACAAATGGGGAAGAGCGGAGGCGTCCTGCCAACAATCAGCGCCAGGTGAATGACCCGTCTTGGAAGCAGATCTTCCAGCCTCAGATCTTCAAAGAACCATTGCGCCTGGCCACCATGCGGACTGTAACTTCATTAGACATCCTGAACCAGAAGCACTGAGTTACCCCATCGCCAGATTACTGACCTACAGAAACTGTGTCAGCGGTAAATATTTGTTGTTTTAACTAACCACTAAGTTGGAGGAGATGATTTGTCATGCAGCAATAGATTATTTACATAAATCTGTAATGAATTTAGGACAGTGCCTGGCAAAATGTTTGCTATTATTGATCCTGTTTATTGTTGTTATTGAAATGGTATATTTTACATATTTTTAAAAGAAGGATACTGAATATGTACTTTTTATTTTTAACTTTTAAAAAATTGTGGTAAAGTACACTTAACGAAATTTACCACATGAATCATTTTTTAAAAAAGATTCTATTTATTTATCTCTAGAAAGAGGGGAAGGGAGGGAGAAAGAGAGGGAGAGAAACAGCAACGTGTGGTTGCTTCTCACGTGCCCCGCTACGGGGGACCTGACCTGCAACCCAGGCATGTGCCATGACTGGGATTCAAACCGGCAACACTTGGGTTTGTAGGCCCATGTTTGATCCACTCAGCTATACCAGCCAGGGCACCACATGAATCATTTTTAAGTATATAGATGAATGGCATTAAGTGTATGCATGTAATTATGCAACCAATCTCTAGAACTAATTTTCTTTTTGGTAAAATTGAAACTCCGTACCCATGAAACAGTGACTCCCCCTCTCCCTTCCTCCAGCCCCTGGTAACCACCATTCTGCTTTCTGTCTCTATGAATTGGATTAGTCTATGTACCTCATATGTGTAGAATCATTTAGTTTTTGTCCTTTTATCCCTGGCTTATTTTATTTAGCATTATGTTTCAGGAATCATCCATGTGATCATGCATATCAGATTTCCCTGCCTTTTCAAGGCTGAATAATACTCCCATTGTATGTGCCCCATTTTGTTTTTCCATTCATCTGTTGGTGGGCAGTTGGGTTACTTTCACCCTTCAGCTGTTGTGAGTAAAGCTGCCATGAACATGGATGTACAAGTGTCTCTTCAAGGCCCTGCTTTCAGTTCTTTGGGCTCATACCCAGAAGTGGAATTGCTGGGTCATATGTTTATTCTATTTTTATTTTTATTTTTATTTTTTAAGCTTTTATTTATTTATCTTTAGAGGGGAAGGGAAGGAGAGAGGGAGAGAAACATCAATGTATGGTTGCCTTTCATGCGTCCCCTGCTGGGAACTGGCCTGCAGGGAACCAGCCTGCAACCCAGGCATGTGCCCTGACTGGGAATCAAACAGTTTGCAGGCCCGCGCTCAATCCACTGAACTACACAAGCCAGGGCTGTTTATTCTATTTTTAATGTTTTGAGGAACTGCCAGACTGTTTTCCATAGTGAGTGTATATCTTGTTTTACAGTTTGCTTTTTTCACTCAGTGATACATCTGAGGAATTTATGTCTATGTGTAAATATCTCATTTTTAAAAAAAAAACTGATTTGGAGTAAAATATATGTACAGAAAAGTAAACATATCATAAATGAAGAGCTGGATTAAATTTTATAAGCTGAATTCAAGTGGTAACTAGAACTTGGCTCAAGAACACCAGCAGCTCCCAAGGATGCCCCCTAATGGTAACCACTAACTGGATTTCTAACAACATGGGTTAATTTTGCCTGTTTTTTTTTTTTTTTAGGATTTAATTTATTTATTTTTAGAGAGAGTGGAAGGGAAGAAGAAAGAGAGGGAGAGAAACATCAATGTGTGGTTGCCTCTCACATGCCCTGCACTGGGGACCTGGCCTGCAACCCAGGCATGTGCCCTTACTGGGAATTGAACTGGCGATCCTTGGGTTCAGAGGCCGGCACTCAAACTGTGAGCCACACCAGCCAGGGAAACTTTATTTTCAGAAGTCAAATTCTCCTAAGAGCAAAGTGGGGGCGGGAAATTTTCCTATATAATCATAATGCCAATTTAATATTTTCTACTGTACCAATTTAGCATTGATACAAAACTGTTATCTAATTTATAGTTTATATTTAAATTTCCCCATCGTTCCAATAACATACTTTATCACTATCTGCCCTCTACCCAGGACCACACTTATTCTTAGTTGTCACATTTTCCAAGTCACCTTGAATCGAGAACAGGCCTGCCACGTTTTAAATTTTGTTATTGTTTTTTTTTATTACATTGACAAGTTTTTACAGCCTTAATCAAGCTCTTTATTTTACTTTTTTATTAAATGTCTTGGAGTGGCATTGGTTAATAGGCTTTTTAAAATTTGCATGTACAGCCCAGGCTGATGTAGCTCAATGCATTGAGTGTGGGCCTGAGAACCAAAGGGTCCCCAGTTCGATTTCCATTCAGGGCACATGTCTGTGTTGCAGGCCAGGTCCCCAGTACAGGGCGCATGGCTGATGTTTCTCTCCCTCTCTTTCTCCCTCCCTTCCACTCTCTCTAAAAATAAATAAATAAAGTAAATAAAAAAAAATTTGCATGTATGTATTACATCCCTAAGAAAAGAATCCCAGATTTTTCCCTCCTGTTTTTCCTCTTGCTTCATCATGGTCCATAATGCCCGCCAAGGTGCCCAGTACAATGAGATCAAACTGACAGGACGGGAGCATGTTGTTCTTCTACTTTTCCAGATCTTCGAGTGGCACATCAGATTCGATCACTCTGCACTGTTTAAGCTGCCCGTGTGTTTCACAACAATTTTTCCTGCTCTGTGATCAGCAGTGATTTCAAATTTCACCAGTGTGGTCGTGCTTCATTATCAGTTAGAAACTGGGCGACGACTTTGGAGCACTGCCTAATAAGAACCTAGTGTTTGCCCCCCTATTTGGCATTGTGGATACTCTTGAGAGCATCAGCCAGGACATTCATGCCCACCGTTTTGGTGGCATAGAAAGCGGAAAATGGTACTAACATTTTTTTTAAAGATTTTTATTTATTCTTTGTAGAGAGAGAGGAAAGGAGAGAGAAAGGGAGGGACACGTCGATGAGTTGCCTCTCATGTGCCCCTAACTGAGGACCTGGCCTGCAACCCAGGCATGTGCCCCGACCGGGAATCAAACCAGTGACCTCTCGGCTCACAGGCCAGCACTCAATCCACTGAGCCACACCAGCCAGGGGTGGTACTAACATTTTTGAAGAGCAGAGCATAGCCCAGCTTTTCTCTCTTTCTCCTTTCCTTCCTTCCTTCCTTCCTTCCTTCCTTCCTTCCTTCCTTCCTTCCTTCCTTCCTTCCTTCCTTCCTTCCTTCCTTCCTTCCTTCCTCTCTCTCTCCCTTTCTTTTTCTTTCTTTCTTTCTTTCTTTCTTTCTTTCTTTCTTTCTTTCTTTCTTTCTCTTTTCTTTTCTTTTCTTTTCTTTTCTTTCTATTTTAGAGAGAGGGGAAGGGAAGGAAAAAAAGATAGGGAGAGAAACGTCAACTGGTTGTTGCTTGTAACCAAACCTGCAACCCCCACATGTGCCCCAATGGGAATTGAATCAGTGACCTTTTGCTTTGCAAGTTGACGATCAATTGAGTGAGCCACAGCAGTCAGGGCCAGCCAGCTTCTTAACAGACTGTCTCTTAATCTGCCTTTGTCTCATATGTTCTCAAGTTTAGATTCAGATGATGGATTTTTTTGACAGGCAAACCACAGAGGTGATGTTATGTCCTTCTCAGTGCCCCTCAGGAGTCACATGATGTCAGTTTGTTGCATTGCTGGTGATGTTCACTTCTATCACCTGGTTAAGGTGATGTCTGCCAGTATTCTGCACTAACACTATATTTCTCCTTTGTAGTAAATAAGTAACCTGTGGGAAGATACTTGGAGACCAGATAAATGTCCTGTTTCTCATTGAACTTTCACCAATGGTTTAAGCCTCCATTGATGATTCTGGGTGGAATCTCATGTTTAATATCCTAGGATCATTGCAAACCCTAAGAGGCCTGGGTCTCTTGTCATTTCGTGAAAGGGGTGGGGTTGAGGGGACTGTACAAGGCTGATGGTGGCCAGAGACATCTAAATGGAAGTGAATAGATGGTTAGGGTGACCTAGGGGGATGAGGGACCCACAGAGTGGAGAGTCAGTGAAAAACTGAGGCTGGTGGGAATTCATGCACCAAACCCACAAACATGCATGAAGGCCTGCTTTGTGCCAGATGCTGTTCCAGGCCCGGAGGCACAGCGGCAAACAAAATCGATCAAACTTCAGGCCTGCTGTAGCTGACAATGATGTGGGAAGATTCAAACGACAAACAACAGAAACATATAGTACCCTCCACCTCCCATCCCTGGTTTTGCTTTCTGCTGTTTCATTTACTTAAGGTCAATCACTGTCCGAAAATATTAAGTGGAAAATTCCAGAAATAAATAATTCCTAAGGTTTAAATTGCGTGCAGTTTTGAACGGCATGAAATCTCACTTCATCCGGCTGTGAATCATCCCTTCGTCCAGCCTCTCCACGCTGTATACGCTGCCCTCCCACGGGTCATGTAGTAGCCTTCTCTGTTATCAGCTCGACCGTCACACATTGAAGTGCTTTTGTCCACGGGACCCTTCTCAGAGGGTCAATAGCAGCCTGACATTGAGTCAACGCCTTCGCCATTGACCTCCCTTCACCTCATCAGGCAGGCATTGCACCGTCTCACGACATAGCGAGGATGAGCGCTGCACAAGGTGTTTTGAGAGGCTACCTTCACGTAACTTTAATGACAGCATATTGTCATGCATTCTGTTTTCTTATTACTTGTTCTTGTTAGTCTCTTACTTTGCTTAATTTATAAATTAAGCTTTATAATAGGTAGGTATGTCCACATCAGAAGAAACACTGTATATGTAGGTTTTGGTACTGCTTAGTCTCAGGCACCCACCCTCCTCCCTCTAGGCCGCCCTAGGTCTTGGGACATGTCCCCTGTGGATAAGGGACTACTGTAATATGTTTCATAGTAATAAATGAGATGAAAAACCAGATGGGTTAAGGAGACAGAATAGCAGGGTATCTCTCCCAGATAAAACAATCCTGCTCCCTCTTCCCTCTCATCTACCCTCCTGTGGATCTCCTTGCCTGCCTGTCATTTGCCAGAGACTCTGGCTTATTCCAGCGTTCCCCCTGGGAGTGGGGCCAGTGCCAGCTCCAGTGTCTGGACTCTTGGCAAAGAGCCCCGGAGCCCTGGAGCGAGGGAACTCTGGCTGGCCCCACTTCAGGCAGGGGAAGCCTCCAGTTTGTCTGACTGGCACTGGTGAAGTGGAGGGCTTCTGGGGAGGGGAAGCCAGTGCAAGCCGGGTGGAGGAGGTCGGCAGGGTAAGGCAAGTTCCTTAGTCAGACTGATGGAGAGGGATGTAAATAATAATATTCATACACACACACGTTTCCAGTGCTTGCCTTGCCAGGTTTTGGGTAAATGTTAGACATTTTCATCTCACCTAATTTGTGGTTAGTGGTTTATGTGTATTCTTGCCTCTAAGAGAGAGGGAATCTTTACATCGTTTTAAAGATGAAGAAATTGGTGTTCAGAGAAGCAATTCTATTTTCTAGAGGTCACACAGTCAGTGCTGTGAAGAGCCTGGAAAGAAACTCAGGTCCCTGTGGATCCAAACACTGACTCAACCACCAGCTGTACCATCTGATAACCAGCACATCTGCCCCATCCCCAGCTCACTCCCAGCTCAGCCCCCTTTCCTCAGAAGCCCCCAGCCCACCTTTTGTCTCTGCTTCCTCCCCTCACCTTGACCAGCAAGGAATACAGCTCTGGGGTACAAGCTGCCAGGCCAAGGGAGCACACATCTCTGAGCCTCAGTTTTTTTTATCTGCAAAATGGGGATAGAAATAGAGCTACTGAGAGGAATCAATGCGATGATGTCTGCACTCTGTGACCTGGAAGCTCTCCTTGCCTGTTTCCTCTTGTGTACAACAGGATAATAAATGACAGTGCCTCGTAGGTCTTTCTGAAGTAGGTCTTTCTGAGCATACGTGTGCATCTGCATTCTGTGCACACAGTTGGTCTGAACAGCTGTTATCAATGAGCAGGGGGTGATGGAGGTGGGTAGAGGCAAGGCCAAGAACATTCTAGAGGATCCTGGCTCCCCTCTTCTGCCCCGCAGCAGTTGGGCGCGGGCCCCGTGCTCAAGCCTCCTTGTCCGGGCGAGGCCTCCTGCTGCGGTCCTGCGTTGATGTCGGCCTTTAAGGACCCCTTCGCCCCGACGTCGCCGAGGGCGGAGCCTGGAGGTTGCCGCTCCGCCCCCACCCCGCCCCCATCCGCTGCGGACCCGGGCGGGAGACTGGAGCTGAGTGGGACGTCCAGATCCTGCAACTCCAGGCTCTAGCCGGGCAGCTTGGGGCTTTCTGAAGTCCCCATACCCGACCGGTAGAGTCGGGACAGGTGTCGGTTCAGGGGCCCAGGAGGTCCGGCATCTGGCCCTGAGTGGTGAGTGAGGGGCACAGTTAAAGGACGCCTCCCCTCCCCCGGGTCCTAGCATTGCGGGTGGGGAGGCAAACCCTTGGCGAGGAATTAGGCTTAAACCAGGTTTGGAGTGAGAGGAGGAGGCTTAGGAGGACCCCCAGGGGGACCGTGGGGCGAGGAGAATATTCTTTGTTGAGTATGTGCGAGTGTGTGGTGGTGGTGGAGGGTGTTATGGGGTAGGTGAGCTTAGGCGGATTCTAGTAAAACAGGAGGTGCCTGGGGAGCTGGTGGGAACGCGAGAGGGTGTGTGTGGGGTTACCGATGTGGATGGAGTAGGCAGGGGTGCCGGCAGGTGTGCAAGGGAAGTGGTGAGAACAGGGGAGAGTGATGGATACTTGTGCGTATGTTAACACATTGGGGGGGGGGAATCTCTTCTGGAGAGATTACGAGTGTGCAAGGAGTCACTTTGTGCCACAGTTGTGTGGTTTTAAGATTTTATTTATTTATCTTTAGAGGGGAAGGGAAGAAGAGAGGGAGAGAAACATCAATGTATGGTTGCCTTTCGTGCGTCCCCTGCTGGGAACTGGCCTGCAGGGAACCTGCCTGCAACCCTGGCATGTGCCCTGACTGGGCCACTGACTGGGAATTGAACCGCGATTGTTTGGTTCGCAGGCCCGTGCTCAATCCACTGAACTACACCAGCCAGGGCTAGTTGTGTGGTTTTTGACTGAGGGTAGAGAGGACCAAGGTTTAATGTCTGGCCCCTGAATTCTCTTTACAACTTGGGCCAGCCTCTTTTACTCTCTGGGCCTCAGTTTTACCCTCTGTAAAGTGGGTCTGAGGGTTGTTGACCTAAAGTCTCTGTCTCTGTGGAGTCAGGAGTCAGGGGAAGGATGAAGGTGAGACTTTCACTTGTCCTTTTCTTTTCCCTACCCAAGGAAGCACCTCCGGGAACCCCTCCCCAGCCATGGACAGCCCCAGTCTTCCAGAACTTCAGCAGCCTCTGCTGGCAGGTGTTGGCTCCACCTGCCCTGTCCAGAAGCCTGGAGAGCCTGAGCCAGATCCCCTCTTTGGGGAGACAGCTTTTGCAGAGTCCCTAAGGGGCTGGCAGTTTCTGCCATCACCTCTTCCCTCTGTGAGCACTGGTCTGGGGCAGCCAGGGCACCCTGACCTTGAGGTAGGAGAAACAGGCCTTAGAGGGAGCAAGGGGAGGGGGCTGGGGGAGATTCCAGCTACAGTCAACATTTGATAGGCTGGCAGGTGAGGTACCTGCCTTTGGCCTGGGGTTTCACTTCTGAGCCGGGAGTGAGTTTCCTAGATATCTGGCTGTTGTTTATCCTGGTCTCCCTTGCCCCTGGATTCTTTAGCTTTGTCTCTTATTTGCCTCTCATCTTTGTTCCCTAACCTTTGGCTGTCTGGCTTTCCTCTGATTTCTAACCCCTACTCTGTCCATCTCTCTCCAGAGCCAACTCACCTGTGGCCTCTGTCTGCCCTGGTCTCTTTTTTGAAAACTGTCACTTTTGTCATTTCTTATTCCTTGTCTTTTATTTTGTGAACATGGTTTCCCAGTTCCTATTGCTGTATAAGAAGTCACTGCAAAACTCAGTAGTTTAAAACAACAGCAGTCATTGTTATCACTCATGGTTTCTCGGGGTCAGGATTTGGGAAGCACTCCGTTGACTGGTTCTGCCTCAGGGTTTTTCGTAAGGTTGTGGTGGAGCCAGTGGCCGAGATCTGGAGCAATCAGGGGCTGAGGCAGCTGGGGGCTAGCTGGTACCTCTCTTCATGTAGTCTTGGGGTTTCCACACGTCTCCCCATGTGAGCTGGTTTGGGCTTCCCTCCGGCATGGCAGCTGGAGGGCAGTTGGACTCATGTGCCTTTGGTCTCCAGCATGTGTCTCAGCAGAGCGGGAGCGGCCTCACCTTTTCTGATTAGGAAGTCAGGTAACATTACTTCCACTACATTCCACCAATTATGAGTGAGTCACAGCCTCTCCAGATTCCAGGAACTGGGACCCAAACGTCACCTTTGATGGGAAAAGTATCAGTCACTGTAAGAAGAACATACGGGATAGGAGAGATGGTCACAGTTATTTTTGGAAAAATCTGCCACATTGTCTTGCTAGGCATCATGCTGACATTGTATGTGCTTGATAATTCCATTGTTTGAAGATTTTGAAGGTCTGATTATTTCTGCTCGTTCTCATTCACAGTTCCTTTATGTTCCTGGTTATCTTTGACTGCATGCTGGTCGTCATATTTGAAAAATTATTTTGAGGTCTAGAACGAAGGTACCTTCCTCCAGAGAGGACTTGCTTTGCTTCTGAGAGCTGCCTGGGGGCATTAGCAGTTAAAGATCATTTTTAATTTCAAGGTTTGATTGAAAGGTTTGATTTTTCTGGGATTGGCGTATACCTTCCCAGGAAGGGCAAAAGAGGCCTTCTGTGTTCATTTGACCTGTTACCTTTTTCATTTCAGTTTCAGCCTTACAATGACTCCTTACTCTTATGAGCTGTTTGATGCAAGATTAAAACAAAATTTTTTTAAAAATGTAGAATCAGTAGTTTCAGGAGTCAGGTTTGTCCGAGTAACTTAGGCCACCGGAGTTGTTTCTCCAAATCTTCATCTTTTTGCAGGCTCCTGCCCCTGCTGGTGTCTGTCTCCACCTCGGGGGCAGGGAACTCAGAGCCCAGGGGGTGGGCGGGGCTCTTCTCTGGAGGCAAGCTTCACAGCTTCCCTCAGAGGGCTCAAAGATCCAGGAAAGTCAAGAGCCTGTCTCCTAAAACATTTTCTGTCTTGGTGTTTCTGGGGCGGCCCTGGTGTTGGTCTTTGGGGGCCGTGCAGAGCATGGTGCTGGGGCGGGGGAGGTGGGAGATGCCCACCCAGGCTCTTTCCTGCTTCTAGGATGCATCAAGTGACAGCGACTCGGACTGGGACAGGGACAGCCTTCTCTCCCCGCTCCTACCCCATGACCACCTGGGCTTGGCTGTTTTCTCTGTGCTGTGCTGTTTCTGGCCTGTGGGCATTGCCGCCTTCTGCCTGGCCCAAAAGGTCAGTCCGTGTGTGGGGCTGGGAGGGGGGACTAGAGATAACAGAGAAAAATGCACTCAAGGTATAAAACAAAACATAGCAGCTATGCCTGGGGCTAAGGGAAGACACGGAGAGGATTCACATGGAAACATTTGGCAGTAAAATGAGGCATGGTACACAGAAGGCTGCCAAGTGGTGGTTAAAAACCCAAACTTAAATCCTAGGCCTGCCCCTCTCTGTGAGCAAGCCACAATTTCTCGGTGCCTCGTGGTCACTGTGCGGATCAAATGAGTTAGAACTGAGCGGTGGCAGACACTAACACCTTGTTAGTCACCCAGAACCCCCAAGTGCCCAGGAGATGCTCCCTGTTTGGGGGACGTAGGAATGAATGCATGGGTGTGTCCTGTGGGGACAGGGCTGGGGCTTCAGGAAGCAGGGTGGGCGGAAGGGATGCCTGACTCACTGACGCCCAACACCTCCACAGACCAACAAGGCCTGGGCCAAGGGGGACGTCCAGGGGGCAGGGGCCGCCTCCCGCCGCACCTTCCTGCTGGGGGTCCTGGCCATCGGGCTGGGTGTGTGCACATACACGGCAGCCCTGGTGACCCTGGCTGCCTACCTGGCCTCCCGAGACCCGCCCTAGCCGCCCCTGCGGCCCTCACTGTGAACCAGAGGCTGGTGGTCCGCAGCACATGCTGGCAGAGTAGAGAATCCAGGTGGATGTGGCGGTGGCAGCGTCCAGCAGTGGGACCAAACCGTACAACCCTCTACCCTTTCCGGCTGCTACGATGTCAGATTAAACACCAGACACGCTTGTAGTCAGATCTGTGTCAGTCTGTGGGGGGCAGGTGGGGCTGGGGGCACCTGACAGGCTCTCCCCAGGGCACTCCTGGACACCTCGGAGCTGAAGGGGGACCCTGAGGGGTGGGGGTTTCCCAGCTGCAGAATGATCTCTTCACAGCTGAGGGCGGTCAGCAGAGAATTACAGAGCTGGGTGCCAAGGACTTACTCCTCCATGTGGCAGCTGTATGACCTTGGCCCACGGCCATATATATTCTTTGAGCCTCATTTTTCCCCACCTGGGAAATGGGTCATGCATGTAAAAGGAAGTCTCCTTCTGAGCTCTTTGTATAGCAAGTGGCAGAAATTCAACTCCGATCACCTCACACACACAAAGGGGAAAAAGCTGAGGTACAGCAGGATTCGGGGGCTCAAGTGAAATGGTCTGGCCCCCTCTCTCACCTCCTTCCTTTTTGGCTTCATTCCATGCAGGCTCCCCCTTGTGGGGGAGAAAAATGGCCCTGGCCAACTACTACCCCAGGAGCCCTCAAGGGCAGCCCCAAATGAATCATACGGCCTGCCAGTGGGGAGTTGGGGGGCAAACATGGACAGAGCCTTTAGGTAGCATCAAAGTGCTGATCGAAAGGAGTGTCTGCTAAAAGCGGTGCTAGCAGAGGGGCAGATGTGCTCACTAAATGGGGTTCAGCATTACCCAGCAATGGAGTGATGGTTTGGTTTTCTCATTCCACTTAATGCCATTCCAGTGGGTCTTTCTGAACACGCTTCCCCATTTGGTACTCCACGGAGCGAAACTGCAAGCTAAAGATATTCATGCATTTCCTGGGATGAAAATGACACCGCGCTGGCAGCCATGGGAACTCGGCGAGCTAGTTCAGGCACGTGAAGTACACAGCATAGGTCCCCCCCCCCCCCCCCCAAACACCACAGGCTGCCAGATCCCGTGACCATGCGGCTCCAAAGTGGGTTAATCCTTGCTGATGCTCACACATTCTTGTCTCCTACCCACTAAATAAAAGAGTAGGGGAGCAGTCAAATGGCAACTAAAAATGTCCCCTAGGGGGTGCTACCATCCCTGAAAACCAACTTCTGTGTACAGATGGTGAACCCCAGTCCAGTGTGCCGGCCTCTCCCTGGTTTGCCTGAACAGCAAAGGCCTGAACTGGGCGAAGTGGGACCCACGCTGCATTGCTGAGTAGCTTCTGACCTTGTTTTCTCATCTTAAAAAATGTGGACTGCAGTAACAGCCCCACCTCACTCGGTTGTCAGGCTCAGACAGTAGCCTCTGAGCGCCCATCCTTGCCCTGACCGTCTTTCTCCTGCCTTCACAGGCACAGTTCCGGCCACGCTGACTGCCCTGCTGGTCCTCAACAGGTCTCTCTCTGGGGCTTGTCCCCCGTGTGTCCATGAGCTCACTCCCTAGCCTCCTCCTGGCTTCCCTCAGGTGTCCCCCTCTCGGTGAAGGTGTCCCCGACCAATGTATTAAACTTGCCTTCCCCGAACAAAGGTGCTCAAACCCTTCTTCCCTGCTTTTTGTTTTGCCACAGCACTTACCATCGTCTGACAAACACCAATTCTGGGCCCTCAGCACCTAGCAGGGACTGCACAAGTAGGTGCTCAACAGACATTTATTAGACGAAATGAATTCATTCAATAAATGTGCAATCCTAGTAATGTTTCCCTGGTGGGTGTGGGGCACCCATGTCCCCTCACCCCGAACCCCAGGGGCTGCAGCCAGGGGCACTCCTCAGGTGGCCCTGCAGCTACAGGCCCACAAGCTCTCCTGGGCACACGAGGACAGAGAGGCAAGGCTGGGTGGCAGCAGGTTTCTTTTGCACTGGAGGTAGTGGTGGGTGGTGGCAGTGGGAGGGGCGCCCTGCCCCAACTTGCCTCAGCTCTTGGAGTACCGCCTCTGCAGCGATTCCCGGTAGAAGCGGAAGACATGTTGCGAGGCAGCCTGGGCTGCAGCCAGGCACTGTTGGAGCTGCGTGGGAGAGACTGGTCAGTGCAAGCCCATCCCTGCACTGCTGCGGGGCCAGTGGGCTCACCTGGTTTCTAGGGCCCCCAAACCTACCACCTCCCTCTTCACCTGGGCAAGCCCCCCACCCCCCAGGTGAGACAGGTGGGGAGGGGATTATTCCAAATGCATCTCCTCCTTCCCCACTTCAGGGCTTCTTAGAGGGGACGAGGAGAAGGAAAAAAGAAAAGGTGAGGGAAGCAGGGACCAGCTTCCGTCAACTCCAGGGCCTCAAACCAACGGGATTGGGCATCCTGACAGCTGGAATAGACCTGAGCTCTGGAAACTTATGAGCTCACGAAACTGGAGATTTACTGGCATTTTAGAGCCACGGGCCTTGTGACCCTGGATGACGTTAGGAGCCACAGAATCTGAAACCCCAAATCTTAACTGCCACATGTCACTAGAGTCTTGGGAGGTCCAGACTGGAAATGCTCTTGGAGACCATTTGCAGTTTCTGAACTCTTCGGACCTGGAGTGGGGAGTCCCCCCTTTCTGGTACCCCCCCCCCCCCCGATTTCAACCTGAACTCTTCTCTCTTCCTACCTCATAACTGGGCTTCCCTTAAAAAATTTTTTTTATCCTCACCTGAGGACATTTTTTCATTGCTTTTAGAGAAACATTGACGTGAAAGAGGAATACTGACGGACTGGCTGTCTTCTCGCACGCGCCCCGACTGGGGATCAAACCCGCAACCTGGGTACGTAGCCCCAACCCAGAATCAAACCTCTGACCTTCTGGTCCACAGGACAACGCTCTCAACTGAGCCCCACTGGCCAGGGCAGGCTTCCCTTTAAAATTCCCACAAAGGTTTCTTGGCTACAAAGTCTACAAACTCCTGTTCACAGAGGACTCAAGGAGGGGGGGCTCTCCTCAAACCTCTGAGGTCAGGGCAGAGCTGGGACATGTCAGGGGTAGGGAAGATCTGGGGTTCCCCCACATCCACATGCTGCTACCTCAGCATCAGAGAAGAGTCCCTTGGTGGTGGACATGAGTAGCTTCTGCTCCACGCTGTCGAGTGCAAAGGTCAGGACTGCCCGGGCCTCCTAGGGATGAGGGATAGAAGGTGGGGGACGCGGGCTCTCCCTTCAGGTACAATGTCGGCTGATCCCGAAGAAAGGACTTGCCTTTCCCAAAGCCAAGTACCCCTGCATCCAGTGTGGCTGTGTACCTAGGGACCACCCCTCCCAGTTTCCTAGGCCGTTCCCCTAGATCCTACACCGATTCCAACCACAGGCTTCTGATGGGCTTCCAGGCGGTTTTCCTGCCCTGCAGGGGGAGCCACAGTACACCTCATTTACCTGGCGCCTCCTAGCTTTTGTGCTCTGTACTCCTGAGGCACGAAGTGGCAAAATACATTTTCTGGGTGCCCCTTAAAGGTAGTACAGTCCTCCACCTGTACTCTGGTGGGGCACTGACAGGAGGGAGACCAGCACCCAGGGCAAAGCCAGGTCTACGCAGCCACAAGTGACTGCAGCAATGCCTCCAATAGCACAGGCAGGAGCTACAGGTTCCTGATGACTCTTCCCTTTTCTTCCTTCAGCTCTTCCAACACTGTTGTAACCAGTTCCCTGCATTAAACCCTCCACTGGAAATCCCCCAGTGGCCTCTGCTTTCCTGACTGGATGTGAGTGGGCTAGTAACTCAGAGTAACCACAGCCCCAGGATACTGTGAACTTGAGCCGATGAGGAATGCTCTTTCTTCCTGTGCCTCTTTGCCTCTTGAGATATAAGCAGAGCTTAAGCAGCCAATCGCAGCCTCAGGAGAGATACTGGCCAGAGATAATGGAGCTAGAAGTGCAGAAAAGCGCAGGTACTAAGAAATGCAAAGGAAACCCTGAAGGCGTCCGAGGCCCTGGCTTGATCTCTGTTCTTTCTGAGTTTGGTTCTGAATGTCAATAAATTCCCTACTTGCTCACGCAGTTTGAGTTGGGTTTCCAGCACTTGCCCCGATGAACAGAGCAGAGCCGGTCAGCTGGGACTGGGGTGGGACGAGCCAACTGCGGTGGGACAGTGTGGCCTCCACGAGAGGGTCAGGTTCTGCCGCGGCCCTTCACCACCCTGGCCTCCACACCTACCTTTTCCTGCTTGGCTGTGGGGTCCAGCATGAGGGTCCCGTCAGCGTCCAGGGCACAGGTGACCCCACAGAAGAGGGCCTGCATGGGCACACCTGCGTCGACTAACGCCATGCAGGCAGCGTTCAGGCAACAGGCCAGGAGCTGAGCGCCACAGGGAGCAGTTAAAGAGTTTCCACTGCAGGGCTGGCCAGCAGACGGGTCCTTGCCTCCTCCACCCCCCCAGCCTGTGCAGTGGCAGCCGCACCGACTGACCACAGGAAAGCAGTACAGCAGTGTTTTCTAAGTGGTTCTGGGACCATGTAACCTTGGGTTTCAGAACTGGCTTTGTGACCTTAAGCAGGCGAGTTACTCTCTCTGAGCCTCAATCAGAGATCAGGATATTCAACAGATATACACCGGCAGGTGCCAGGAACCTCCAGGGAAACCAAGGGCGGAGAGGGGAAGAAAACTTCCAGATCACACGGGAGGTACTGGCAGAGCCAGGCCTGGAACCTGGGAATCTGGCAGCAGCCACCAGGGACAGACTGCCGGGGAGGTGGTGGGAGGGGTCATTACCACTGCCTCAGGGGGCCGGCCACCCAGGGGAGAAGCGAGGCCGTGGCGCAGTGGAAGGTGAGCACAGGGCTGAGCCAGACTCCTGGCCTGACCTCAGCTGGCTGCCCAGGTCTAGCACAGAGGATAAGGGCCCAGCGGTGGAATCTGTCCCACCTCTGCCAACCCTCTGTGATCTCCCACCGAGCCTCACTTCCCCTGTGCAATGGGACTACAACAGCCCACCCCTCCTCCTATCTAGGAAGTGCCTGCCCCAGTGCAGCCCTCTAGAAATGCCCACTTCTGCAGGTCCTCAGCCTCAACCTGTGACCCAAACCATGGGGGTCTTTCAAGGATGAGCTGTTGGCCCTACTCTGCTAGCTCAGGGCTCCCCCAGGTCAGCCCTGTTGTGGCTCAGCTGGTTGGACACCATCCCGAAAAGATCACTGGCTGGGTCCCAGTCAGGGCACATGCCGAGGATGCAGGTTTGGTCCCCAGCTGGGGCATGTACTAGAAGTAACTGAATGATGTTTCTCTCCCTCTCTTCCCCTTTCTCTAAAAATAAATAAGTAAAACCTTAAAAAAAACACAAAACAAAAACACCTCAGGGTCAGAGTGGAGCTCAGTGGCACAAGCTTTGGAGTGAGACAGGCCTGAGTTTTGTCTCTGCTGCCTTCAGCTGTGTGACCTTGGACAAGTGACTTCCCCTCTCTGGGCCTCAGCTTCCTCACCTGAAACATAGGAACATAAGAACATCAATCTGCCAGGGGCCTTGGGCTCTGGAACCGAACAGTGTGGGTTCAAGTCCTGGCTCTGCCAATTACTACTTATGTGAGCTGTGCAGATTTAATGGGTTGGCATGTGTATGGCACTTAGAACAGTCCTCGACACACAGTAAGCACTCAAGCTGTTTGCTGTTCTTTTTCAACTAGTTGATTTGGTGCCTGTCAAGTGTTTGGAGGTCCTCTGGCTAGCGGGAGGGTATGTATGGCCATCAGCAAGGGAGGAAATTAAGGAGATTCTGGGGGACTTCTTGGAGGAGGCAGCCCAAGGGAAAGGATACAGAGCCAGCATCGCTGATGACCTGCAGCACAATGGTGATGGAGGTGCGGGGGTGCAGCGCCCCCAGCACCACCGCTTCACATGTGTTCCTGATCAGCCGCTCCCGGCTCTTCTCTGCTACACCTGGGGAAATCAGGGACGGGAAGGAAGGGGTCAGGCTTTTCTCTTCCTCCACACGCATCACCCACGTCTCTGGAAAGGGCCTGCAGTCTAAGCCTGGGTTGGTGCAGGACCCTCCGTGGATGGCACAGGATTCCCAGTGGCCAGGAGGGAGGGCCTGGCTGGCACCCTGCTGCGGCCACCGGCCACCTGTCTGCGGTGTTATAGAGGAGATGAGATAAATTCGCATGGACTACTGAGTCCCATGGAGGAAAGGGGACAGCACAGCCATTCTCTTAAGGGTGGGGGGGTGCCCTAACTCTTGCCTTGACAGGCTTTTGTTGGCTTTCTAATAGCATACATCAAAGAAGATCTTCATTTATTATATTTAGGTTTGCTTTAGGTAATTACTTTCTACAGATAGCAACAGAAGGGATGTTACTGATTACTTCTCACAGATTAACAAGGAAAAAATTGTTGCGAATGCAAGGGAACGGTAAGAGTAATTGGTCTGGGGTGGAAAGGGGAGGGAGTTGGGGGACACGGGGGGGGTGGGCTGGGATGGGAGTAAAAGAGAATACTGTAGTTGAAAATAATTTTTAAAAATGTTCATGAATCTAAAAAAAAAGAGTAATTGGTCTGGTTAAACTTTAGTTCTTGCGAGAATGAGCACAGACTTCAGGAAGTTAAAGATACGGAGCTAAGCATTTTCTGCTTCAACTCAGGGTGAGGGATTTTTAGCAAGAGCAAGTCACAAAGCAGCCCAGGTACAATGCAGGCCTGATTTCCCAGAGGAGAATCAATCCATGGGTTTGGCTCCTGTGTGCTGCCACATGCCTATGGGCTTTTCAATAGGGCTGAGCTAAAATTGCCACTGCCAGGCGGATTGGTTCCCAATACCACCCACTGCACCCCTGCCACTGCCAGGATCTAGCAAGGGAGACGCCCAGGGGAGGAAAATCCCAGAGTTCCCATGTCCCATGCTGCTGCCCGAGCCCAACCCAGCGGGCCCAGTCCCAGGAGCGAGGGAGACAGGAGGGCATAAAAACGTTAATGGAAAGAAGGGCAGATGAAGCCAGATGAAAAGAGGAGGGGGAAGGGAAGGCTCGGAGAGACAGAGAGAGGCAAAGAGAAAAGAAACAGAGACTCAGAGGAAGAGATAGAAGTTGCTGAGGGGAAACAAGGGGACAATACAGGCTGGGGACAGCAGTGAGGGAGGAGCCGGGCAGGGGTTCTCGACAGCAGGGACAACTGCAGACCCAATTACCAGGCAGCCCGATTTTCGGCCTCAGGATCACTTCCAGTGTGGCCTTGTTGAAGATCTCTTTGCTGACCTTCACCTCGGCTGGCCCATACACCCCCGCCAGGACGGAGGTATCCCCTGCAGAGACAGTGTGGAGGCCTCAGCCACATGTACCCTCCCTCTGGGGCCCACTGTGAGGCACTTAACAGTGTGGGCATCAGTCTGACCCACCAATCATTGGCAGTGACTTTTGGGGTACTCACTCCATTTCTCTCCCTTCACTTCCTCACCTGTGAAATGGGGACAGTAACGGTACCTCCCTCACTATAAATGAGATAATGCACAACACTGCCTGGAACATGCTGATTACACAAAAGACTGTAGTCAGTGTTACTCACTTTAACAAGAAGTTCTTCCTGAGAGCTAACCTTCCTCTCTCTTGCTGTAGCTGCTCTCGACCTGTCCCAAAGCTTCCCTCAGCCCCACTCCCTTCCCTCACTCAGACTCTTGATTCCAAACCCTGCAGCAGTCAGGACACCTGACACAGGGATGTAACTCTGGGTGTGGGTCCTGACTCCCAGTTATTTTCCAAAGGGGGTATGAACCAGAGAGAGGGAAGCAAGACCTGAGGAAAAAAAAAACCTGGCTTCTGGTCTGGTCTGCCTCCTCCCGGCTATGCACCCTTGATTGATTTTGCTCACTTCTCTGGGCTTTAGTTTTACCATGTGCGAAATGGAGACTGGACTCCAGCAGGGGCTTCCAAACTTTTATGACCACAGCTCCAAGAAATACATTTTGCAATGGGCCTCGAGATGCCTGCAGATCCGTGTGTGTGGAAATGGAACAAAGGCATGACAAAATCTTACTGTTACCGCCTTGGCATGCTCGGATATTTTCTACTCGATTCCAGTGAAAAACAATGAATGCAGTGGTTCTCAACCCTGACTGCACACTAAAATCACCCCAAGGCTTTAAAAGACAGTGAGGACCAGGCCCTCCTCCAGAGATCGTAATTCAGCTGCTCAGGGTGGGGTTCAGGCATCGGGAGTCGGAGCTCCACAGGCCACTCTGTGTGTGAGGAGGGAAGGGGAGCCTGTGACCTGCAGTGTGAAGAAAGGAGCTCGAGCACAGCTTCCGAACACTGTTCTGAATCAGAACCACTGCAACATGAAATGGAAAATGTGGAAGGCAATGGGGTGGGTTCTGGGGCTATGCGTTTTTGTTTTTTAAACCCTCATCTGAGGACATTTTTTTGTTACTTTTTAGAGAGGAAAGGAGATAGAAACATCCATCGGCTAACTCTCATATGCGCTTGGATGCGGGGAATCCTGCATGACCAGACCTGGGATGAAACCTGTAACCTGAGTATGTGCCCTGACTGCAAATTGAACCCGCAACACAACCTTTTGGTTACAGGAACCGTGCTCCAACAAACTGAGCCACACTGGCCAGGGCCTCAGCCTCTGCATTTTATTGTAGATTCTGAGGCCACAAGCACCTGGAACATGGTTTTCAGGGTCCTCAAAGACTCATTCCAAGGCCTGAGGCTTTGAGGTTTTAGAACATGGAAGAGGCCACCCTTCTCAGTATCGCTAAGTTCTAAGAAACTTGAGGCTAGAGAGCTAAAGTTTAGCACGAGAGCTAAGCCTGGGGGCAGGCCTGAGAAGGCCCCTAGTTGGGCTGTTATTGCCGGAGCTGGGAGGAGGGGCTGTCCCACAACTGAGGGCTTCTCTGTGTTCCACGAGAATCTGCCTGGAGGTGGGGAGGTCACCCAGGAGAGTTAGATCTGCACTGGGGGTGGTCATTCTTGTTAGTCCAGATGAGCTGTCTCTGGTCCACCTGAACACAGGAATCACTCCCCATCACCTTCTCAAGGACACAGCTCCAACAGTTCTGTGGAGCAACTCTCTCCTCTCTGGGCCCACATCCAGCTTCAACACCCGCCCCACTGATCTGACCCTCTAAAAGCCAAGGTCCCAAAGCACTATCTCCTTCTCCTCTCCTCCTTGACCCACCACTCCATTGCAGCAGCTTTTAGCAGCATCACCAGTGACATATGTCCAAACTCTCAACCCACAGGTCTGTTCCATCCTCATGTGACCCAACCTCACAAGGACTGAGGCAGCTGATTGGCTCTTACATCGCTGGGCTCCTCCAGGTCACCTCCCTCTCTCGGTTCTCCTCTTGTCTTGCTCCTTCTCAGTGTCTTTCTGCTAGCTCCTCACGAGTCAGAAGACTCAGGCCTTAGTCCCAGGACCTATTCTCTTTCCCATCTACACTCATTTTCTTGGTAATTTCATTCAATGAAGAGCTTAAAATACCATCTATAGCCAGAGGATTTAAAACAGTATGTCCATACTGGGTCTCACTTTTTTTTTAAAATGTATTTATTTATCTTTAGTGGGGAAGGGAAGGAGGGAGGGAGAGAAATATCAATGTATGGTTGACTCTTGTGGGTCCCCTGCTGGGAACTGGCTTGCAACCCAGGCATGTGCCCTGACTGGGAATCAAACCTCAATCCTTTGGTTCGCAGGCCTGAGCTCAATCCACTGAGCTACACCAGCCTGGGCTGGGTCTCACTTCTGAACTCCAGATTCTATGTCCAGTTTGCCACCATGATGCCTACTGGGCATTGCAAACAGGCAAAGACCTTAGCTCTGTCCCTATCTTCTCATATCCCAAAACCAAACCATCTGCAAATTGTGTCAGTTTTACCTTCAAAATACATCCAGAATCTCGCCACCTCCATTGCTTCCACTCTAGTCTGAGCCTCCCTCATCTCCCTGTTGCCCCCATAACCTACTAGAGGCAACACTGAAGCCAGAGAGATTCTGTTAAAATATATTTGGATCATGTTCTTCCTCTGAGCAAAAGTTCCAATGGCTCCCATCTCATTTACTACATGTTATGTGATGGGCCATCCTTAACTCTCTCCAAAACCCCCCTCACTTCTCCAACCATGTTGGTCTCCTGACTTCCTCAAACATACCAGGTACCCTCTTGCTGCATGGCCTGGGCACCTGGTTGATACACTTCCTCTCCTGATATTTTCAGGGTTTGCTCTCTCACCTTTAGGTCTTTATTCAAATGTTACCATTTCACTGAGTCCCTTCCTGACAGTCCTATTTAAGATTGCAGCCTTCTCTGGCACAGCCTATTCCCCTTCCATACTATAGCTTGCTCTGTAGCACCTTACTTAACTATCTTCTTTACTGTCTGTCTTCTTGCTCAGGTGAGGGGTTAAAAAATTCTTTATTGCTGTATTCCCAATGCCTAGAACAAATACATACCCGTCCAATGAGAAGGAATGAATGAAAGCAGGTTTGTAACTGGGTAGAAGGTAGTGCCCTAGAGAGAGGACTGCGGCATCTATGGGTGTGGTCCTTAGGCTTACCTCCAGAGGAATATTTACCTGAGTCAAGGAGTTTGAAAGGTACTCAGCTAGATCTTACAATAGGTAAGCAATACCCCAATCTCAGAGATATTTACCTAATTGGTGGGGATGGGGAAAATCTCAACCCAGGGTGTGGACATCAACCTTAATCTGAAAAGTATGTACTTGGGTGAAAGGTCTTCCCTAGCAGGGAGTAATGAAACCGGTAATAGTGATCTGCCAGCCTTCGAGGTAGTTATGCAAATAGGCAGGTTTGCCTCAGTCTGGGATGTATGGACCCAGGGTATGTCTGTGGGAAGCTGAGGAGGAATCTAATTAAGGGGGTTATTCACTGTGGTGAGATTTTCTCTACTGTAGAGTATTGATGCTTATGGGGAGGTCTGGGCCTCTCCCTTGGTATTTACCGGGTGGAGGTATCTCTCCCTTCTAGTTAGGAGATACATACTTACCCTACAGTATCTAGTAATAGCCACCTAGGCAAGAAGTTCTGTATGAGTCCAGGAGGGATATTTACCGGCTAGTATCAGAGGAGGTGGGCATACCTTTGCACGAGACACCGTAGCCACTCCCTAAAATAAATACAACTTGGGTGAACGCGGCCGGGGCACTATCTACTTGGGTAATTTCTTACCTTGCAGGAACGAGGCAGAGCCATCCGGCCGGGACAGCAGGTTCTGTTCGCAAGCAAAGTGCCGGAGGCTGCAGCCGGGGCCCCGAGAGCTGGAATCCGTTCCAGACTCCGTGCGGATTTTGGCGTCAGTCTGCATTGCCTCCTCCGTCTGCCAACTCCACGAGTAAAGTCAGTTCCGCACCGCAGGGCGCGCAGGCGCGCAGACTGCGTACCCAGGGCGCAACGCGCGGATCTCGGTTCGCCAAGGTCCCACATGGCTCCTTGTTTACTAACAATTTGACCCCGCCCACTCCGGCCTCTAAATTCCAGAAAAGCCATTGGACCTTAGCGAATAGGGGGTGGTTCTTGGCAAGGGCTGGTCCTACCCGAGGCCCCGGGCCCTAAAAGTCTGGGGCTCCGGTCAGGTTGCCCTCTTCTTTGCCTGTTACAAAAACAATCACAGTGAGGCTATCAGAGTAATTTGTTTTGGAAGCTACGTTGTTTATTCCACACATATAGTGTCCTAGGAACCTCAGGACTATAGCAAATGCTGACTTTGCAGAGTGGTGCTGACATTTGAGTCAGGCTAGTGAAGGGGCAGCCCCCAGTAGCGACAGGGGAGGGGCGGATCGCCGAGAAGTTGTTAGTCAAGATGGCGTTGTCGGCTGGTGTGGGCCGGGTTTGGAGACCACGTCGAGGCTGGGGCCAGGCTGGCTTCCTGCTCCTGCAGCGGCGTGGAGTTCGGGGGCTGGCTATATCTGTGAGTACCTGGGGTCCCAGAGGGTTATCCCCAGGAGAGAAAAGGGACGTCAACGCCATCTTCAGAGTGTGGGATTCCTGCAAGGAGTGAAGGAAGGGCTGTCACAGAAGGGGCAAGTGTTAGGAGAACCACTTGGAGGGGACATTCAGAGTAAGAACTTCAACTTCCTTAGGGGAGGAGAAGTGAGACAGCTTTTGGGGGGGCCTCTTGAGACAGAGACAACTTGGAAAGAAGGGGGGGTTCCTCATTAGTTGCCAGGGGTCGATGGCCGCTTGGAGGTACCTGGGAAGAGAAGGCGAGACCTTTGCTTTAGGGATTGGGGAGTAAAACTGCTTTAGTGAGTTTGTTCTCGATAAAGACCCCTCCCCTTCAAAAAGGAGAAAAGAAAGATCAGGTCTTCTGTCATGGATTTTTTTTTAAAAATAGTGCCCTGTACTTCCTTGCTCCTTTGCTACAATTCTGATTTTAAAATGAATTGCATAGCCTCGACTTGGTGTGGCTCAGTGGATTCAAAGCCAGCCTGGGGACCTAGGGGTTGCTGGTTCGATTCCCTGTCAGAGCACATGACTGGGTTGGGAGCTAGGTTCCCAGTTGGGGGCGTGGGAGAGGCAACCGATCAGTCTTTCCTTCTCCTTCTCCCTTTCTGTAAAAATAAATAAATAATCTTTAAAATGAATTGCATAAAAAAGTCGTTTGAACCTGTGTCCCTTAGTGAGATGCCAGGACAGGGACCTTGTCTGTTGTGGTCACACCGCAGAAAAGATGACCACTAAATATTTGTTGAATTTATGAGAGGAGAAAAGGAGAGAGAGAGATCCACAGGGGACTTTGTCCACATTTCTTCTTAATGGAACGCCGTGTGGGTTGCAGTAGAGCTATGAACTAAAATCTCACAATAAGAAAATAGTTTTTTAGAAGGATATGAAGCTAGATCCCATTGGTTCATATCCCTAATCTGCTATTTTCCAGCTGTGTAGCCTTGGGTAAGGGTCTGCTGTTCTCTGTACCTAATTTTCTCCTCTGTAAAATGCTACCAGTGGCACCTCATAGGGTTGTTGTGAAAATTAAATATGTAGAATGCTAAGAATTGGACCTGGCATTATACTAAGGGCAGTAGGAGTGTTGGCCGGTTTTGAAAGTGAAGATGGAGGGAATGAGGGAGGAGAAATACGACTTTGGGAAGGCCCGGATTGATGAGGGCCCTGGAGGGAATCTGTCAAGATTTTGTGGGGTTGGGCCTGACCCTCTGACTCTCCAATCCAGAAGGAAGGGAAGCTGGAACCTGTAGGTGGAAGCTGTAGATGGGAGGAGAAACAGGGGAGGAGGGTGAAGAGGATGGGGCGGAATGAAGGGAGGGGTCCAAGGAAGAGAAGGATTGCTGGAGCTGGATGGGGGTAGGGCAGCCTCTTGTGTTTGGGCTGTTTGGGCTGGTTTGTTTTGGCCTTTTTTTGGTTGGGGTGGGGGAGCAGTCAGATCTTCCATAGCTGATCTCAGTCCCAGGAGCCCATTGGCTGGGCCAGTGGGGCGGGAGGTGGGCTGGACTTGGGCTGCATTGGGGTTGCACTGGGGCTGCAGTGGGGAAAGGTCATTTAGGACCCATTAAATCAGCTTTCTTCTGGCCAAGTCTCTCTCCTGCCCTTCCCTTCCTTTCCCTCTTGACTTCCCTCCTTTGTTTTTTGTTTTTTTTTTTTTAGGGTGGGAGAGGAGGAGAAGGTCCCCCAGAGTCCTTTTTATGTATGTATAGTATTTAAAATTTTACATATTTTTGGAGTCCTTGTTTTTCTTTCCCATGTTTATTTCTCCAACTTGTTCTTTTAAAATTAGAAATGATACTTTTGTATTTTTGATTGGAGGGAAGCTACTGAATAGTAGCATTTAGTCAAAGAAGATTTTAGGCCAGGGCTGTCCTATAGAACTTCTGGAGATGGTGGAAATGTTCTTTATCTGGGCTCTTCAGCATAGTAGCCACCAACCACACGTGGCTGCTGAGCACTCGGAAACTGAAATTTTCACTTTACAGATGGCTTCCAACTTAAGATGGTTTGACTTAACTTTTAGCTTTAACTATGGTGCAAAAGTGATACACATCCATTAGAAACCTGACTTTGAAAAATTTTGAACTTTTCCCAGAAAGTCGTGCTAGGCAGAGGCAGTGGGCCACAGCTCCCAGTCAGCCACACGATCCTGAGGGCGAACAACCACAGTGCATTGTGTGGCCAGCATTTTTTGGATATTGTGTTTTGTGTTTTCACATCTTATGTCTGCAAAAGGCCCGTCTGTGTCTTCTGCTTCTGGTGAGAGAAAAAAGAAGAAGGCAACTACTTTGAGATGAAATTCAAGATAATCGCTCAGCTATAGGCCAATGTAAGTGTTCTGAGCACATTTAAGGTAGGCTATGATGTTCAGTAGGTTAGGGTTTTTTCTTTTCTCTTTCTTTTTCTTTTCTTTTTTCTTTCTTTCTTTTCTTTTTTTTTCTTTTCTTTTCTTTTCTTTTCTTTTCTTTTCTTTTCTTTTCTTTTCTTTTCTTTTCGAGAGGGGAAGGGAGGGAGAAAGAGGAGGGAAACATCTTGCAGTTGCCTTTTGTCCACACCCTGCCTGGGGACTGAACCAGATACCTAGGCAAGTGCCCTGATTAGGACTTGAACCAGTGACCTTTTACTTTGTAGGAGGACACCCAACTAACTGAACCATACTGGTCAGGGCAGGTTAGGTGTTTTAAATACATTTTTGATGTATGATATTTTCAACTTGTGGTGGGTTTATCAGTACTTAACCCCACTGTAAGTCAAGGAGCATCTGTATTCAATTATTTTTTAAAGATTTATTTATTTCTAGAGAGAGGGAAAGGGAGGGAGAAAGAGAGGGAGAGAAACATTAATGTGTGGTTGCCTCTTGCATGCCCCCTACTGGGGACCTGGCCTGCAAACCAGGCATGTGCCCTGATGGGGAATAGAACCAGTGAGTCTTTGGGTCACAGGCTGGTGCTCAACCCACTGAGCCACACCAGCCAGGGCTGTATTTAATTTTTTTTAAGTTTTAATTGATTGATTTGAGAAAGAGAGAGAGAGAGAAACAAGGATTTGTTCTACCTTTTTATGCATTCACCAGTCAATTCTTATATGTGCAGAAACTGGGGATCAAACCTGCCACCTTGGCGTATCCTGATGACACTAACCAATTGAGCTACTTGACCACCACTGTGTTTAATGAATTTAAATTTGAACAGCCACGGGCTGCCGTATTGGATAGTGCATTTTCAGCTGAACCAGGAGACAGTGCCTTGAGGGAAGGTTGGGAGGCTGTGTTGCAGTGGACAGGTGGGGTTATTGGCACAGGCTGGGTCGGGAGGACTGCTGGGCTACCTGACTTCTTCATGTCTGCTTGCCCATCCTTTCACCTTGGAGGGGTTTGCCTGATTCTGCCTCCCTTTCTCCCCCTCTAGTTGCTGGCAGATGTATTTAGTGCTCAGGGTGAAGAGGAGGAAGGAAAACTGGTTTGTCAAGGTGTCCCAGGTCAGTTTCTCAGCCAGCACCCCAAGAAGCAAATGGGACCTTGGCCAGATCATTTCACTTCTCTGAGTGTAGCAAGCAGGTGACTAGGGTTCCTGCCATGTTGGAAATCAGGGAGCACCTGGAGCTTGGTTTGTGCAGATCAGCAGGAATGTTATTTCTCTGGCCCAGCTGTTCCGGCAGCCTGTCCAAGGGCTCCAGTGTCCTGTGCAGTGTCTCTGAGTGGCCTGTGCCCAGTGTGTATTGTGGAATGAGTGGAGATGGTCATTATTGATCTGTTTGTATCCATCTCCCTTTTGCCTGTTGTCTTAAGAAACCTGGTCTCTTTTCTAAGGAACCCAGCTTCTTTTCACATCATGAAACACTTTGTAATTTACAGTACAGAGAGGTGTGAAGAAGAAAGGAAATGGTTCTTATGAAGCACTTACTACATATACCATGTGCTCAGTAAGGGCTCAAAAAATGGCTGTTGTTTTTCTCTGAGGACAGCAAGTCTGGGGTGACCCTGACGAATGCTGGGAAAGGACGGCCTCCCTCAGCACTTCACACTCCAGTGCCTGGGAGAGCATAGTGCTACTCTAGCCCCCAGACCCCGGGTCCCTGAGGCCAGAGAAAGGCTGATTATTCACACTTCCCTGGTGTCTGCAACCACCTCTCCCACGAGGCAGGCCACTGATGAGGCTGCTGACATTTCTGACCTGGAAAAACTTTGGGCTGTTTGAGGGTAGAGTGCCTCAGACCCCAGGAGGGAGCAGGTTTGGGTGGCCTTAGTGTTCTTTGTGCAGAGGGCTCTGTTAACTGGCTCATCTGCAGTGCCTTCTGTGGCTGGGCCCCACCCTTCTCACCAGTCTCCCTAGGCACTAGTGGTCTGGCTGCCTTGTTTTGTGTGCTGACATCACCGTTCATGAGCTCTGTGGCCTTGGTCCAGTCACTTAACCCCTCTGGGCTTCGGGACCACCTCTGTTTTACTGCCACGTGATAATAGGTCCTGCCTCCCCTGGCTGCTGTGCGAGCTCATTGAGCACATAGGCCAAGAGAAAATGCAACGTGCTCAGCACGTTGTCAGCTGTTGTTATTAATGTGCTGCAGCCGGTGGCCGGGTGCCAGAGTCCCAGGCTCTGTTCTTTTGGCTCAGGGCCTTTGTTGTTCCCCCAGATGGAAGTGTTCTTCCCTCAGCCTTTGCCTCGCTCACCCCTGCTTGTCCAGCAGGCCTCAGCTTCACCCCCCCTTCTCTAGGAAGCTTTTCCTCACGCTCCACCTGATGCTGGCGGTGAAGGTTCCCCCAGAGCTACAGCAGGGTTTTATACCTACCTCACCACCATTCCTGTGGAGTAGCAATTCTTAATTTTATCCACAAGGGGACCCAGGGTCAGGGCAACTGTCCTGCCCAAATGACATGGCTGGAGAGGGACTAAGTCAGGATTCAAACACAGGCGGTTTAGCTCTAGTGTCTCTCATTCTGCCCTGTATTAACCACTAAACATCCTGCCTCCTCTGAGCTTGCCCACCTCTTGATTGTAACTTGTGTGTTGAGTGTCGCAGCCCTCGGTTCAGGTGTGACTTGGAGCCAGTATTCAGTACCTTCCTGTTTTGACAACAGTTGTCAAATACACTAGTCAGCTACTTGTGTGTACTGAGTGTTCGTTCTTACACTGGGCTGAGCAATTACACCATTGAGTCATTAATCCTCATGACCACCTGTGAGGTAGGTATTCCTACGGTCCTCTGTTTACGAATGAGGAAACCGAAGCTCAGGGAGGTTTAGTTGCACAGCCAGGGGCAGCGGTCTGCTCCAGTCCTGCCCTTAATCTTGGTGCCCTAGGGAGTGGCTCCACAAGGGGCCACCTTGACATTGACCTGCTAGGCAGATCAGATCATCCAGGGCAGGCCTCCCTGTTTCCTGTGTGTTGGGGGAGGATGTGGTTTCAGGGCTCTGTGTAAATCTGTGTGGCCTCTGCCATTGTAAATCACTGGCCACCAGGACAAACCCACCCTCTCACCAAAAACAAAAGAAAAAGTGGGTGGAGTAGCATCCTTTCCCTGCAGGCATTTACCACCCACTCCCATAGTGGAGCATTTCCTTGGCACCAGGTGCTGCGGAACCTTTCTCACAGCACACAGACTCAGTACAGAGCCCTGGGGTGGCCCAGGAGAGAACGACACTCCCAAAGCTCACCCCCAATGTGTGGGGTGCACCACAATGCCCTCTGAGTAGTTCTTTGGTCTCTGTAGGCAGACGGAGTCCTGTCCTGACATCCTGGCTTGTGCGGAGCCCTGAGGTCCTATCCTCCCAACCCCCGCCGGCCTCTGGATTGTAGCCCTCATTCCATTTGTGTCTCCCTGGGCCTCCGTCCTTGTCTGGAGTGTCTGCCGGGGCCTGCATCACTCTTCAGTGTGAGGTGCAGCCAGTCCTTCTCCCCAGCTCCCCTTTGGCCCATCTGCCTCTTGAGGTGCAGTCATTTCCCTTTTCCCACCTCCTAATCTTCTAGATTTTGTTTTTCCCTTCTACCAGTTTTCAGGCACATAGTGTGTCCTGTGCCTGTAACAGATTCTTTGGGTGCCTTATTTTAGGAACTTTTTTGCAGCAGCAGTCTATGGCCATTTTATGGAGGGGAGATTCAAAGAGACTGTGTGTAGCAAAGGGCCACACAGTGAGCTAAGAAATTGGAGTCCAGGCCAGTGGGACCCCAAAGCCCTTGAATGTAACCACTCATTCATCCGTTTGTTCAGTAACTGCCCATTGAGTGCCTGCTCTGTAATCAACCTGGACGTAATCCTTACTTTTGGAGAACTTGTGATGTGTGTGGGAGACAGACACGACACAAAAGGACCCTTTAGGTGAACGGAAAGGTCTGGCTGTGGGAGTGCTCAGAGGTGTGACCCTGCTGGGGAAGTGCAGTCTGCAGAGTTTAGCTGCTGCGCTTGCAGGCAGAGGGGAGTCTGCCATGATGTGAGGCCCAGACCTGCCTTGCTGCCGGGAGTGTAATTTCCTCACAACTATAATTGCAGATAAATGCACATGCGTTCATGTGCCCCCGGAACCTTGGATGGCTTCTTCACTGTAATTACAGGAGGGGAGGAGAGGAACACACTTGAGCACCCATGTGTGAGGTCCAGCTCATGGCACACTCAGTCATTCTTCAGCTCCCGTTGGAAGCAAAGCCACCTTTATGAGCTAAGAGAACTCTGGCGACCGGTGGGAAGTACAGATGTAGATGTGTAGAAACCAGGCCAGCAATGGCAGTTGGGTTAGGAAGCACGGGTTTGGGGGTCTGAGTGTCAGCCCTGCCCAGGTTTAAAGCCAGTTCTGATTTACTTACTTAGTTTTAGCTCTGTGGCCCATATTTTACGTCCCTGAACCATAGGTTTCTCATTTGCTCAAGGGCAAGAGTAAGATTGTACATGCAGAGCTCAGCCTGGCACTCAGTAAGTGCTTAATCCAGGGGCACTGTTGCAATCCTGAGACCAGATCAAGGTTATTTCACAAGTTAAGAAATTCAGTTGGTTCATATCCTGCCACACGTGGAGGCTTCCCACAGGCTTTCCCTGCCAGGCCACCTCTGATCCGAGCAGGTGTGATGTTCCCCACAGATACTCCCCGCTCCTCCAGCCACTCTGAGCTCCTCCCACGTTCCACGGGGGGCACACTGTTCTTCACATTTAGCCTTTTCATGTTGTGTTCTGGCATCGAATGCTCTTCTCCTGACCCTTGGGTATCTTTCAGGGCTCAGCTCTCATGTCACTTCCTCAGAGAAACCTGACCTCCTTTGCACTCCACTCCACAGAGCCCCATGGCTTCTTCTAGGAGAACATGACTCACCTCCATCGGTACTTGTTCAGCATCTGTCTTTCATTCTGGCAGGAGGGGCAGATGTCTTGTGTCTTTTAGGTCCCCAGAACCCAGCACAGGGCTTGGAACAAAGCAGGTACTCAAATATTTATTTAGTGAGTCAGGCTGGGCTCGTGGAGGGAGTTAGGCCTGGCCCGGAGAGGGGTGATGCGTGTGGAGGGGTTCACCAGGGCAAGGGGAAGGGGTAGAAGAGAGAGGACAGCAGCGATGTGGTGGTGGAAATCATAGTGTTTATTTGAGCATTTTCTGTACGACTTACAAATGCTTTGCTGACATTTTATGTGCGTGATCTCATTTTAGCCTTGCAACATTTCTATGAAGCGTTTTCCATTTTATGGATGAGAAAGGGGTGGCTTTTTTAAAACAGGAAGTTACTTTCCCATGGTCACCAATAAGGGATTTGAACCCAGGCAGACTGATTCAAGAGCTCCCAGACTGAGGTCTGTTCTGAGTGGCCTCCCTGCTGGGCATAGGAGTCAGTAAAGAGCCCATCCAGATGACGTGAGGGCTCTGTGTGGGGGTGTCTCTGCTTGTCGTAGCTGTGCAGAATGGACAGACAGGTCTCTGTGGCCAGAATGGGGAGGCTTTGAATGTCGGAGTGAAGAATTTGGGTCTCTGATAATAATAACAGCTGCCAGTTCTTGAGCTGCCTGGCACTTTTTTGAGGTATTTCATCTTTGCAACAGTCCTGTGGGATAGATGTTATTTTTACCCCAATTGGATGAGGAACTGAGACACAAAGACATTCTAGTAACTTGCCTGAGGTTACGCGGTGGGAAAGTGGTAGAGCTGGAATTCACACCCTGTGTGTCCGTGTTGCCTTAACCACCAGGCCACTGCCTGGCCCTGTGGGGCTGAGCCAGTGCAAACCTGAGTGCTGTTCCTGCTCAGATGTCTGCCCTCCCCTCCCAGCACCCCCAGAGGCAACAACAGCAGCACTTCTCATCCCTGGACGACAAGCCTCAGTTCCCAGGGGCCTCGGCGGAGTTCGTAGACAAGCTGGAATTCATCCAGCCCAATGTCATCTCTGGGATCCCCATCTACCGTGTCATGGATCGGCAGGGCCAGATCCTCAATCCCAGCGAGGATCCCCACGTGAGAAGCCACCTCCCTCACCCCCTGTCTCCCATGCCCAGGCCCCTTGCCCATGTCCTCACCCGTGTCCTCGCTGGTCCCAGTGGCTCTATGTCTCTCTGTACCTTCATCTGCAGCTGCCACAGGAGAAGGTTCTCAAGTTCTACAAGAGCATGACGCTGCTCAACACCATGGACCGCATCCTCTATGAGTCCCAGCGGCAGGTACGTGGGGACAGGCTGGGGAGGGGAGCTTGGAATCACCTGAGGTCCCCCTGCCTGTGCATGGGCCAAAAGATAGCTCCCAAGGAGGAAAGAGTAGAATGGAGATCCACTGTCCTGGGGTCCTTAAGAGCTCTTGGAGGTTTTCTTGAACCACTATAGGGAGAATGTGGGAAGGGCCCTGGCCAGGGGCAGAAGGATGGACCGGATCACTGAAAACACCTGTTGTGTGCTGGGCTGGGGACTTAGCTGTGCTAGGAGATAGCAGGTAGGAGTCATGAGAGCCCTTTTTGGGAGCTCACAGTCCTGAGAAACAGGGAGACCCTCAGTGCTTCCCGGAGCGCCCATGGCAGACAGGCTGGGATCCTCAGTGGACAGAGAGCCAGTCAAAGAAGGAAATTTATTGACTCAAGTAACTTCAAGTTCAGAGGGCCCTGTCTTCAGGCACAGCTGTGTCCAGGAATTGAAAGATGTCACCAGATCTCTTCCTCTCTTTTGAGTATCATTTCTTCTCTCCTTTGCCTTGGCGTCCTTCATTCTCAAGCAGCCGTGGGCTCTGGAAGCTCCAGGCTCCTGGAGAGGTGGCAGAGAAAGGGTTCAGGGTACGATTGAAGTCCTCATCTGCCACTTGCAGGCTTTGTGGGTCTGGGAAAGCCGTTTGACCTCTCAGTGTTCAGTTTTCTGGTCTGCATGGGGTTGTCGTGAGGATTGATGGTGACATGTAATGGCTTTAGGGACAGTGAACTTGGCATTTAGTTAGTCCATGATAAATATTAGCTATTATATGCCATGAGCCTACCAGCCTAGTAATAATTAAACCTTCTCCTTAGTGATGGAAAGAAATTGGTCTCTAATGTTCCAGCAGAAGGCCCCAGGCTGATACAGATTGGCCACGCTTTGATCACAGACCCCTCCCGGAGCCATCCCGTGACAGGCCAGGCTGGGGCCACGTGCCTGTCTCCAGGAACCAAGGGAATAGAGTAGCAGGCCCAGAGTAGTATTCTTCCCCCTTCCCTGTTAGAAAAGGGGGAGAATACTGGGCAGGCAGGTCCTCACATGGGGATTGGCTAGGCAGTTTGCATTTACATGAAGCCCCCAGGTGACAGGACTGAGCAGATCAGGCAGGCAGCCTGCTCCTGGACTCTGTCTCACAGGAACACTCCACAGTGGCTCTCCAGGTGATGGTCTGGTCTCCACCCTGCCCAGCCACTTTCTTTGGTTCCCATGTCCACAGGATCACATCTGGCCCTTCCTGTCCATCCTGTCTCCTATTCCTTGTGGCCTTGGCAGTTCACTCCCGTCTCCACAGTCTCATGCCAGTCCAGGCCACCTGCCCAACCTCACACAAGCCCGGCTTCTTCCTGCCCCTGCATTGGCTGCACAAACAGGGCTGTGGAATCCCCCAGGCATGGATCTAGTCAGAGCTGTGAGTTTGGGCAGTTGATTTTTCTTGTCTTTGTCTCAGTTTATTTAGTATATTTTAAAAAATGGGGATAACAAGAGAAACCGTCCTACAGGGGTAGGAATCCTGTGAGGACCAGCATATAAAGTCCCTTGCTGCCCATCAGCTGATACAGGAAGCCCTCAGTGAGATCAACGCATCCATCAAGGTTCATCCTGTCAGCTAGGATTACTTTCACCTGCAATAACAGACCTCCTTCCCTCCCCCCCCCCCAAAAATCCTAACAGAACAAAAGCAGTAGTTTCAACAGGTTAATAGTTTTTCCCCTCACATAAGAGAAATCTGGAAACAGGTGGTCTGAGGTATAGTGGCATCACAGTGTCACTGGATTCCCAGGGTTGGCTTTTAGCCTTGAGGGTCCCTCATGAACCTAATGGCTGCCGGGGCTCCCTCCCTCACATCTCATTCCAGGCGAGAAGTGGAAGGAAGGTGGAAGCTCAGACATGGCACATTCCAGATATCTCCACAGCCATCTTTATAGAACTTTCCAGGTAGTCCCAATAACATCTCACATTTTATCGGTCACTCCTAGTACAAAGGAGAATAAGAAATGTAGTATTTTAGTCTAGGCAGTTGCTGCCTGTGGTGGAATGAGATCTCTGTTAGCAAAGAGGAAGAGGGATAGGATACTGGGTGGCAACCAGTGACCTCTGCCAGTAACCCAGTGCTGTTTGCTCAGGGGCCCCCTAAGGCCATTAACCCTTGCCAGTCTCACAGCCCTGCCAGGTGCTCAGCACCCGGCGTCTACCCACTCACTGTGCTCTGGGAGGTCAATTAGCTTTCAGTTGGCTCCCCACTTAGAAGAAGCATTAGCCATCTGGTTCCCCCACCGTGAGAGAGAGCCAGGCCTGTAGAACAGGTGAGGGCTGCTCAGTGAGCACCCGCAGGTGCCAGTTTGAGCTCCCTCTGTTTCTCTTTACACGTAGTTCTGGGGAGCTTATTTCTATTTCTGTGCCAGGGGTGCCCCAAATCTCCAACCTGACTTAACCTCTTAGCCCCAGATCTGCTTGGCTTCTCACCCTGGTGTCCTACGCCAGATTCAGCATGTCCAAATTCGGTCTCTGCATCTTCCTTCCAGGCTCACTTCTCTTCCTCTGTTAGGCCAGTTCTCAGTGAAGGGTTCCACCATCCACCCATTTGCCCAAACTGGAGACCTTCATTTCATTTCTGTCTCCTTCCCCCTCACTGTCACTTTCACATTCACTCTGTCCCTGGGTATTTATCTGTTTATGTTTTTCCCCCACCCATCTCTGTCCCTGTATGTTTGGTTAGAAATCTAACTAAATGCTGCTCAGCAGCACCAACATAGTTGAGTTGGCTTTCATCATGTGCTTGTTGTCTCGTGGTCCAAGACAGCTGCCACAGCTCCAGGCATCATGGTTGTGTGCCGGGCAGGAGGAAAGGAAGGGGAAAGGCTGGCACCAGCTGCAGGAGGGTTTTTTTTGTTTTGTTTTGTTTTTTTTAATCAAGAAAGCAAAATCATCACTTACCAGCATTTTGGTTAAGATCAAGTGTAGTATCTCTTTTTACCAGTTTAATATCTGATACATCCTTTATCTGAGGACATTATATTAAGTGGATTTTTGGAGCTGGAATGTGGAATAGGAGCTTGCTTCCAGGAACAGTGCATTTAAAAAAAAACAAAAACCTGCAAAATCAGACTTTCATTTAAGTCTATGGCTAGAGCTGTATCCTGCTAGGGTGGCTGGGAACCTAATGTTTGGCTTTTCCAGGCTCTGGGTTTCAGGCTTATTAGCTAGCCAAGAGGGTATGCAACTCCCTGGTATTGATGCTGCTGCTTTTTAATTTTTTTAGATTTAATTAAAATGATTTTTTAGGGCCCTGGCTGGTGTAGCTCAGTAGATTGAGCTCGGGCCTGCGAACCAGAGTATCTCGGTTCGATTCCCAGTCAGGGCACATACCTGGGTTGCAGGCCAGTTCCCAGCAGGGGATGCATGAGAGGCATCCATACATTGATATTTCTCTCCCACTCTTTCTCCTTCCCTTCCCCTCTCTCGAAAAATAAATAAAGTATTTTTTTTTAATGATTTTTTTAGTTTTCAGCTGGTGTAGCTCAGTGGAACGAGCGTGGGGTCTGTGAACCAAAGGGTCGATTCCCAGTCACAGCACGTGCCTGGGTTGCAGGTCCCCAGTAGGGGATGTGCGAGAGCCAATCACACGTTGATGTTTCCCTCCCTCTCTTTCTTCCTCCCTTCCTTTCTCTCTAAAGATAAATAAAGTGTTCACAAAAATTTTAGTTTTCAATTATAGTTGACATTCCATGTTATTTTTTAAAAAGATTTTATTTATTTTTAGAGAGGAGAAGGGAGAGAGAAGGAGAGAGACAGAAACATCAGTGTGTGATTGCCTCTCATGTGCCTCGTACTGGGGACTTGGCCTGCAACCCAGGTATGTGCCTTGACTGGGAATCGAACCAACATCTCTTTGGTTTGCAGGTCGGCACTCAGTCCACTGAGCTGCACCAGCCAGGGCTTTTTTTTTTTTCGGTTTGCAGGAAGGTGTTCAATCTACTGAGCCATACCAGTCAGGGCTATTTTTTAAAAATTTATCGATTTGTTGTTCCATCTATTGATGCATTCATTTGTTGCTTCTTCATGTGCTTGACCAGGGATTGAACCTACATCCTTGACATATTGGGATGACACTCTTAACCAACCGGTCAGGGCTGTGCCACACCTTCTTTATCCATCGTCTGTTGATGGGCACTTGGGGTTGCTTCCATATCTTGGCCATAGTAAATAAAAAATGCAGAGTGCTCCACGAATTTGCGTGTCATCTTTGCGTAGGGGCCATGTTAATGTTTGCATCATTCCACTTGTTCGTACATGTGCTGCCAGAGTGAGCACGCGGACTGCTGCTCGAGGCCGTCAGCCGTCCACTCCTCTCCCTGCCTGACAGCACCGCCAGGCCAGGCCACCGCCCTTCTTGTGTGCCTTGCTGTCCTCAGTCCCATTTCTTGTATCCATTTCCCACATAGCAGCCCGAGAGACATTTCTAAAACGTCACTCCCCAAAGACAGCCATGGGCAGGTTACCATGGTTCTCCAGGTAAAATTCACATGTCTCATTCCCTGCAGTTCATGGGTTCTGCTTGTCACTCCCGCCTCATACTTGCCCACCCACTGCCTGTCCCATTCCTTCCAGGCTCACGGCCTTTATTGTTCTCTCTGTCTGGAAACCTTCATCCACCCCTACCTTCGCCTAGGTTAGGTATTGCTCCTTGGTGCCCCTCCTTGGTGGGGTGGGTACGTCCTTATAGCTCCCGCGCACAGACCCTTCACTCTGGCTCTAACCAGTCCGGCAGTTCCTCCACGAAGTTGGAAACTCCAGCATGCCCTGGCCCAGAGCAGCCCTCAGGAAGTATCTGCTGATCAGGGGAGTCATCAGAAGTTGGTCACTATTTGTACAGTTCTTACTGGTTGCCCAGCATGACTGAGCCTGGGCTTCTGGACTCCCCTGTACCCACAGGGCCGGATCTCCTTCTACATGACTAACTATGGTGAGGAGGGGACGCATGTGGGGAGCGCAGCAGCCCTGGACAACACGGACCTAGTGTTCGGCCAGTACCGGGAGGCAGGTACGTCTGCCCATGTCCTGGTCCTGTGGAGTACGTGCCAGAGGCCTGGGTTTGGGGTCCCCATCGAGGCAGGTCAAGCCCAGTCCCTTTTGGTATGAAGGAGAGGCTCTCGTTAGTTACCCTGTGTGCTCTTGGAGGAGTGGCACAATGCCAGTGAGGTCCAAGGAGCTGGACGAAGAACTTTTCAAGTAAGAGAGAGCCAAGCCAGGTCCAGAGTTTAGAGGGGGTGGGCTTCCCCTCTGTGGAGGGTGGGCACTGTTGCGGTTAAGAGCTTTTTCTCTTGACTAGTCCATGGCTACTGGCTGTCAGATTCCGGGCAAATCACTTCCCTTCTCTGAACGTCAGTTTTCTCCAGAATCAAGATGATGATGATAGTATTACAGTCTGTGCACTGTGGAGTTGCTGGGACCATGCAGTGTGGGCAGGCTGAGCTGCAGGTGTGGCGTGTACTGTGGGCCCCCACCCGCCCAGTGTGAGAGCTCTGCTGGCCTCTCTCTCCAGGCACCACAGCCTTCAGGGAGCAGAAGCAGATGGGAGGGCCTGGCAGGTTGCAGCCGGGGAGCCGGCTCACTTCTGAGTGCAAAGAAGGATCAAAGGCTAGCTAGGACTGAAGAAAATCAGTGTGCATGAAAGAGTGCCTGGGGTGAAGAACCTAGCCCAGGGAGCTGAGGGGCTGGTTCCAGAATGGTGGTTGGCGTGGGGGCCTTGCAAAATAGTCTCCCTCTGGGGCTGCCGGGGAGGCAAATCTTGAGCCTTCCTCTTGGGTACTTCATGACTTTGGGCAAGTTGCTGAATTGTTCCTCAGTTACTTAACATGGCTGTTGAGGTTTTTCATGGGACAGATAGATGATGGAAAGCCATTAGTACAGGACCCAGCATGGGGTAAGCAGTATCAGAGGTGATGTGGTGACTGGGGCCTCTCATCCTGGGACAGCTCTTCAGGAAGGAGGCAGGGCCTGGCCAGGCTGGCTGTGCAGAGCCCTCCCCGGACTGGTACAGTGGTCTGTCTGGTCTACTCCTGGACTATCTGCTCCGCTCTGTGCTGCACCAGAACCCCCCTGCCCCACTTGCTGTAGGAGAACAGGTGCCCACTGATGGTCTGTGGTTCAGCATCATTAGCAGGAAGATTTCCCCAGACACTAGGCGGCACACCAGGCCCTCGCCCGGTTTGCTGAGTGCTTCCTGCCTGTTTCACTAAAGGTGAGGGCTCCAGGCAGGGCCAAGTGAGGGCCCCAGAATCCTGGTGGCAGCTGGGCAGTCCACATAGGGCTGTTTGGGCCCTGGCTGCCTTGCCAGAGTGGCCCTCTGGCACCACCGGTCAGCACACAGCTCTGCATCTGGACAGATACAGAGGGCCCTTGTGCTAGGTGAGGTGAGGCAGACCCTGTGCCCTGTCCTCAACTCTTTGCCTCCCCACTGAGGAGTGGGGAGAACAAGCGTACCCAACCGGATTGTGCCGTCTCCGGTACTGCCCACCAGCCACATGAGAGCCTGGTGGTGAGCTTCTCTTTGATGGTGGTGGGTGGGCATCCACCAGAGAATTTGTTTAAAGAAGGGTTTTGCGCCCTGGCTGGTGTAGCTCACTGGATTGAGCACGGGCCTTTGAACCAGACAATCGCGGTTCGATTCCCAGTCAGGGCATATACCTGGGTTGCAGACCAGTTCCCTGCAGGCCAGTTCCCAGCAGGGGACGTACAAAAGGCAACCATACATTGATGTTTCTCTCCCTCTCTCCTTCCAAAGATAAATAAATAAAATAAAATAAAATAAAAAAAGAAGGGTTTTACTGTCATAAATAGGTTTGAATATTTTTCTCGTTAGTCTAGAAGTTGTTAGCTAGTGGCTTGTACTTTTATTTGGTTCATATGATGATTTTTCAAAGTAATTAGTTGAAACACTTAAAATTAGGTAGTTTTTAAAAAAATATATTTTATTAATTATGCCATTACAGTTGTTCTATTCCCCCCTTCATTTCCCTCCACCCTGTACACCCCCTCCCCCACCATTCCCCTCCTTTAGTTTATGACCACGTGTCTCAAGTTCTTTCGATTCTATATTTCTCCTACTATTCTTACCCTCCCCTATCTATTTTCTACCTGCCATCTATGCTACTTATTTTCTGTACCTTTTCCCCCCTTCTCCTTCTCCCACTCCCTTGTTGCTAACCTTCTATGTGATCTTCATTTCTGTGGTTCTGCTCCTGATCTAGCTGTCCTCTTAGTTTGCTTTTGTTTTAGGTGCGGTCGTTAATAACTGTGAGTTTGCTGTCCTTTCACTGTTCATCTTTTTTATCTTCTTTTTCTTAGTAAGTCCTTTAACATTTCATATAATAAGGGCTTGGTGATGATGAACTCCTTGAATTTGATCTTATCTGAGAAGCACTTTATCTGTCCTTCCATTCTAAATGAAAGCTTTGCTGGATAGAATAATCTTGAATGTAGGTCTTTGGATTTCATGACTTGGAATACCTCATTCCAGCCCCTTCTTGCCTGTAGGGTCTCTTGAGAAATCAGCTGACAGTCTGATGGGAACTCCTTTGTAGGTGACTGTCCCCTTATCTCTTGCTGCTTCTAGGATTCTCTCCTTCATTTTAATCTTGGCTAATGTAATTACGATGTGCCTTGGTGTGTTCCTTCTTGGATCCACCTTCTTTGGGACTCTCTGAGCTTCCTGGATTTCCTGGAAGTCTATTTCCTTTGCCATATTGGGGAAATTCTCCTTTATTATATGTTCAAATAAGTTTTCCACTGGTGGCTGTTCCTTTTCCCCTTCTGGTACCCCTATAATTCAGATGTTGGAGCGTTTAAAGATGTCCTGGAGGTTCCTAAGTCTCTTCTCATTTTTTTGAATTCTTGTTTCTTCATATTTTCCTGTTTGGCCCTTTTTTTCTTCCTTCTGGTTCACTCCCTAGATTTGAGTCCCAGTTTCCTCTTCATCACTCTTGGTTTCCTGTGTAATTCCCTTCATTTCAATTAGTTTAGCCTTCATACGTTCCTCTAATTTGTGACTATAATCAATCAGTTGTGTGAGCATCCTGATCACCAGTGTTTTGAACTGTGCATCTGAAAGTTTTGCTATTTCTTTATCACTTAGATTTATTGGCTCTGGGGCTTTGAGATCTTCTTGAGCCATTTTTGGTCTTTTTGCGCCCGTTAATTATAAGGAGCGGAGCCTTAGATGTTTACCAGGGCAGGGCTGCTCAGGTTGCTGGTTTGTGATGCTGTAGGTGGGGGCGGGGTCAGAGCGGGGAAACAGGGCTCCTCTGCTGCCTCTTGTTGCTGGGGCCTGCTCGGTCCCGTCTCACCACCCACTCCCCCGCCAGTCTATCTGCACACGACCACAGTCAACCCGCCGCCCTGTGCCCTCACTGGGTCACTCACTGGGTCCGCCCGTTGCAACCCCACGCCTGGGATCCACGTGCCTGAGTCCGTCTGACCGAGTTTTCCTGTGTAACCCCGCTCCGCCAGCTGCTGGCTTCACCCCTCTTACCGGTCAGGCTGAAGAATTTGTTGGTATCAGACTTCCGAAAAGTTCAATTTTCTGTGTTCTGGCTGTGTTTTCTGTTGCTAATATTTTGTTGTCTCTCAACTTGGTTGTGGGAGAAAGCATGGCATCTCCACCTATGCCTCCATCTTGGCGGAAGTTCTCTTTTTTTTTTAAAGCAAGCTAGGTTTCTTTTTTTTTTTTTAAACTCGACGATTTAGCCTTTCTGGGTAGCAGTCAGTTGGTCTGAACAGTGGCCTCCCTCTTGAGACAGACCTGTGCTTACTGGCCTGCCCACCTGGATCCCGCACCTGCTGGTCCCCTCAGCCTCCCAGTGTGCTTTCCTTGGTTTCATCCAGCTCCCTTACTGTACAAACAGGGAATTGGAAGCCCAGGCAGGAAGGGCCTTGCCTTGGGACCCCCACGGGGCTCTGCACCCCCAGACCCTCTCTCCCAACAACTGCTGCCTCCGCCCCTCACAGGTGTGCTGATGTATCGGGACTACCCCCTGGAACAGTTCATGGCCCAGTGCTACGGCAACGTGAACGACCCAGGCAAGGGGCGCCAGATGCCTGTTCACTATGGCTGCAAGGAGCGTCACTTTGTCACCATCTCCTCTCCGCTGGCCACACAGATTCCTCAGGGTGAGGATACACATCTTGGGCCTGGACAACATAGACCGGTGCTGTACCCCTGAGCAGGCCCCAGCCCTTCTCCATCCTGGGGGAACTTTCTGGTTGGTGACATGGTCAGAGCAAGACCCCTCGTGTTTGGGACCCTTCCGAGGACTGTGGTGTCGTCCTCACCTGTCAGGCTTCAGCCAGCATGACCACATTTTTGGTTTCCGAAACTTGTGCCTACCCCGTTTGCCCACATACACACAACCCACTGTGTGTGGAAGAGCAAATGCCAGGTTCCTTGCTAAAGGTCACCCAGCAGGCAGGAGAAAAGCAGGACTCAAGTCAGGGACTGTGGCTGCAGAGTCTGGTTTCTGGCTCCCAGCCCTGCTTTGTTTGCCTCAGTCCTCGGAGTCCTTCAGGCAGTTGGTGTGGCTTCCGTTAAAGATGAGCGCTTGGGAAGCAGAGCCTGGGGGCCATGGGAGCGGGCTGCCCTCCCTGCCCTCTGGAGCCTGCCCTCGGTCGAGGCTCAGACTGGGCTTCGGCTTTCTCTGCTCCGGGCACCCCCACATGCACGAGTTGCCGGGTCTGCTAGGTGAGCAGCGTGCCTGGCACATCAGAAAGCCCCATGGACGTCCATGCACGTCGTTCTGTTTGGAAACCAGTGAGCAGTCATGTCTTGAAGGTGGGCAGGGGAGCCTTCTAGGTGGAGGTGGGATTTTTGTTGCAGGTAGGTAGGATTTCCATAAGGTGGGGCCCTGGCCCTCACCTTCTTTCAGGGTGACTATTAATTCACTCAGTTCCAAACATACTGAGTACCTGCTGTGTGGGCACCCCCCTAGATAGAGTGAAAAAGAGACAGAATCCTTAGCCCTCCTGGTGCTGACATGGGGGTAGGGGAGAGAGACAATAAGCGAGATGAAGATGCGACCCATAGAGCACGTCAGGGGTCCTATAGGGAGAGATGAGGCTGGGAGGGAGTGCTGTGTGGTGGGGTGGGGGGTGAGGGGAGCCAGCTGGCATCTTGAGGCGGGGTCTTCCTGCTGTTTTTGAGGTGCTTGAGGGGCAGGGAGGAGCCCAGTGGGGCAGCTGTGCATGGGGTTGGAGGGTATCAGAGAGGTACGTGAGAGTGCAGATCTGCAGGGCCTCAGGGCCTTTACTGTAATCCAGAGTGGAATGTGCACCTTCAGCAGGGGGAGTGGTCAGTTGTGCAGTGACTTGGTCTGGCTCACGTTAAACAGCCCTCTGGCTGCCCCAAGGCAACAGGAGGGGCCTAGCTCGGGCCAGTGAGGTGGAGGAGATGGGAAGTGTCAGGTTCTGGCTCTGTCGAAAGTGGAGTTGGTGTGGGGATGACAGAGTTAGGAGTCAGAGATGGTGCTGACGTTTTGGGCCCGAGGAATTGGAAGGATGGAGCTGCTGTCAGCTGAGGGGAGAAGACGGTGTGGGCAGGTTGTGAAGGGACTGTCGGGGTATCAGGTGCTTTCTTGCCCCTAAGCCTGGTGACAGCCAGCCTGAGTCCCGGAGCCTGGGGCTGGAGTGATGTGTGTGTGTCTGTCTGCATTTGTGTGTCTTGTGAGGGAGAGAGATCAGAAGGTGTGGGGCTCTGCCCCTGCTCACCATACTCTCTTTTCCTGCAGCGGTGGGTGCAGCCTACGCGGCCAAGCGGGCCAATGCCAACAGGATCGTCATCTGTTACTTTGGGGAGGGGGCAGCCAGTGAGGGGGATGCCCACGCTGGCTTCAACTTTGCTGCTACCCTCGAGTGCCCCATCATCTTCTTCTGCCGGAACAATGGCTATGCCATCTCCACGCCCACCTCTGAGCAGTACCGCGGGGATGGCATCGGTATGGGCCTGTACTGCCTCTTCTCCCTTCCTGCCACCCCTGCTCTCCTGGTCTCTTCCTGCAGTGTCTGGCACAGGGGAGGTCGCAGGAGACAGTGAATGGAGCGCTGATTTGTTTGCTCTCCTCTCCTCCCCTCCCCCATTCCCTGCTCGTTGTCCTCATCTGACCCGTGAGGTCTGAGCTGCGTCTCTCTGTCCCTACAGCGGCTCGAGGCCCCGGGTACGGCATCCTGTCGATCCGTGTGGATGGCAATGACGTGTTCGCTGTGTACAATGCCACCAAGGAGGCCCGGCGACGGGCTGTGGCAGAGAATCAGCCCTTCCTCATTGAGGCCATGACCTACAGGTGCCTGCCTCCCCTGACCCCTCGCCAGCCTGGACAGCCATCTTTACCATCTTCCCCATATCCGTCACTGGGATCTCTAAAGCCTACCCTCATTACCCTGTGTCGTGTCCCCTTCCTTGCCTTTATTCCTTGCCCATGGTCCTCCCCCGGGCAGGATCGGGCACCACAGCACCAGTGATGACAGCTCAGCGTACCGCTCAGTGGATGAGGTCAATTACTGGGACAAGCAGGACCACCCGATCTCCCGGCTGAGGCACTACATGCAGAGCCGAGGCTGGTGGGATGATGAGCAGGAGAAGGCCTGGAGGAAGCAGTCACGCAAGAAGGTGAGGACCTCCTTCTGTTGCAGACCAACACCTCAGGGGCGTGTCCTGAGGTGGTACATCATGGGGAACCCTGGAAGGACAGAGGCTGGGATTTGGGGGACATTGAACTGGGTGACTCGGAGAACACCCTGGTAATGTCTCTGATTGTGGCCCGTGGAGCCACGCTGCCTGGGCACGTGTACCTCAGCTGCGTCCTAGCCATGCCCTTGGCACGAGGGATCCTGGGGTACCTGCTTCAGAAGGTTGAGGACGAGGTGACTTAATCAGCATGCGGTGTGTGTCCCACCCACAGCCAGCCTGTTATCTTCCCTGTCCCTGGTCCTCAGCAGCCAGAGGCCATGCAGGCCACTGGTGAGGGCAGACCCTGGCCTCAAGCAGCACTGCTGCCCCAGCTACACGGTCATGGGCAGCCCCTTCACCATGGTTTGGTTTCCCCACTCTAAGCTACCTGCTTCTTAGGGCTGCTGGGTCTGAAACCACTCCATAGGCTTAGTCTTAGTGCCTGGTCCTGCAAAGGAGGGACATCGCTGGGATTGGGGTCCTTGATGGGGATGTTGGTCGTACCCACTGTGACGGTGATCATTTCCATTGTCCAGATAGGTGGGAGCACAGGGGCTCAAGTGGGTTAACGCCTCACCGAGGTCCCACAGGTAGGAGGCAGGGTCCTGGGTGGGAGGCTGGCTACTTGCTTACTGTCCCGTATCTCCTAGGTGATGGAGGCCTTCGAGGAGGCCGAGCGGAAGCTGAAACCCAATCCCAGCCTGCTCTTCTCTGATGTGTATCAGGAGATGCCTGCCCAGCTCCGTAAGCAACAAGAGTCCCTGACCCGTCACCTCCAGACCTATGGCGAGCACTACCCCCTGGACCACTTTGAGAAGTGAGCCCTGCTCACCCCACCCCACCCATCTCAGGTACCCTGAGAGGCAGCCCCAGACTGAGGGCTGGAGAGCTGGCAGCCAGCTCCATCCAGGATACTCAGGGCAGAACTGAGATAAGAGGCAGGGCTTCCTATCACCATCCCCGCTCCTCTCAGCTGTTACATTGTGGGGGGCCCTGCTGGCCCCCTCTTTGACTGTGGTTACAGTGCCTTCTCCCAGGGGCTAAGCAAGGGCATCTCCATGACTGGAAGCCCCTCTGGGCTGAGGGCAGGAATGACAGGTCAGCCTGTGGAACTTAGAGTGAGAGGTGGGCAGCAGGCATTGAATAAACTGTGTCTCTGCATTTGGCGCTCTGCCATTTTTGGTCTGTTTCCTGGAGTTTTGGAGGTGGGAGGCGAGTCCTGCATGACTGGTTTGGGACCCCGCCCCTTCAATCAGATGCTTACTCATCTGTAAGACCGTTAAGATGTCTACTTCCCCTGGAAACTTGTGCAAGCTGGAGGGCTGGCCTCAGCAGACAGGCTGGGGGTGGAGGTGTGCCAGAGAGGGACTGCGGCTCTCCCACAGGGTGAGGCAAACCTGGTGTCCAGCAAGGTGACCAGGAAGCTGTTGGAGCTGGCCCTGTCTAGTAAGGTTGGGTGGGGGGTGTCTGGTATAAAGGGCAGGGTATGCAGCGTGTGATTCGCTGAGCTCTCTGCCCTTGTAACTTCTTGGGCCCCCCAGGCGCAAGGACAACTCCAGGCCTCAGAGTGGAGAGTGCATGTTTTTCAAAAACAAAAACAGTCCTCTGCCCCCTGCTGCCCAGTCCCATAGCCCGAGCTGGCCCAGGAGGAGCTCAGGCAGCCATGTTTCCAGGACCTCCCTCACACCAAGGCCTCAGAGAGGCTGAGCAAGGAGCAGGCACCAAGGCCCTGCCTAGGGCCCAGGCTAGGTTGGCCCTCCCCTTCTGACCCCACCGAGACTCAGCAGTGGAGCTGCGGGTCCTGCAGGTGTTTCCAGAGCCCGATGCTGTCCTGGGGTCTGAGGGGCCGCACCAGCAGCAGGTCCCGGAGAGCACAGGGGTCAGCTGTGCGGTCTGCTGGCCAGGCTGTGAGGAAGCCTTTGTGGGCCCTGGGCACCAGGCCCAGAGCACGGATGCACAGGCCAATGTAGACGTCGTTGAAGGGGAACGGTGCCACACGGGCCGCCGCCTGCAGCAGCCAGGGTGCCAGGCGCCCAGCGATGACGTAGCCACCCCCGCTGGCATAAGCTGGGTAGTCACCTTCAAAGAAGGACCCAGGCACATAGAAGGGTCCTCCAGGCTTCCGGAGGGGCTTGGCCTGGGTAAAGACCTCACCCAGGTAGAGGACTCGAGCCCAGCCGGGTGGCAGGGCCCGTAGGTAGTCGAGCAGGGCGGGAGTGTGCACAAAGGCATCATCCTGCGCTTGCAGGATGAAGCTCACGCTGGGGCAGTGCTGGGTGAGCCAGGACAGCAGCAGCAGGTCCTTGAGTGTCTCGTTGAAGGGAACATCCAAGAAGTCCCAGAGCAGCAGGTCACTGTAACGGCGGCTCTCCCAGGCTACCAGTGGGCCTAGGTCAGGGCCTCCCTCACCCACTGGAGACCCCAGAAGGAAGAGCAGCCGAATTCCAGGGGCGGGACCACCCCAGGTCTCCCTCACAGCCTGTCGTTCAGCAAAGTGCCCTGGTTCCGACTTGACAGCCAGCAGCAGATAGGGGGTGTCAGTTTCCCCACAGCTGGGTACTTGGCCACTGTCACCTTCAGTCAGCCACAGAGGGAAGCTCCGGCAAGCTGCTGACAGCAAGAAGCGGCGAAGGTCCGTGGGGTAGGACGTGAAATCAGGTATTTCAGCGGCAGCAGCAGCTCCCCAAGCCCCACAGCCCCCTGCCTCAGTGCTGTCCCCACTGGGCAGAGCTCTCAACCGCCACTGTTGCTGGTTCCAGTAAGCTGAGGACAGTGGGCCAGTCTGGCCCAGACGGGCCGAGAGGTTAGCCGGCAGGGTGGGCTCGGGACTGGCAGGTGTGAGCACTGGCAGGGTGCCCTGGGGTCCCGGGTAGGCCTTGCTCAGCTGAGACTCTGATGTCCACTCAATGTACACTTTGAGGCCCAGGAGTGTGAGCAGTGCTGACAGGCAGAGAAGGCACTTGGGGCAGCGCATGACCCAGCCCAGGGAAGGGGTGGCTGCTGGAGCTGCACAGGAGTCACAGAGCGCTTTGGAGTTCAGGATGGGCCTTCACAGTCCCCACCAATCCCTGTGGTAGCCTCTTAGTCCCAGACCCTAGACTGGTCCCCAACCAGAGACCCAGCTCTTTCCTTTCCCTATTCCTGGTCCTGGAATCACTGCTCCAATCCCATTCCAACACCTGCTCTTTTTGCTCAGCCCAACCCCTTCCACTTGCCTGTTACCCTCTCCTCTATTCATCCCCCTCACCCGAAGTCAGGATCACTGGGGTCAGCTCCTTTGTTTTGCAGAAATCCAACTTCCTTCGCCCTCCTTGTCCCCACCCTGGGGACTGGGGAGCCAGGGATCTGCTCCCTCCTCTTTACCTCTGGGTCTGGCTCTGGCGCCCCAGGTCTCTCTCTGGTCAGGCCCTTTCAGCTCCCTGCCTTGTGCTCTGGTCCGGCAGCTGTGGCTGTGTCGTTGTTCTCCAGCCCAGCCCGTCCGGAGGGGCGGGGCGGGGAGGGGAGGGGAGAAGGGAAGGCCCCAGGGGCCTGGGCGGTGCCGAAGAGGGGGGGGGGGAGAAGGAGCGGGGAGAGCAGGAGGCTGACTTGAGAGATGGGGCTCTGGCGTGTTGGAGCTGGTTTTCTGGTGAGAGGGAAAGGTGCAGGGTTGGAAACTGTCCAGCCCGTCCAGAGGGGCTCCGGGCGAGGTCTGGGAGGGAGTCCGGGAAAGGGTGAGACCAAGAGCCAGGCCTGAGCTGGGTACTGTTGGAATGGCCCAGGGACAGGCACAGTCCCCAAGTGGAAAAGCCTAAGGCACTGGTGCCCGATCACAGGAGGCGTCAGAGAATGTACTGAGGGAATGGCCAGCCTGCCAGAAATAGTGCGAGTGGGGAGTGTTGCTACCCAGAGTTAGGGTTGGTTGGGGAAAGGGGCTGGTGAGGAGGAGAGACAGGGAGACCCTCAGGGGCAGGCAAAGAAGAGACTGGGAATGGGAGACTCAGGGATGCAGAGGAGAGCACTGCAGGGGGAGAGAGGATGAGAGAGAAATAGAGATAAGAGGTGGACAGGAAGCCACTCCTGGGGGGGAGAATGGATGGGAAGATTTAGAGAGGCAGGTGGAGGGACTCAAATGTGGGTGGAGAACGGAGTATGCGAACAGAGCCAGACCCAGGGAGAGGAGGGGAAAGGAGCCAGGAGGAACCGGTGAGGACCGGATGGAGAAAGGGCAGGCACAGAGGGAGCCTTGGACTGCACCCACCCCCCACACATCCATCCCCTTTGCAGCCTGACCGCCTGACCAGCAGGGCGGGAACCCATTCCTAGCCCAGCCCCCACTGCAGCGCTGCCCACAATGCACAGGGACTTGGGAACACTCATGTCCAGCCCCCACGGGACAGGAGAGGGTCTGCCTGTATTTACACTGATGCCCTCTCATGGTTTTTGCCACCTGGGGTGGCGGACAGGTGGGCCTCCTCATCCCAGACCGCCTGGAGCCTGGGGTGGCACCAAGCCTGGCCTGACCCGCTTCACCTGACTCGAAGTTGGGGACAACTGTCTTAGAGACCTTGTCTGTTAGCAGCAGTTGATTTTCTATCCAGTGCTGTCTCCTAAGTTTGAATAATGGAGCCCATGGAACCAGTTGGAAGACAATGTGGAGGAAGTAGGGAATATTAATGGAATAAAAATGAGTGGGAGATGACAACCAGGGGCTGGGGCCAAGGGCCTGGGCACCCATGGTGGGCGTCCAAGCCCACATCCTCTAGGGCTCGGGGAGAGGGGTTCTGGCCCCCTGAGCTCTCCTGGCTCAGCTAGGTACTCCCAGGACATGCAGAGGTTGTCCACAGTGGGCGAGACTGCCCCTCCCGGCGCGGTGGGGGGGATGTTTGCAAATTTCAGAGGATACAATTTTAGTTGTTAAGTGCACTAGTCTGGGTCCATCAGGTGGGAAAACACACAGCAGTAGGACCAGGGAAAGCTGAGTATCAATGACTCAGACTTAAGCCGTGTCTTCTTTTGGGAGAGTTGGGGGTGGGCAAGATAATGCAGACCATGATCAACCAACCCAACACCCCTCCCCCCCAAGCCTTTGGACCCCTTCTGGCCTGTTGCCTCATTAACTGCAGGCCACTGTTGAGTGCAAGTCACCCATCCAAGAAAGTTGTTAGAACCACCCCCAGAACTCATTAAATCCAGAACCTCTAGTAAGTACTCTGTACCAGTGAACTTGGCCCCAGTTTATGTCCACCCTCACTGGTCTCACACCCTGCAAATCCACCCATTTCCCCAGGTTCTGGATGTACGTGTACTTGAAAGTCTTGCAGTTCTTTTAGTGTACAAGCTGTTGTCTCCTGGGTTGTAGTGAATACCCTGGGGCATGCTGAGATCTGACCCCAGGTATTTATGGCGTCACTGGTAAAGGGCACTAACAGATTTTATTAGAAAGGAAACTGGGGATTCAACCATCGTCAACCTGCAAACTTAAATGCTGCACTGTACTTCAATGCTACCAGCCCTGTGGCTAGAACTTGTGGGGGCCGTCCGGTTTTCAGGCTGTGACTTGGGCTGAGGTGACAGACCTGAGCCTGTCCTTGTGTCTCTGTAAGCACTCCAGGGCACTGCAAGGAACCTGTCCAAAGCCTACCTTCCTTACTGCCACCAAATCAAGTGCTGCAGCCAGGGGGGCTGCCGGGACACGTGCCTCAGCTGGCACCTCCTCACAGGAAACCTGTGATGCCTGACGTGAGGCTGCCACACGCCACGGACTTTTCACACCTCACCCCCAAATCCCTCTCTGTGAGCCTATCTCCAGGATCACTCCATACCAATGCTCTATCAGTCTGGATCCAATCGGGAGGGGAAAAAACCACAGTAATTTGAACAGGGAAAGTTTAATATAAAGAATTATTCACTTCAATAGCAAATTGCAATGATGAGGGATTCTTTGGTAAGGTGCCTTGGAATCTACTGGAAACTCTGGGCTGTGGTGGAGTCATTCACAGGGAGGTGCCTCAGTGGAGACACTCCTCTAGGGGACTGCTGGGCTGGGGCAGGGTGCCAGGGCAGGCTGTGACCCCCTGGAACTGGAGAAGCAGCAGACACTGCAGGAGCCACGGAGTGACTCGGAACCCCTGCGATGTCTCTTGAGCGCCTCCTACTGACAAAACTTAACACCAGTTAGAGAAGGAAACACATTTCAAAGGCCCAAATCAGTTTTCACAGTGCAGACACAAAGCTGAATTTGACTTCAGTAAGCCAAAACACAAGAGGACTTGGAGTGCTACTGACCAGTGAGTGTGGGCCCGCGGTGCTGGACCCTGCAGTGAGCTGACCAGTCCGACATGGAATAGCCATCCCTAGAGAATGCCAGGAGCACTCCCTGTATCAGTGTGTCACACCTAAAGGGGGATAATCTGAGAGTGGTCTCGACACAGTAGTGGGCAGTGCAGCTTCCTGGGGCTACTCGCAGCCGGGAGTCCTCACCAGCCCCAGGCCTGGAGAGGCAAGAGGAAGTGATGTGGAAACTAGAACTGTGTGGGAAGGGCTGCCTGACAGGATGACAGGAGCTGTGACCTGCAGCTAGGCCCCCACCAGGTAGGGACCACATGCTGTCCTTCCCCTGATCTGCTACTGCCACGCCCCTCACCCCACTCCAGCCCCCATGATGAGTGAACCCAGCTGGAAGCCAGAAGGAGAGAAAACCCTAAGACACTCAACACAGCCCCCGCTGAGATCCAACTGGATGGGGTGGGGGCTGCAGTCTAGGCAGGGGTGGGGCTGGCTGTGTCCTGAGACTGCTCCTCCGGCCTCGACTTCAGGTCTTGGGCCCAGTCCGTCCCCAGAACCTCGCAGTTGGGCAGCATCTCCTCCACCAAGATCTGAGTGAGGCCTGGGTTGGACACAGCAGGCAGGTCTGAGATGTCCAGCCTGCGGAGGTTCTGGAGGTGGTGGAGGCAGGCGAGGCCCCGTTCGGATACTCGGGGGCAACCTGCCAGCGAGAGCTCCTGCAGTGAGTCAGCCAGCTGGTAGAGACGGCTGAGACACCAGTCATCCACGTGGGGACAGCGCTGCAGCGACAGGGACCGCAGCTCCTTCAGGACCACTGTGAGGGGGACAGAGCAGATGGTACTGCAGCCTTTCTGGAGCCCACCACGAAAGGGAACATGCAGAGCCTTGCCCTTCTCTGCCTCGCCCGCCCCACTCACAGACGTTGTCCAGGCCTTCATAGTTGATGGCACAGTCGCTGGCATCCACGGACTCCACAGGCACAGCCTGGAAATTCAACAACTCAAGAGACGAGGGGCGACGCCCACTGGACCGAATCCATTCCTTGCCCTGGAACCTGGAAAGCAGGGAGAAAAGGAGTGCCGGTGGGTACCCTGCCTGTCCCCAAGCCTCCAGCCGCTGGAGACCACTCTACAGCCCCTTATTTTGTGTCTGCGCACTTGTTCTGTGGCTCTGTTCTAAGGCACGTAGGTCACGTTGGATCCCCTGATAATCCCATCACAGTTGGACTGTTTGGCCAGCTTCATGCACCTGGAAGCTCAGGGCTAGAGACATTACTGATAATGTAAAGAGAAAAGAACTACAATATATGAATCTTTGTAGATGGGCAAAAGTTGAGACATTTTCAGACATGTACACCACTTCCAAGGAAGGTACTGGAGGAGGTGCTCAAACAAAGTAAAAATTTTAGTTAGAACAAAGATGAGAGGTAGATGAGGTCAACATAAATTGTGCTTTTCAAAAAAGAAGGAAAAAGCAGGTGGTAGGAATCCCCAGAGGTTGGAGGAAGAAGTAAGGGGGCCCTGGCTGGTGTGGCTCAGTGGACTGAGCACTGGCCTGCAAACCAAAGGGTTCTATTCCCAGTCAGGGCACATGCCTGGGTTGCAGGCCAGGTCCCCAGTTGGGGGCATGCGAGAGGCAACCAACAGATGTTTCTCTCCCTCTCCTCCCTCCCTTCCCCTCTCCCTAAAAATAAATAAATAAAATCTTGGAGGAAAAAAGGGAGGAGGAAAAAGAAACTAGTATTTATTGAGCACATGTGTAGCACCAGACCTGGCTACAAGTGTCTACACTGCAAAATGTGTTTGTAGGTTAGATACAACTACCATTCCATTTTACAGATGACAAACCTGTAGCTTGGCACCAAGCCCCAAGCCACACAACCAGTGGAGGCAGCACAGACTGGGGGACTCTGGGAGGTCTGCCTGGGGACTCAGGGAAGCCTGCCTGACTGAAGAGCCTGAGGCTGAGACGATCTGTGGCCTCCCCCCGACCCCCGTTTTGACACCTTTGCTGTCATACTTGACTGCGCCTCCCTGCTTCAGGACGAAATAGGCACCTGCGACGTATGGGCCGTATCGCTCCTTGATGTAGGTGAAGGATCTGCCAAGAGAACAGTAGCTGAGGGTGAGGGCTGAGGAGCACCACACCCATGGCCACGCCCCAGTCCCCTGAGAGGGTCGGAGTCCATAGCACCAGGACTGACAGAGTCAGGCTGCAAATATTTACTGAGTGCCTGTTAAGCTGGGCACCCAGGGGGGTGGGGCAGTGGTCACCAAGGCAGATAACTGTCCCTGCCCTTCAGAAGTTATTTTTATGGGGAGAAACAAACTAGGAAATAAAAGTGAATTTCAGACAGTATCAATTTCAGGATGAAAATAAAACAGGGACTGAGTGGCTTGGGTCAGGGGTGGGAATGGAGGCGGATTTAGTTTGGCTGATAAGAAAAGCTTCTTGGAGGAGGTGACATTAGGGCAGAGAGCTGAGCGGTGGGAAGGAATGCAGAGGTCAAGGCACAAGCCTGCCAGGCCAAAGGAACAGCTAGTGCAAGACGCGGAGGCTCAAACCCTGGCTGCTGTGGCTCAGTGGATTGAGTGCTGGCCTGTGAACTGAAAGGTCACCAGTTCTATTCCCAGTCGGGGCACACGCCTGGGTTGCAGGCCGGATCCCCAGTAGAGGAGTGTGTGAGAGGCTACTGCTGGGTGTTTCTCTTGCACACTGATGTTCCTCTCCTCTTTCTCCCTCCCTTCCCCCCTCTCTAAAAATAAGTAAAAACTGCCCTGGCTGGTGTAGTTCAGCAGATTGAATGTGGGCCTGTGAACCACAGGACCAAGGTTCAATTCCCAGTCAGGGCACATGCCTGGGTTGCAAGCCAGTTCCCAGGAGGGGACGCACGAGAGGCAACCATACATTGATATTTCTCTCCCTCTCTCCTTCCCTTCCCCTCTAAAGATAAATAAAATCTTTAAAATAAATAAATAAAAATAAGCAAAAACTTAAGACTCAGGTTGGAATTAGGATGGTTGACCAAACAGCAGTGAAGATGCCATGTTGGGGGGATGAGGGCAGTGCCTGGTAGGGCCCTCAAAGCTCAGCACATGGCAGGTTTTAGGCTTTGGAGTTTGGCTTTTGTTCTAGTTGAAACTGGAAACCAAACATTTGAGGGTTTCAAAAGTGGTGCTCATGTTCTCTATTTTACTTTCTTAAAAAGTTCTTTGGCTACTTTGTAAACTACTTAGTAGACTATAGGAGGAAGAAAGTGACCAGTTAGATTACTGCAGTAATCCAACCATAAAATGGAGGGGCTCAGTCCTACCTACAAAGAGTGAAGGAGGTAAGAAGTGGTCGAATATGGGATAGTCTAGTATTTCATCGATGTAGAAGTTAGAGAAACAAAGATAGGAATCAGGGATAACTTCTTGGAATTTGGCCTGAACAACTGGGTGGGGAGTGGTGCTGTTTACTGTGATGGGGAAGGCTAGGGGCAAGCAGACTTTTGGGGGGGCGGGGAATCAAGAGTTCGCTGTAAACTGTTAGGTCTGAGGTGCCAGCTAGACCAAGAGGAGATGGGGGACAGCAGGTTGCCTATATGAACTGGAGTTCTTGGAAAGGGTATGAGCTAGAGATGAAGATGTAAGTCAGCACGGCTGGTACTGGAAGCCACAGGGCCACCTGGGAGTGGCAAGGGCATGATCGGCATTCTGACCAGTGAGGCCAGAGCCACAAGGCTGGGGGTTCTCACCGATTTTTCTGGTGCACCTTTGACACCTGCTTTTGGAGCAAGTACTCCCTCAGAGCCTCCATATCATAGAAGTGGTCAGCCAGGAACTGGAGCAGCCTTCTCCCCTTCCTCTGATTGCCCTCTGGGGCCACTGCACTGCTCAGACCACGGATGCCCTTGGTAACTCCACTCCATACCGGGGCCACCAGGTTCAAGGACTGGGGATGAAGAAAGGAGAGGCTGAGCCTGGAGAGCCTCCTATGTGAGAGCTGCATCCCTCTGTTCTGTTCTTAGTCCATGAACTTGCCTCCCCCCACCCCAGTGCTTCCTAATTCACTAAATTCTCCTTTAAGAACTTCCTAATTCTACATTTGGGATTCCCAACTTTCCCTCCATGTATCCCCCAAGTTCCTCCCTTAATCAGCCCTAAATTCTCTCTTTGATTTAGCCAAACTTTCTTGGTTTTCCCAAATTCTCTTCTGTCCCCTCCCCCAAATCCTTATTTTCTCTTAAAATCTCCATTATCTGACCTCTTAATTTCCCACGAATTCTCCCCTTAATTTTACCCAATTCTCTCTGGAGTCTTCTTGAATAACCTATTTCTTTCCCCCAAATATAATCTCAATTTCTTTCCAAATCACCCTTAACTTACCTGATAAAACCCTCAAACTCTACCTTCGACTTTCCCTCAGTCTTACTTTAGTTCGTCTCAATTTTTTTCCTTTAATCAAAATTGTTTTCCCCAAATCCTACTTGCCCTCAAAATTCCTCGTAAGCTCCCAGACTCTTACTTCAATTTTCTCTAAGTTCATTCCTGAGTTTACCCAATTCTTTCTAAAGCCTCTCCATGACTGCCGCAAATTTTCCCCTTAATGCCCCCCACGTTCGTTCCTTGGAACTACCAAATTTACCTGTTGGTGCTCCCGCTCCCATAATCCCTTTGGTTTTTCCATCAAAATTCCCCTGAGTTTCCCTCACCTGCATCCTTCGGCATCCTCCACTTGGCCCCCGGCCAATGCCTTCCCAGCCCTCTTTCCCCTGCAAGTCCCACTCTTGCCTACCCAAGCGCTCCCTTAGGGGCAGTCCAATCCCTCCCTCTGATTGGCTGGGTGCGCCAGCATCCGAACGCACTCCCGGGCTTCCGCATTAGTTTCACTCTGCCAAATCCCCGCCCCCTCTCCCTCTCCGAAGCTTCTCAGTAGCCTGCACCGGCAAGCGTCATTCCCGGACCAGAACTGCTACGAGTCTACGCTGCTAGCGCGAGGCCCCGGGACAGAGGCCTCCAGCAGCTTCGCTACTAATCCCTGTGCGCTGACAGAGGCCCCGAAGGCAGGGGCAGCAGGGCGGCCTTCAATTTGGAAGGTCTAGGAACTCCGGTCACTTACCGCCCTGGGCGCCGCCATCTTCTTGGGATTACACAACCGGAAGGGGCGGTCTTTTCTCGTTCCGCCCACCTGGCTCTGTCTTTGACTTTTTTTTTTTTTAATGGTCACACCTTCGTCTTAAAGGTGCACGCACTTCAAGTGTTCCTTTAAGTACTCTTACCGGATTTAGGGTTTTCTCCGAGTGCCTTTTCTTATGATGGGTCTCTAGGCTTTCCCTAGGATAGAGTGAGCAGTCCTTCCTGTTTGATTACTTTCCTTTCCTCTGACCGAAGTCACAGCTCCCCGGAGCTTCCCTGTTCTCTAGCTCTTACTAGCTACCTCCTTACTAAAAGCGGACTGGCATTTTCTTTCCCCTGGAAAAGAAAAAGGTAGAGTCGGTGGCAGAGATGGAGGTAAATTCTCAAGATTAGCGTTGTGATGTGTTTATGATTTTAGTTTAGAGTTCAAGACTAGATCTCAGAGTGAAGATTCAATGTGAAATCTTGAGGATAGACTCATTCATTCCTTCATTCTACAGATATTTACTGAGCACGTACCACAGGGCAGGAGCTGCTCTGGATACTGAGGTTACCATGGTGAACAGGACAGATCTAGCCTTTCAAGGAGTCAATATTCCAGGCAAGCAGAGGATGGATAAGAAAAAATGAATCAGCAGGATAATTTCAGATAGTATTTGATAAGAGACAAATAAAACCGAGTAACACAATAGAGGGTGACTGCGGTATGGGGCCATGGGAATAGCCTCTTTGAGGAGATCACATTTAAGAGGAGGAAACAAACTCTCCAGGCAGCGGTAACAGCCTGTGCAAGGGCCCAGAGGTGGACGCCATCTTGCAGAGAGAGGTAGAAGCCTGGGTCAGAGAGGTGGGCAGGGGGCTGACTGTGCAGACCTGGTAGGAGTTTATTGCATTCATAGGACAGTGTCATGTGATTTAGATGTTGTAAAGATCATTTCTGCCAGGCTGAAAACAGATCTTATAGGGCAAGGATGGAAGCAGGGGGGCAATAAAGAGGCTATGGGAATCACCCAGACCAGAGATGAATGGGGACAGGAGCAGAGATTGGGCAAAGGAAATGGTGAGAGGTGCTCAGATGATGAGTTTGTTTGGAAGGCTGAGCCAACAGCTGGGGAAACTAAAAAGATGCTGATGCCACTGATAGAGATGGGGAACCTGGGGGAGCAGCAGGTGTTTGGACAGACAGGTGGTGTGGTAGGGTGAAAATGACCCCCTCCCCTGCACAATGTCCTCATTCTGATCCCTGGAAACTGTGACTATGTTACTTTCTATGGTATATGGAAGGTGTGTTTAAGGTAATAATCTTAAAATGGGATTATCCTAGATAATTAAAGCAGGCCCAGTGTAATCACAAGGGTATTATAAAATGGAAGCAGGAGGGTCCTGAAGATAGGAATAATGCAAGGAGGGGGCTATGAGCCAAGGAATTCAGTGGCTTTTGTAAACTAGGCAAGGGTGGGAAATACATTATCCCCTAAGGCCCCCAGAAGGAACCCAGCCAGCCCTGTAGACCCACTTGAGGCTTCTGACCCCTAGAACTGTGAGAGAATAATTTGGTGCTATTTTAAACTACTAAGGTTGTGGAAATTTGTTACAGTATCTCCACAAAACTAGTAGTGCTGTGGGTCCCAATTAAGAATTGTGCTTTGACCATATTCATGTGGAGACATCCAGGTGGAGAAGCTCAGGAGGGAGGTCGGGACTGGAGTCAGGGGCTTAGGAGCCTTTGACAGGTTGATGGAATTTGCACCTCCAGTCCCGACCAAGGGAGGCCTGCAGTGTGTTCCAATCTCTTCCCTGCCAGAGCCCGATGCACATAGTAATAATGTCTCTGGGCAAATCTAGAGTCAGCAGCACTGGCTGCTCAGTGTAAAGCAGCAAGCAGCCTGCACACTGAGACACCCCAGCTGAGGGGTCACTGTCTTGGAAGTTGCTCCTGACTCCTGAGGCACACTGGTTGGGAAGCCCTGGGATGGGCTGAGTGGAGAGAATCAAAACCAAGCTTGGTGCTGAGGGTGAGTGGAGGGTGGGACCCAGGAGAAGGCCAGACAGGAGGAGGCCAGGCATCAATAGACACAAAACACAGGGAGGGGTTAGTCTTGAGAGGGGGCAGGGAGGGGTAGAGTCACACCCGTGAGCAGAGTTGCAGACTTCAGAAAGAAAAAATGCAGATTCCCACTGGAGAATGGACTTTGGGATGCCATGTCAGATCCTCCCACCCCCTTCCATTGCCCTTTAGTCCCCTAACCCCCAGATTCCCAGGGGGCTGGGTCATTCTGGACCTTGAAACTTCCTGCTCCTGGGAGCCACAGCTCAGAGATTATGGAGCTGTGGAGGCAGCTGAGGCAGGCTGGACTGCTGCCCCCAGGGCTGGGTTCACCCCCCAGGGCCTTGAGGGATGTCCCCCCATCAAGGAGAGCTGGCCAGACCCTCATGTTTCCACAGGCACACACTGAAGGCACAAGGGAGAGTCTGCTGTGGATCTGGGAGGAGCTGGTGAGTAGGGGCTTTGAGGGGCAAGAGGTAGAGTATGGGGTGAGAACTGAATGAGTGAATGGAATACATGGAAAGATAATGGGCCAGAGACTGAGGGACAGAAATTGAGAGACATGAATAGAGAAATAGAGGCAGAGACAGACAGCAAGAGAGGAGAGAGAGACAGAGACATAGACCCGAAGAGCAGAGACGGGAATACAGACAGAAACAGACCCAGAAAGAGAGACAGAGGTGGAAATGAGATGGAGAATAGCAACAAAAACAGGAAACTGAGATTAAGTATGGAAGACAGAGAAACGGAGAGAAAGGCAGAAAAATAGAGACAGAAAGACAGGGATATGGGAAGACATAGACAGGTGGAGACAGGGAGGTAGATAACATAAGAGGGAAACGAGAAAGATAGTAAGAATCAGACACACACACACACACACAGAGGTAGACGCCGTGAGGGACAGTGAAATGGAGAGAGAGAGAGATCAAGAGACACTGAAAAGCAGAATGGCAGTGAGCATCCAGGAACCTGCAGACAGAACCTACAGACACAACTTGCCCAGGGACACACGTTACAGGTGGCAAGGTGACTAGTTTAGGGGCCACTGCAATGGTATTTTGCAGCAGAAGAGACAGATTGGGCTCGACTCCAAGTAAAGCATGGGTGAGTGGAAACTTACAGGCTGGGAGCAGCTGAGGGTCAGTAGATGGAAAGTTACATTAGCTGGAAGGGGGGTTTTGGGGTAAACTGACTCAGCAGGATTCCTGTGGAAGGCAGGCCAGGATGATCAGACATCCGCTCGTGGGCGTGGAGGCATGAAGAACCTGATTAGATAAGATACGGATAGTGTTCTGGTGTGGAGGATGGGGATTCTTGTTAAAAGTGAATTTTGCAAGGAGGTGCACAGATGGGCTTAGGAAAAGGTTCAGGAGCCTGACTAAAGTTCGGTCAGACAAAGGGTCTTTGTCAGGTTTTGAGCTGAAACCTACTCCCACTCAGGTGGTGGTGGTGGCAGCATGCTTTCTCGGGTGGAATGTCCATTTCCCACTTCTCTCTGGCAGGGCAACCTCCACAGAGTGGACATCCAGCTGCTGGGCCAGCTGTGTAGCCTGGGACTGGAGATGGGGGTGCTTCGGGAGGAGCTGGTTGCCTTCCTGGAAGAGGAAGATGAGACCCTCAAGGAAGAAGAGGAGGATGAAGAACCTGAGGGGAAACAAGAGGAAGGACATCTGGGGGTCTCCTGTCCAGTCCCAGGCTACCACCTGCCAGACTTTGAGATAACTATCTGAGTCCCTCGTGTTTCCCATTGGCATGTGGAATTTTATGCAAATTTATGCAAAAGAGGGGTGATTTGCTGGTCAGGTCAACCTGCAAATGTTGATTTGGAGTCAACACATGCTCCTGAGCAAGTGCTTTCTCTGAAGATGTGCGATGAGATTCAGGGATTGGCCTATGAGCTGTGGGCATGTTGAGGACTGCCACGTCCACTGCCGTGTCCACTGTTGGATCCTTCTCTCTGTGACAAGGTCCTGAGAGGGGGTGTAAGACTTCAAGGAAGCAGTTTCCAACCTGGTGGACGTGGCATGGAAGGCCTTGCAATACCTATTGTGATTGTGCTTGCTTTGGGGATCATGACCCTTTCTGCTTTAATCATTATGAATACCCTGGCAGTGATTCAGATAGTGTGCCTAGACCTTTCCCGGCTCAATGAACAGAATAATAATATCATACTAGAACGTCAGGGAATATAGGCACAAGGAAACAACCAGAACAATCTGAGAATTCAAGCTTAATCAATAACAGATCATTGGAAAAACACCCAAGATAAGATAGAATACTCTAGGAAATCAGGAGATGATCTCACTACTTTCTTAGAGGGTATCAAAGTACAAAACATGTCTATAAAAGAACTCCTAGAGAAACTTAAAAGAAGTACCCTTAAAAGCCCCCTGCAACATAGGAATAGCCCCTCCTTTACCTTGAATAAGAATATATATCAACTAGACAGGCAAAGAAATAACAAAAGCTAGTTAGTTATTACAAACTAAACAGTCACTAGGGAGTCAGAATTTATAGTACACAGAAAAACATTTTAAGCAAAAAAAAAAAGGTAGATAGCTAAGTTAGACATCACAAGGGCCTTATAATAAATCTCCTATTTTCTCTACTCAATTTAGCGTATCCTTTTGCCCTATACCAAATTCTGAGAAACTTTAATATACAATAAGATATTTCTAATTGTCTGATTAATGGCTCTCCTAGTTAAAATAATCTTTAACTATGCCCTGGCTGGTATAGCTCAGTGGATTGAGTGCGGGCCTGCGAACCACACGATCGCGGTTCGATTCCCAGTCAGGGCATATGTCTGGGTTGCAGGCCAGTCCCCTGCAGGCCAGTTCCCAGCAGGGGACACACAAAAGGCAACCAAACATTGATGTTTCTCTCCCTCTCTCCTTCCCTTCCCCTCTAAAGAAATAAAAAATTAAAAAAAAAATCTTAAAAAAAAATAAAATAATCTTTAACTAAATCTATGGGAACTTTTGTACTTTTACTGATTACCTTTGTATTGATTTTTTCTGCTTAAATGATCATGTTATACTGCAAATATTAATCACTACCTGAAATGAAAATATAAAAACCTGCTTGTACTTGCAATAAACGGAACAGAGCTTCACTGTCCTTTGAGGCCTGTTGTCGTCTGTTACCCAGCGCCGACGCCTACCCTCACCTGTGGGACCCCTTGACCCGCTGCGGCCGGACCGCGGCAGAGGACGAGGTGGGAAGCTTGCAGGGTAACTGTAGGTGTATTTGCAGATGAGCTGCAGGAGGGTTGCAGGGGCGGTGAGGGTCTTTGCAAGTTGAATGGAAATGCTTGCAGGTGAGGTTTTAGATCAAGGCCATCCACTGGCCCCACGTAGCTATTGAGCATTTGAAATTTGCTAGCCCTAACTGAGGGGCATACCAGCTGTAACACATGCTAAATAATGAACTTTCAAAGACTTAATGTGATAACAAGAATATGAAACATTTCAAGAGTCTTAAAAATTAATTACATATTGAAATAATATTTGGAGTATATTGTGATAAAATACTACTAAAACTAATTTTCCTTGTTTATTAAAAATTTTTCAGTGAAATGGACCATTTTAACTGTTGTCAAGTGTACAGATCAGTAGTGTTAAGTACATTTCCATTGTTGGGCAACCATCACCACCATCCATTTCTAGAGCTCATTCACTCTTGCAGAACAGAAACTGTACCCATTAAACAGCTCTCTATGTTCCCCTTCCACCAGCTGTAGGCAACCTCCATTCTACTTTGTGTCTTTATGAATTTGACTATGGTAGGAACCTCATGTAAGTGGGATTGTTGGCATAAGTAATTAGCTAGTTATTAATAAAGAGGATGAACAAAGGAAATCAGACATTGAGCTTAATAAACTAGGGAGATGAATCTAATATTTGCCATGCTTCTAGTAGGAAGCTATAGCTTTCACAGACTGTTTACGAACTCCAGGGGACTGCTGTCCAGAGTGAAGCAGGCAAGAAAGCCTGGTGGGGGGGGGCGCTGCTCCTAATACCCTTATCAGAGGGAGGTGGAGGGCAAATTCCTCTGCTGGGCACATGGTAGTAAAAATGAGATGACGTAAACAGAAATTTTAAGCATTTGCAATAGAAGCTAAAATGGGAGGAAGGGGAGGAATCTAGCCTGGGAAAAGAATTGGATTTGATAAGGGATGTAGAAGCTGGTTAAGGGGAGGGCCCAACTCAGGCTTGGGAAGAATTAGGAATTTGGTTGGTTGGTTTGAATTGCACCTTAATTGTCCCTGAAAGCCAGGAAAATGTATGCAGGATTATCAAAAATCTTGGGATAGCTGCTGCTTGAGCCTGTGCTCTCTCTATATTCCTGGTGGTATATCAGTTCCCTTACCACGATAAAATCACTCAGGTTAAACTACTCCATGCCCATGCCCTTTGAACTTCCTTTGTTGTAACACTGCAAAATAGCCCACTTTCACCAGCAACAAGATCATATAATATTTGTACTTCTGTGTCCAGCTTACTTCACTCAGCATAATGTCTTTAAGATTCATCCATGTTGTAGCGCATGTCAGAACTTTCTTCCTTTTTTTATGCTGAATAGTACCCCAGAGTGTGTACATTCCACATTTTGTTTATCATTCATCTGTCCATGAACACTTGGGTTGTCTCTACATTTTGGCTAGTATGAACAATGCTGTTATGATAATGAGTATACAAATATCTGTTCAAGTTCTTGCTTACCATTCTATTTAGTCTACCTAGAAGTGGAATTCTGGGTCATATAGTAATTCTATGTTTAATTTTCTGAGGAACCAGCAGACTGTTTTCCACAGTGGCCATGCCATTTGACATCCTCACCAACAGTGCTTAAGAGTTTTCATTTCTCCACATGGATGCTGACGCTCATTATTTTGTTTTGTCTTTTTTTCATAATACATTTCTAATAGGTGTGAGTTTGAATCTCAATGTGGTTTTGATTTGTATTCCCCTAATATTTAAAGATATTGAATGTGGTGGACTCCCGCTTGCAGAGTCTGCCTGTTGTGACTGAAGGCGAGAATAAATGCACAGGCAACAGCAATCCTGTGGAGAAAAGGGATAGCAAGGCCACTCTCTCAAGAGGAGAATATGCTGACCCTTGCCTAGACAGGCTTTTTTTGTTTTTTGGGGGTCTTACATCAAAGAAGGATTTATTATCTATTACATAGAATGTTATTGTCTGCATTTTAGGTACAATCATGGAAATGAAAATAACATGCAGAAGGGAATGGCAATGAGCTGATTAGCTCTGTCCTTGGGAAAATTCACACAGGCTTTGGAAATGACCTTGAAGATAGACAATATACATTTATTGTTTCAGACCAGGGTGATGGAGTTTTAGCAAGAGCAAGCCATAACAGTCTGTATGCATTTTCTGGGCCTGATTCCCATGGGAAAACTCGGTTTGAAGGTCTGGCTCCTGCCCACCACTTTGCTTCTGTGGGTTTTCCATACAGAGCTGAGTCACATTTGCCAGACCAAAACAAACTGGTCTCCTACAATTAAACATCATTTCAAGTGCCTATCTGTTCCTACATTTTTATTTTTAAGTATACAAAATTATTTATTCATTTTTTTAAAGACAGAAAAAGCAGAGGAGAGAGACACATCAATTTGTTGTTCTACTTTGTGATGCATTCATTGGTTGGTTCTTGTTTGTGTCCTGACCAGAGATCGAACCCACAATCTTGGCATATTGGGATGATGCTCTAACCAAGTGAATTACCTGGCCAGGGCCTCTTCTTACATTTTTAAATATGACTGCAAGAAATTGAAAATCACATATGTAGCTCCCCTTGGATGTCGACTGCACAGCACTATTTCAGAGGTTTGACAATGGAACGTGGGTGTGAGCATTTGAGCAGTGAGGGTTTCTAGACGTTCACACAAGTATTGCAATGAGTCACAGCTTCACCTGCAGGAGACAAACAGGTATCTGCCCATGGTGGCTGAGGAAAAGCAAACTGCAAATGTCACTATTGTCTTTGTTCACAGTTGCAAAAAAGATGCCCAAGGCAGCAGGTGGAGTGCTCCAGCCTGAGCAGAGAGATTTCTTCAGGGGAGATATTTGGGCATTCACAAGACCAGGCACACTGATAGTTTTGCAATTTCTTTTAGGGAGTGAGGAGGTTCCCAAAGAAGATAGGTGCTGGCAGAAGAGAGGTTGAGTCTCTGTCTGTGGAAATTTCCTTCTTAAAAACAAGGGGCTTCCTTTTGTCCAGTGGAGTCTCCTAAGACTGAGTGCTTTGGGTGGGTTTGGGGGTTCAGGCTCCATCTCCAACCTGGTCCTCCTTAGCCAACCGTAGCCAGGTCTGCAGCTTCTGGGAGTTCTGCTGTAGTAGGCAGGCTGGGAAGAAGGCTGAAAGTCAAATCCTAGTACCTAGTGAAGGGGAAAGACACCCCAAGAGCATGAAGGTAAACAGAAATTTCTCTACTGACTTGGCACTCTAGAAAGAGGCTGGGCTCTCTGGGGTCCCTTGAAAGTTATGTTCAGATATGTTTGGGTCATGCTTCACAGATGCCAAGTCTCTTGGGGTAAAGAGACTAGGGTTGGGGAAGGGGCACTGAGGGCAGACTGTAGTGAGTGACTTGGGAGGCAATGCACACTGTGCAAGACCAGCATGGTAGGTAGCTTCTGATATCTGGATGGCAGCTCTTCTCAGCCATGGCCTGGACAACGGAGGTGGCATTTATATGGGAGGCACTCAGAGAATTTAGGTGAGTGTAGCATCTTCCATCTGTATAATCACCAGTGCTGGTGTTACTGAGCTACAGCCAGCAATGTCCAGGTCAGCCTCAGGACTGGTCTCCTGGACTCTCCATCCAGCAGAATGGGGAGAAACCCTCACCACACAGGGACAGTGGAAATGGTCAGGGCTGGGATGGAAGAAGCACAGTTGGCTGAGGGGACTTGGATGAGGCAACAGGCCCAGCCTGAAACATTTGAAAAGTGTCCTCAGTGGAGAACAGAAAGAGTAAGTAAAAACGAGCCAAGCAAAGAAAGGAAACAGGAAGAGTATAATAAGCAGAAAATGAGCATATACGAAAGTCACAAGATGATCTTGTGATCTAACCTCTTGCTACTCAAGTGTGGTCCACAGATAGATCAGCAGTGTCAGCCTGGCTACCACTATCTACTCATCCACAGCAAACAGTACCAACTCAGTTGTTTTAAAACAATGGCAGCCCTGGCTGGTATAGCTCAGTTGATTAAGTGCTGGCCTGAGAACCAAAGAGTCACTGGGGTGATTCCCAGTCAGCGCACATGCCTGGGCTGCGGGCCAGGTCTCCAGTGGGGGAGCACAAGGGGCAACCACACACTGATGTTTCTCTCCATCTCTTCTTCCCTTCCCCTCTAAAAAATAAATAAAATCTTTTTTTAAAAAGATGCATTTTCTATAAAAAATAAACAATGGCAGAATGTATTTTGCTCACAAATCTGCAATTTGCAAGGATGGCTCATCTCAGGTTCAGTGAGAATCATCTGAAGGCACATCCAACTTTCAAGTCTGCAAGTTGGTGCTGCCTGTTGCCTGGGGCCTCTGTCCCTCTCCACGTGGTCTCTCCTTGTGGGCTAGGTGGGGCTTTCACACAGCATGGCAGGTGGGTTCCAAAGGCCAGGGTCCCAAAGATGAGCCAGGACAAAGCCACATCACCTTGAATGGTCTCACCTAAAAAGCCACACAGTCTCTCTTGCCACATTTCATTTGTTAACGCAATTGCAAAGTCCTGCCTGGTTTAAGTTAAAGAAAAAATGGATTTAAGGTTTTCAGGAGAAGCGTGTGTGAGACAGGAAATATTGCTGTGGTCCTTTTTAGAAAACATACTGTCACAGCATCACCTGGGAGCTTGGTAGACATGCTGATCCCCAGGTACCACGCCAGACCTATTGAATCAGAACCTACATTTAATAAGATTCTCAGGTGCTATTTTTGCATAATCAGTTTGAGAAGCCCTGTTCTAAATTGCAAATGTGGCACTGTTTTGAGCAGGAAGGGCATGTATTAGGTCTCAAAAGCTTCCTCTAATTGCTGTGTAGAGTCAGCTTGCCCCTGTGTTTGAAAATATTTCCAGGTGGTAATGATGTAAAGCA